TGTGCTGCGGGACTTTTCAAAGCGCCGTTCATTCAGAACCCCGTTAATTCTGCAGTTGACTTTGCAAAGTCGGCAGAAATTGTTTATATCCGCAGAAGACGTCAGATCTAAACAATTCCTTCTGTTGTGGGAAGGAACGGCAAGTGATTCACTCAACAGGATGGCCCAGCCAGGCTAAATTTCAACCACATCCGGATCAGCTATGAAAAGGCCATATTCGCAGATCACAGTTGATTCAACCATTCAAGTTAATGTGTCATTTCCACTTCTTTCTGTTTCGCTGCGGATCGCCGGACTCCTCAGCTGATGGCAAGAGTTCTACTTTTCCGGACGCCGGAGCTTGCCAGATAATTTCAGCACAGATTAACCCATGCTGGAAAGGAAGTCGGGCAGATACACAAAATAAAACATCCAGCTTCTTTTCAAAATAAAACACTGTGTGATTCAGGCGGATCGTATTTCACACCATGCAAATGGGCGGGGACGAACAAGTGAAAGGTTTATAGACAGCATTTAACCCTGATGACACCATGGATGAGAGGATGCTGATTTTAGAAGTCTGGAAGGACAAAATCTACTGCTTATATGGTTAGCCTATGTGGCTAGTGACAACTTAGCGCACGATTGCACGGGTTCTTGTGAGATCTTGCAATTCCTGCTGTCCATAATCCGCCACCAAATTCGCCTCACAAACGGATCTGGTAGGGATTGGTGGAAGGGGAAAATCGCCACCGTTTGGATCAGAGCCATTTTTGGATGCGGTGAAAATTGGGGGTTATGCTCAAGCAAATCACGAAGTTGCACTAGCAGCTTGGTGAAGTCAGCTGATGTACACTATTTCCTGGCTGTACTACTGTTTATCAGATTTTTATCGATTTTCATTGGAGATGTTGGAAAATGCTTTTTCCTTTAAATGCTTCTTTCATACAGTGTCAAACTGTTTAGACCATCTGTGTCTGCTTAATGTCCGCACTCATTAGGCTTCACCACCTTAATGAATGTGCAAACTGTCCTTTCTGTCTCTAATCTTTATTTATTGAATTAGTCCAAAATCTGAAATCAAAGCCCGCGTCACAGAAATACATACAGCTGGACAAGATCAAAGATTACAGTAATGGTCTTATTTAATTTGTGGCAGAAAAAAAAGGAAGAAGTGAAAAAGCACAGAGACAACAGGAAACAACTCTGTAGAGTGTCAGTCGATTTCTGCAGCCAGTAATTGCAGCCGAGACAGAAGCCAGCCCCGAGAGACAATGCTACTCATTATAACCCAGAAAACAAAACTGAGGGTTTAGTCCACGTGTCTTTATGTTTGTTTGTCCCAAAAACTGTAAGATATATAAGAGCAATGCCAATAGATGCGGTGGAAGATTTGTTGTGAGAAAACAGCTTAAATTTGACTCTTTTTTTATAACACTACTGCTCAGATCTCCAGATATGCTCTACATTTCTTTCTGGTCACGTCCTTCCCCTCTGCTGCAATCTATCAGAGCAGAGGAAATACCACTGGGGAGAAACGAGGGAACACTTTAAGAGGGCCCTGAGGAAACGGTGGACTTTTAGTTAATTCTTAGTGGCACCACTGCTTCTCTAACTCAATTTTACTTCTTCAGTTGCATGCTGCATACGAGGGGGAGCAGCTGTGCATCTCTGGTGGCCTCTGGCTAATGGGCTTGACCCGCCTGAGGTTTGCGCTGCCTGTGGTGTAACTCAACCAGGCAGCATTAGATGGAGGGGGATCTTGGCGGACATCCATCGTGGATCTCCGCGGACACTCATGTCAAATCATAACAGTGTGTGGTGACATCTTTGTTGGTTTTGATTTACATACTTTGACATGCTTCAGTTTAATATTAGGCCTGTGTTGAAAATCCGATGCCTAAAATGCACGTGTCCATTAATGCTTTTTTATTTTTCAGAGCACATTTTGGCACCAAGAGGTTCTATTTTAGCTGTCAGTCCAACCACTCAAACGATTCAGAGCATCCCTCCTGAGAACATTTAGACTGAGTTGGCAGGAAAAGAAGCAGCAGCGTTTTTTTTTTTTCACCCTGCAGTTTACAGTACATCCAAACATCCGTCTGTCTCTTCTTTTTAGCTTCTTATCTGTGTCAGGGTCATCACTTGCAACAAGCTGAGCAGCCCAGATGTCCTGTCTCTGGAAATCTAAAGGCTCCTGAAGTCAACTGCAGCTCAGGTCTTAATGAGCTCGTCTAGGGTGGCGCTTCCTGGTGGGCTGAGTTAATAAGACATATCTGGTTGGAAACCTTTTCTCACGGCCTCAGATAACCTCAGCAGCAGTGTCTCCGCTTCAATTTAAAAAGGCGAGACTTTTCCTCTTGAATCGGGTCAATGATTCAGGGAATGGACCCTCACATAATCACAAGCTCATGTTCAGCGACAAACCTCTGATATGCATCTGCAGACGCACCGAAAATGTCACAGAGCCGAACAGCAAGAGGACCTCAGCTGCAAGCCTGATGACGATCTGATTCAGGTGTTTGACATCTATAAAAAGAACAAACTGGATTTTTGTGTGCCGAATGCAAACAGACCTAAACCTGAGCGTTAAATTGAAGTAATCACAGCACTCTAACTCAAACTCAAATTAATATTTTATTAGAAAACAATATATTCAACCTTTAAATCATCATAAACTTCCAGGTCTGTCAGCAGAAATTTATGGATGAGTTTCAGGAGGATCAAGGATGAGTGAAAATATTTTGGGCGGAAGGTTTATTTTCATTATGTGCTTGAAGAAAAAAAGTCAAAATTTCAATTCCAAGGGCAAAGTGGTGGCTGATTAAAATTGTTTCCGAGTCCAAATACTCCTGCACTTTGGTAAACACTCCTTCCTCCCTTCTACTATATAAGCCAAAAGCAATCATTCACAATCACATAAACACACAAAAGCTGCCATTAAAGCCTTCCTATTTGGCTCCAATCTTCAAATTTTGCTGATTTTTGTAATCTGAGCAGCTGGCTGAGATAAAGCTGCACCCTCCCCCCCCCAAACACTAACACACACACATAAAATAATGGTACCTGTGTGTTTTGAATCACATCAGCTGATAAAGCAAAAATGGGAAGGGAAAGTGCTTGTGAACTGACATGACACAGTGTAACATGTTGGGCTATTAATTATGTTTGAATGTGTAGCTTTTTATTGTGTATAATAGTATGTTATTGAATATTATTGAAATAAATACAAAAAACTAACCCTAACTCACTTTTTAGACTCAGATCTGTTGAATGCAAAGATGAATGAATCTCCGGCCTTGAGAGATGAAGTTGAAAGAGCTAAAAATTGCAGTTCCTTGAGTGACCACTTGAGGCGGCTTCCAGAAGCACCAAAAACCACATACACACCCATTTGAAAAAAAAAAAAAAAAAAAAATCCATCAACACAACAAAGGTTTAATTTGGATCTCCGACTCGGACAGTCGGATGATCCTCAACCAAATTCGACCTGACGACAACGTCATAATTCAAGATGGCAGTGCAGTGCATCAACAGTAAAGAGTAACAGTGAAAGCTCTCGAAATGTATTATTTATTAGCACTTCTGTTTGTTTTTGTAAAATTAAATAAGTGGTATATGTTGTACTGCCGAGCATCTAACTGTGAACACGGTGCTATGGTGTTTGTAGAGTAAAATACTGTTTTATGCGTTGTTTACAACTGGTATCGCTAACAACTAACAACTGCTAACAACAACTGACAACGGCCAACAACAGCTGACAATTGTAAAAAAAAAACAGCTAACAACAGGTAACTGTAAGCGTCCATCTTGGTTTTCCGACTAGTTAACTGGAACATCGTCAACTTGGGTGTAACTTCATTCCCAGCTCCGACATCCAACTTCCAGGGTAAATGGAACACAGTGTAAGCCCCGCCTTAACTCCACCTGTTGTCAGGTACATAAAAGCTGGGTTAACTGAGCATGGGCCATGACCTTCCCCCTTAAAATCTTTAACACATTGATTTCTTAAAGCGCAGAATGTAATAGAAATCTTTCCTTCTCTCATTTCCTTCTTGTTCCTGGCCTTAAAACTCATCCTCAGAGATCCACTGGAGATTTACTTGGTTATTCATGACTACAGACACGAGCAATGGAGTGAACATCACCTATGTTTAGTCACTTCGCTGTTGTGTATATTAGCCGCAACAGGATTAATGTAATTATTCATGTCATGTCAGAGAAACACATAAATGGCAACCCCGATGAGATGTCAGACGGTAATTTCATTTGCCCTGATTACAGCAAATGAGATTTGGCAGAAGATGACAAGAGAGATCTCATCCCAATTAATGCAAATAATAGCAAATGATTGAGAGTGAAATCTACTGTTGCATCATTTATTTATTTTTTAAACAGTAAAAAACTGAAGCAAATGCTAACAGAGGTCAGTGTGTTGCCACCAAAGTCACTCGTCAGGCGCTTTCTTTCAAAGTGTTTTATAGTACCATTAGCTGTGGTGGACCTGTTGGGAATACAGCCTTTTACCTTGCCATGTCCCCTCTTCCAAAGTAACCAGACAGTTTTTACTTTTGCACCTTGTCCTGAAAAAAAAAAGGCAGCAGGAACACCTGGGGAGGACTGAAAGGGCTCACGGTTGTTTCTGTTAAGTGGACATCTTCTCCTCAAGCTTGGACCACTTCAACTCCAAGTGCCATGAAATAGGTTAATACAGATAAACAGCATCATTTTACATGTCGTGCCTGATTTTATAATCATCTTTTTTTTTTCTTTAGCTGACACTGTTTGAGCTCTGTCTTGTGTTTGCTCTCGGTCAAAGAAATGCGGCAGTGAACCCAGGCGTGGGGCAAAACATAATGGATGAGTGCATAAAAGGTTCAAAAACCCTCCAGTGCTGACAAATCACCGAGGAGAACAACAACCAACCAACCACCATATAGACTGGACTTGAGATACAGAGAGAGAGAGAGAGAGAGGAGAGAGAGAGAGAGAGAGGAAGAAGGAGAAGAGGGAGGGGGAGAGAAAGAGCGCTGTGCTGAAGCCAATGTTTGTCGTCGAACTCCAGCAAATATGAGGATGGAAAGATAATGGCCCACACTGAACAGGAGGACTGAATGATCAATTTGCGTCTTTTTATGATGCATTCAGAGAAAACAAAGCCCGGAGAAGAAACCCTGGACAGTGAGGAACAAAGGATCACATGTTGTTTTTGGACATGTCCAACCATCCCCACATTATCCTGATTTACTGAAGAGGGGATGGTTATTGAGTCTGTTCTAATAACTGACGAAAATCATTGGATCAGACATCTCCATGGAGGAATTACAGGAGACTTCTACCGTGTGCGCGCGCGCGCAGGGATGCCGTAGCTCCACATGAGCCGTGATAGATTGGAGTACTTTTATGGAAATTGCTTGGAAATTTCAGCTCAGCTGAAAGAAATCCGGGCAGCAATAATCCCACAGCACCACACACACATAGAAGCCAGCGCCGGCGATCTGTGTGTCTCTGCAATAAGTGGCTGATAAAAAGCAATAAATTCTCCAGAATAAATACAGTCATCCGGCTGTGCGCTATGGGCGACGAGGCGTCAAACTTCAGGGGCAGCAGCAGGACCGGTGTCTCATCACCAAAAGCCAGGACTGGTGAGGATCACGGCAAAACGGAGATTCTGGGCTAAACTAAAAACCGATTAACACAGAGAACAATGAGATTAACAATTTTTGGATAACTTATAAGATTATCACTGTGACAGTTTTTGATGTTATTGAGAGACCAGGATTCAGATCTGCGCTGAGCTGGACTTGGTCACTTTGATTTGTTCGCTCAGAAATCAAGTGGCAGAAAGGGACATGAGACGTTTTGTGTTTGAAGTCAATGAATACAGCCATAGCATTTAATCAATAAGTAGAGAGGGGGATCTTCATTTTTCATTATTTTTTTGCACTATGATGGAACCACCACCATGCTCGAAGAAGAGCCTGTCACTGTCGCTCCCGGTTCCCCGGGAAGGACAGGCGACTCTAAAGCCTCCGCAGCATCTCTGGAGGCAACCCCGGACCCCTATCAAAATCAAACACCGGGGCTATTCCGACACCGACCGGCATCACCACCGGCACATGGAGCGCTCCGACGCCGTGGATACGAGCGACAGACCAGGGCTGAAAAAGTCTCGGATGTCCTGGCCATCCTCCTTCCACGGGACCACAAACACATCCATTGGAAATTGTGTCGGGAATAAACGGTAGGCGAGAGAGTCGTATGCATTCCAAACACCCCAATAATAGCCCATGACAGCCCACAAGGCATATGCGTAAACGGGGAGGGAGGAGGGGGTGCATTTTAATGAGTGCGTAATAATGCAGTGTGCCTGAAGGGTTAACTGAAATGAAGCGCTTTCTACCGGGAGGCGGGACGCGTGGGTTTTCGGTGCTGATGCGTTATGCGTCTTTGGATAGACTGTGTCAGATGGGTATGAAGCGCAAACCAGTCCGCCCACTCGAAACGCAGGAGCAGCATCTGCAAATACCAGTAACATTTTACAGAGGGTCCACATGTTCCACGCAGTTGATAAGACACGCAAGGCCAGTCGTTTAATGGCACCAAAGGTCTAGGAGGTGCGTTCGAGCGTGCAGCACTGAGATATTACCATCATGCGCACTCCACTCCGATCCTTTATCAGCTTATTTGCAGAGGGAGGCTTTGGGCCCAAATGTTAAACCCTCGTTTTAAATACACGCACCCTCTTTGTACTGTGTTCAGGTGACCTCTGACCCCCCTGGTGTGCTTGAGAAGGTGGATGTGGGGCAGAAAATACCCTCTTTGACAAAGTTATGAGGTCTTACAGGAGTGTCACACACATGGTTTCAGACAGTCCCTTATCGGTACTGCTCAGCTCTCTGATCAGATGTGACAGAGGAAAATAAATCACTGCATTTGAGGGAGGACAGTCACAGAAAGTGGGGACTCATACTGCAGAATTATATACTAAACTCCACCAGCTAACAAATCTTCCAGCACTTTAATTAAATTACACCATGCATGTTAATCATTCAGACTAGATTAAAGGCATTTCATTAAGTGATTCATGGAACGATACAATTGTGATACAATTACTTTGTCCTTACACAACAATGGCTCCATTTATCCTTTTAAGGAGACACGGTAAATGCCACACCTGGTTAAACATGGCATCTTAAAAATGTCAAAAAAGACATTCAAATCATACAAATAGGACTCGAGCTTGCTTCTATTTATGAAAGGGTTGTACACCTGTTCAGAGTCACGGCGGCTATAAATACGGCTTATCCCTCCTCTGTCCTTTGTGTGACCCAAAGTCCCCTGAGAGTTAGTTTACATTCTGGACTGTTCCTATCATCATTTCAGTCACCGATAAATCCCAAATGCGCTCCGTCCACATGAGCAACACATTAACCAGGGTGATTATTAGACTCGTACAACTGCTGAATGTACATTAGGTCTCGCAGGAACTGCAGGTTCCCGTATTTTCTCTACTCTTGTTATTATTTGTTTTCTTTCCTACATTTTTTTTTTAAATGCCACAGACGGCCTTCCCTGCAGGCCCCTGGGAGAAGGGCCAACTCCAGCTGACTGGAGGAAGGGCTGATTTGTATTTTAGTCCTCCGGACACGCTCTGAGGCAGTCCAATCTTTAGTGCATTGGGACTGGCTCTGCCTGCCCTTCTCCTACTGTGGGTGGCAAACCATGAGAGGCCAGAGAGAGAGAGGGAGAGAGGTAATTTGATTCCGACAGGCTCAGTTCTGAGAGTGAACCGAGCTGGCTCCAACTTACGTGTGTGTAAGTTGTACATATGTGTGTGTTTGCCTCAGTAAATCCATGAGGTGATGTGTACGGTCTGAGGGTGTTTCTATTACACACCGGTCAGGAAGGAGGGTGTTTGGTGGATGAATATGTATGCCATGTGTGATAGCTGAATCCAGCATGTGTGTCAGTATGTGTTTGTGCGTGGAGGCATTCGTGAGTGGGCTGTGTGCAGGTTAGTGTCTGACCTGTAGCCCCTTTGGATTGTAAAAGGCCTTGTTTGATCTGTTTTGATTGGAGGTTATGGGAATTTCTGTAGTATTTATCTCATTTTCATTCCTCTCACATACTGCACATTCTGCCTCCTTACTTATGTGCAGAAAAAGACTCCTTCCTATTGGATGCCCCAGCACTCAGATGATCCGTGTCTTTAGCTGAAGGCTAACTAGCACTGAGTTCGGCCTGTGAAGAAAACTATGCACACATCCTCTCCGAAGGCTCTCATTTACATGCGCTTAACGTCAGGGTATATTAACTCGCCAAACAAATGACAGGCGTTAAGTAGAACTTGCCCCAAAGACTCGGCTTGTATTGACAGTGTTCTCAAACAGATGGTTGCAAGTAGATTTAAGTGAAAACTCAACCTGACCCCAAATAGTTTACAAGTCCTACATTAAATTAGTACAAAGACAACATATCAAACCTCAAATTTTAATACTGTTATTGTATATAAGAAAAATGAATTTGATGTCAGCAACAGGATTCAAAAAAGTTGTGACGTGGAAAACAGAACACTTATAAAGTTGTTCGAGAAACATACAGCGCTCACCAAGGGCAGAGAATCTGCAGTCTCCAGTTGTCTTTACTGGGAGAAATGTGCTGCGAATGCTTCATCAATTCACATTTAAAACCATATGCAGATGTCCAAAACATGCACAATAATAAAAATGCTCTGCAAATGAAATCACCTGCTGCAAAATGCCTTTAAACAACATTCACAACAAATCTCCGGAAAATACACAGACGTGCAAGGCCAGAAACACAAAAAACCAAGTACAACTGCAGAAGGTTGTCGCTGCAAATTAAAACTTCCTAGCGACTCCCTATGAGTGCCCCTGGCTGAGGGACACCAAGTTATACAGCTCTATTATCAAACTGACTTCACACTATGCCGCTATTCAATTCAGTCAATAATTTGAATGCCTGGTCCTCCTCTCTGTCAGTCAACAGTAAAGCTGTTTCACTGACAGGGCTGTGGGGCTCTTCCTTTAAAAAGCTTCTGCAGTATTTTACTTACTTTCTAAAGTTGTTTATAGCTTTCCATCATTTATGTTTTTGCAGTATCTCTTTTGCTATTGTTTGAGCTACAGTTGTCATTTGTGTTTTCAACTATCACCTGTTGCCCATGTCTTTGAATTTGAATCATTCAATCATTCATGCTCCTTTAATGAAAATCAATCAGGTTGTTGCGGTAGCCTTTGCCAGCCACTAGAGAAATCAGTGCACCAAATGAACCAGGCCAAAAAACTCATACCGTGTGTGTCATTGGATGACTGAACTGCACTGAAAGCAGACATCACTCTGTAGTGGAAATCACCGCAACGGCTCACAATTACTCCTGAAACCACTGTGTATAAATACAGGCAGTGGCTGCATCGACAAATGCAGAGAGGACACCGTGTATAGACATAAATCAGAAATTCTGATGACTTGGCCTTTGCGCTAAAGGGTAGAGCAGATGCCCTAAGGTAAGAATGAGTTTACAGATTCCGGAAGGCAGCATTAATGATTAACAAGGTATGCTGCATCCAGACAACACCCTTTTCAGGAAAGACCTGGCATATTTCAGCAAGACAAGGACAAACCACATGCTGCATATATATTACCACAATATGCATCTGTAGTAGGAGAGTTTGATACTAAATTGGCCTGCCTGCTTTTCTTTCCTCATCACCTTCTAAAAAACAACTGGAGCATAACAATTCAAAAGCCACTTTGGGAATGAATAAGAGCCCAAGCCCAGGTATAAGACCTGTATGTATATTCATTACTTTTCGGGAATTATGTTTAATAGGTCATTACTGAAGAGCAATGGTTGCCATTATCAGAAAATTTCCAGACCTATTAAACACAATTCCCGAAAAGTAAAGTACAAAATCCGGACAGTATTATGAAGAACCGGAGTTAGTAAAACAGCAGAAAGCATAAAATTTTACATTACCTTTCAAAAAAACGAGTCGCGAGCTTGTTAATATCGTAAAAAATGAATGGCCGTCTATGGGCGATGCTAAGTGGCTCCACTACACGCTAACACCGGAAGTAAGCAGAATGCAGAAGTGAGCAGAAGCATTTGGACATGCGCAGAGTTGTCTGATTTCGCTAAAACAACCACAGAAGAAGAGTTGTATTTACGCCTGTGCTGTCAACAAACCTATAACAATTCAGGAGTTTTCCCCCTGTTAAATGTTGTCACTAGATGGCGCCCTTGCTCACTTATTTTACTGTACTGTCAAAGGGTGCACTGTGCGTGCAGATATGACATCATTACGCTGTATGCGCGCCTTGTTATGCTACCGGAAGAGCAGACATAGCAACTGAGGTTGTGTTTTGTGCCAGTGTTAATAAGGAAACCTCCTGAACTGGCCCCTACAAATAAACCAAAGGCTCAAGAGTGAAGATCGAGTCAGGTAAGAGAGTCACGATCGGAATAAGTGTTTACATGGACGCGTTTCGGAATAACGAACGGCGTAATGCACCACCCTCTCGATCGGAATACAATTTCTTTACAATCGAGCCGAATTAGATCAGAATCTTCCGATCGGTGCATTTTTATTCCGATTATTTTTGCCCATGTAAACGCAGTTAATGTCAAACCCCATTGCTGCATAGATATAAAGGGAGCTGGCCTGCCTGCACTCCTAACTCATCAACCATTGAAAACATTTGGCACATAATTAATGGGGAAAAACAGACAAAAGAGACCAAGAGCTGTTGTGAAGCTGAACTCCTTTATCAGACAAGACTGGAACAACATTTAATTTTCTCCAGTAATAGGTTTCTTGGTTCCCAAACATTTTCAAAGTGTTGTATAAAGAAGAGGTGATGTAACACAATGGTAAACATGCCCCTGCTTAAACATTATCTTGGCGTGGTGTTTGTTTAAAACTGCCATATTTTTTCCCCCAAAGAACACATTTGACATGTTGCCTTTGTTCTCTATTTCTGTGATCCCAAACCCTTAAATTCAGTCTTATTTACATTATTTCATCATCATAAAATGCTCTCAGCTCTGTGACTTGTTTGGTCATTTTGTTGGACCCATTTAAAGGACTGGGATTGGCCAGACCAGGTCCAAGTAGGCCAGGAGTTTGTCTGAAAGCAGCCTGACATATCTGACAGAGCGAATAAAAATTAGCTCGCTGATTCATCTATTGCTCAGGCTAAAAGCGAATACTTTCATCTGGTATTTGTTGATGCAGCTTATAGATGTGAATTTGGGCTCAAGTCTAAACCCTGTCATGTTTTGGCCATCAGGATGACACATATTGTAAGTTTATTAACTTGGAGACATTAAGGGACTTTGTTGTGGGACAGCATTGAAGTAATTGGTCTGTGGTTGGTTGGGCACTGATCGACCCAGCTGATGACCTTTGTGTCTCAAAGAAGCAAAGCGCTCAATCACCGAAGACTCAGCCAAGACCTCAATTCAAGGTCCGAAAGATCAATCAGCCTCAGAGCAGCTGGTAAAATTGTTTTGGACAAGATACAGAAAGACAGCAGCTTGTACTGTGTTACTGTAATTGATTCCCCTGCTTTTGAAAACGAAGCCTTCCCAACAGTCTCCAGTCAAGGGATGGATGGCACACAAGAGGGATCCTGGGTGTTGTTTCTCATAATTGTTTGAGGAATCATTGTCTGCGACTGTCTATTTTTGTCTCGATGTTTTGTCCCACAAAATGGCAGTCTTTGTGGCAATCAGCTTCTCCTAAGAGTGTCAGTCTGCCTCCTCTTCCCGCCCCTGGTGTCTTTTGTCAGAGGATGCTAATATGAGCATATCAGTCATCAGGTCCCATGCATAATACGCTCTGGGAAGTTCTAACACGAAAATGAATGACTGACACTGAACGAGTAACAGCTTTTCCTGCAACTCTGTTGCTATGGTTACTTGTTTTGTACATTTGTAGAATAGATTTCATTTACCCAAAAAAGGCAGAGCCTACAGGCACTTAATGGGCTTGACTTTATAATATGTCAGTATGTAGCAGATCCCACTGGATGTGCATCATGACTTGGATGTTTATGAGGGGAAAAAGTGAATACTAATATTCCTCTGCTGGAGAAATTCTGTCTGTAGTTCAATCACAGTCCTCTGCAACATTTTCGAACTAAAGCCTCCCTCCTTCCCTTCCCCACCTCACACTTCATGCATTCTTTACACCTTTTTTCCCCAAGCTGGGATCCAGGGCTGATTTGTAAGCTGGTGCTGCTCTTTTGTCTGCCTGACTGGCCGGCTGCCATAATAATTTACTTCCTAATGAGGTACAGCTCCAGTTAATTACAACAACAGCTTTATTTTGGTGTTGATCATACATTTCTAAACTCTGGATGCGGAAAAAAGTATCATGCTGAGCGCATTCAGGAATTATCCCAACAAATGTGTTTTAATAGCGTTAAGTAATAGACCTCTTATCTCATTTGTGTTGTGGAACCATCTGTTTAAGCTAGAGATTGTGCTCTTCTGTGAATACATTTCACTTTCTCTCTACTCTAAGCGCTAATTAGTATCTAGAGGCAGTTCATGTACTGGAACGGTGCTTGCTGTTGGTTGGCTCATCCATGAGACCTCAGGTAAAATCCCAGCGAGATCTTTTAGCAGTGACATCAAACGGGTTGTTTGTTGATCGGGAGTCTGTATAGTTCTTACCCGTGGTCCCTCTTTGTGTTGGCTCTCTGTTCATCATCGGGAACTCAACAGGCTCTCACAGGCTCCTCATGCACTCAGGCCACTGGAAACTACATTTGGCACAGTCGGTGTACTTCTCGAATCGGCCGGGAAAACTTGGCATCTTTGCATGTTAATTAATTTCACGCTGAATCCTCTGAAAGTGGCGATACACTAGTCATTTGTTTTTTTGTTTTCTGACAAGTGCGGACGGGCAGGGATCCCAGCTGGAGGACAGAAATGAGCCACGCCATCAAAAAAATTCCTAACCGCACAACAAGTCCACCTGTTACCCACAAATATCTCCCATGTGGTGGGACCAGTCTGGTTGCATTTTCTCCCTATACCGTTATTTCCGTTATTGTGCTGTTTTCATCCCCATTAAATCCGTCATGGAGCTTTCTCACCACAGTTTACTATGCATCATTTTGCCAAAGATGTCCAGTGTGATTATAATAGCCTTCATGCTGGCCATTTTCTATCCCTTCTTATCTAATTACATTGCTTGAATCCCCCTTTTGTCCATAAGAATTACAGTCTCTGATAACAGCATTTATCTCTTTTTAATCCGCTACCCTCACAGTGCTTCATTTCACCTCATTCTGAATGGGGAGCATTGATTTCATCTCTAGTTCTGCTCTCCGTTTTGTCTCTCTTTTGTGTTGCCCGTCTCACTGTCCCCCCTGCAGTTTCTGAGAATCTCTGATAGCCCTCTTCTTGCTTACAGCGGCAGTAAGCACACAGTATATCCATCATTAATCTCTCCTATCATCCCACTCGCCTTCTCTTGTCCACTGACATCATCTGCCGCTTGCAGAGTCTCTCCCCCCTTGAAGCCATATCTGAATCCAAACCCTCACATCCCCAGTGAAACGGGCTGCCCACCTCTGACAGTGTGCGGCGCCTCATCTTATCCTTTACCCTCAACACCTTAAAGGTATTTTACAACAATACGATTTTTCATTCTTCATGCTTTAGCCGTTCCTTGAAAAAAAAATCACAGACATCAAGGGCAGAGCAGACACAAACATCTCCATCACAAGGCTGGAAAGAAAGAGGCAGTTCAGACGGATGTGTGCATCAGAGAGAAAGAGAGAGAGAGAGGAGTTGAAAGGAAAAACTGTTTTATTGCGAGATAAAATTACACACTTAAATTATACTGCGTGAAATAAGAATAAACTTTCATCTGGGTTTGTTTTTCCTTATTACAAAATAAAGCGTTCCTGCAGAGGTATTGGTAATTTATTCTCCAAGCTCATAGGAGCTAAGAGGAAACTTAAAGGAAAAACCTTTTAAGTGTGATCAAGTCACCCACTCCTCACCGAAAAAGAGGTGTAAACTGCCGGGACTCTGGAGAATCTAAATGTCAAAATGTGCCGCGTATTCAATTTCCAAATAAGTGGTCGTCTTTCACCTCTCTGCTCTGCTGGAGAGAAAACCTCTAATATGATTCTCATGCTGTGAGGCTTCTTTACAAATAAGACGCATGATGGGAAAATTTAGTGTCCACACAGACGGGACAGACCCCGATAAGTCAGAAACAGCCAGCTGTGAGTGACACTGTGGCACATATTGACACCATTGGGAGTAAATCCTGCTGAAAGGTGCTTAAGGCTGCTGTCCCGGCAGTGATGTGTCTGAATGAGTGAGTCTGACAAACCCTCTGTCAGCTGTGTGTCGGTGCGGCACAGAGAGAGAGAGAGAGAAAGAGAGAAAGAGAGAGTAGTTCATATCAGGAGCCCACAAGAAGTCAGAGCTGAGAGGATGAACTAGTGCACTTGGACACGAGCGATGAAGACTGTAACTGCCTGCTGATACCCACGACTCGTCTGAGATGTCACTTCCACTTCCTGCCATGGGACGCCTCTTCAGCTCAAAAGTATTGGCAGCATGTCAGCGTCACTTGATGAATATGAAAGTGTCAGTCCTGCTTGGAAAACAGGGACAGATGGCTGTTAAAGTGGTTTACCTCGTTACTGAAGATCAGAGGATACTATTCAGACCTTCATTTTTATTCCATTCACGGTAGAAACCATGCTGCCCATATATCATTAAAGAAAAACTGTGAGGAGTCATCGAGAACACCTCAAACACAGGGGGGATTTTTCTTTTCCCCAATCGTGGATTCGTGGTCTGACTCAGCTCCACCATTGTTGAGTGAGCCTAATTGGAAAAATGCTGCAAACAACAGCAGATAATATTCACTTGCTATCAAAACAAAAATAAGAGGCTTCCTCCAAAATCTGCCACAGAGTATATCACAGTGGGCTTACTTGGACAGCACTTTTCAGCATTTAGCAAGTTACAGTGGCAAGGAAATGCTTTCTTTTTTCACAAGCAGAAACCTTGAGCGGACCAGAGTCGTGTTGAACTGCCATCTGCTGTGACTGAATTGGGCTTGGAAAGGGGGGATATAGAGTTACAGAAAGAGATGGATAGAGACAGACAGCAGCAACAACAACAATGACAACAGCTCAGTCAGAGTTATAGTTACAGTGACAGCAGTGATGGTAAATGTGTGTGTACTGTTTAGAGGGAGTCAATACTTACATTTGCATTTATGATGAGGATCATCATATCAGAGGTGGCTGTAATAGTTTTAGCTTTTGCAGTCAGAGTCAGGCAGGTCTACAGTAAGTATTTGCATTATAAGAGTGGGAATAAAGGTCAAATAAAAATATATCACTGTACAGTTTGGACACTGTCTTAAATGTTTTTAAAAAGTCGGGATATGAACAACAAAAGACAGAAAAAACTGTGCAATGCAAACAGACATGGAAACAAACAAGTAAATTGATAAATCAATTAATGACCCAGAGGAACAATTCCCTGCTAATTGAGTCAATTTGCAGAAGGTCAGTAATATGATATAAAGGTCATCCCAGAAAGGCGGAGTCTCCTAAAAATAAAGACGAAGAGAGGTTTGTCAATTAGTAACACAGACGTAATTTGTGGGGGGGACACGGGGGACACTTTCAAAAGCCTGTTTTTGTCCCCTGCAGATTTAACCGTCTGAAAACAATGTTACTTTACACTATAGCAAACTGATACACGTCAGGCACTAGGAACAAACGGCCACCCAAGCCGAAAACTGGTTTCCCTCGGTTTGGACCACCCACAAGGTCCTTGATTAGCTCTGCTTCGGGGCCGCTTTTTGTGTGTGATTGGCTATCCCTGCTGTCAGTCATTCCCTGCCCGCCAGACTAGTGCTTTGCAAGTTGCTCGTAAGAGTCAGTCCGTGATCATCGCTATTCGCTGATTTACTAATCGCCGATGTAAGTTTACAGGAGGGCGGCGTTCATTTTCCCTCCGTAGCGTCACATTTATCGGAGGTTTCATTTACATCCCTGCATCGGGTTTGTACTTCCGTCCACCTGCTGGCCGTGTTGCCTCCTCTATTACTGTGTGTGTGAGATGTGCTGTTTGCTAGGCTATACATGAAGGCGGGAACTGAACATTGATGTTTGAATCCACGTGTCTAATCAGTACTCGAGTCACACGTGTCCCCCCCATCTTTGAAATCAAAATTTCGTCCATGCTTAGTGAGAGGCTGCATGAGCAAATACTTCAATAATTTCATCATCTACAGCAGATCAAATCATTTAAAATTCAGGTACTTGATTGAAAATAGCGTTACCTGAGGCAAAACTGCATCAAATATTCACATGACTGTTGTGGGAGTCACCAAATGGGTGAAAAAAACCCTAAAAAATCTGTATGGATTTTTTTTTTTTGCTGCATCCACAAATGCGGGTTTAGCTGTACCATGAAAAGAGCAAAATCACACATGAACATGGCCAAGACATAGTGACAGCTGCTTTGGGCTAGAGCTTATTTAAGATGGTTCAAGCGGAAAACTGCCCTGGGGCTTGTTGAAAAGCTGTCCAATGGTCTGATGAGTCAAAATTTGACATTTATTTGGAGGATATGGATGTAGCATCCTCTGGTTTATAGATACAGGGACCACCTGGCTTGTTTCGAGTGCAAAGTTGAAAAAACAGGTGATGGTATGGATCATATGTGCCCAAGACATGGGTGGCTTACACATCTGGAAAGGCAGCATTAGTGCAGAGTAATATGTTCAGGGTCTGGAGCAACACATTCTCCCATCCAGAGTATGCCAAGCCATATGCTGCACATATTACAACAGCATGGATTAATCATTTGCAAACGGACAAATTCTGCCGTCGCTGACATTTTTCATTGCACCCAAGTTTTTTTTTAATTGGGGGTCTAGTTGTAGTAGTTTGAGTCGAGTAGATCCAACGCAGCAGTCTGTCTGCAGCAAGATACAGAGGCAGATTTAAAGTTTGTGACATACAATCAAAAAGGGAGAGATAGAGAGGGAAGCATTGGAGCCTGTGCAGGATTTGCTGCCAGTCTTGGACTATGGCCACATCACTCACAGCAGGTCTGTGTAGGCCTGTATTCAGGGAGCTTAATGTTCTGGAAAGGTAATAGGGCACAATTGGCACTTTAAGAAACGATGGTACCTGACCATTAAGGGCTGACCTTTAAGGTCTGGAGATTGATTCTGAACTCTATTTTAGGTTTTATGTGAAGTCAGTCTGGAGAAGCTAATTTCTCAGTTTTGGTCACTTCTCAATCTGGAGTGTTTGGGACCGGCATAAGAATCCAAAACCTATTATTGAGAGTGTCTGATGAAAGAGAATAAAGCTTGTCCAGCTCAGAGTTGATGAATGCATAGACTCGTTTTTCTGCATCTTTGTGAGACAGACAGGATGTGTCTTATTTTTGAACAACACGTCCTGACTCCTACATGGAAAACAAATAAAACCGAAACAACCACAATTTGAAAATTACTACATTTTGAGCTTAACTCCTGCAAATATAGGAGTGTGTTCGACTGAAAAAGCAGCTTTTACCTCTTACCTGGTGATGTCCACTTTGACTTAAACCACACTCTGCTGTTTCTCGTCTACGGCCTTTGTTTTTCTGTGAGGTCTTGAGTTGATCTACAGCAACATTAGGTACTCCAACTCATTTATCCCCTCAGCGATCAGGCCGCTAAATGCAGGGAAGTAGCAGATTGGTGGCCTGTATTGGATTTTGGGGTGTTGAAATTGGGGTCTAAGGATTGTTTAGTTCTTATTTTACTCCTTTTATTGCATTATTTCTTATTGCATTTTAGTCATTCCACTGTTGAACGTATTGCACATGTATTTATTTATTGCTGATTTGTGGTGCTGACAGGGCAATGTTTGGGCCATATGCTGCTGTGAATGCCTGGTATTTGTCTGTTTCTTGATCGTTTAATAACAAGGCGAGATAATGTGAAGTGAATTGTCCTTCAGGGATTCATAAATTTGTCTGAATCTGAATCTGAATGTTTCTTATTTTCTAATTTTTATGCCTATTTGAGTAAAATCAGAATTTTAAAGCGACTCTATCTTAAATAAACATAGCAGATTTGATCCCACCATCTTTGAAAGACTAGTCTCATGAAACGTAACAGTTAATTCTGACTCTGAAATAAGTTTGAGTAAATGTACTTTTACATTTTTACCAACACTTGAAGACGGCGTCTTTATGGCTTTATGACAAAGCAGTTGTGAATAATTCAAAACATCCCGAGAGTGTTTAGAAAATGTTCTCAGCTCGTACAGGAGTAAGTAATGTTGTTTAAATGTTTCCCCTTAGCTGACATTCCTTCAATAGAAAAAGTAACTAACTTTTTCTTTAAAGTGTGAGTAATACAGTACATGCTATACATTGTGCTACATGCGTCGATTTAATCCTGTGATCCTGTTGACATGTCGGTACCAGCTGTAGCGTGTGCTTAAGAATGCATTAACCTTGTTAGAGTCAGTGCTGTGTAAAACCATTTTTTCTGCCGCTGGAACAGAAAGATTCAGAACGAGCCAGAATGTACTTAAATATAAAATAACCGAGGCAATCTGCCCGGCTACAACAAGGTCTGCGGAAACACTTGAAAATCTTACATAATTCATGTAGCGACATAAGATTTATTTCCAGCCAAGGTGTTGTGTACAGGCTGACAAACACCTCTGTTTCCTCCATTAGTAAGAGAACCACTGCTCCTGCCCCTGACCTCTGCTGCATCCGGTGGGTGAGCATAACTGATCTTGTCAGACCAGTGGGCTCATTTCTTGCAGGTCATGTTCATGTTCACACATTAAAAATCAACATTCGGGCTGTTTCAGGGCAGAGAGGGGAAAAATGGATGGCCCCAGGGGTGAGGATGGTATTTTCATTCGATGCTCCACTTTTCAGGAGCTTGATGTTTTTGAGGGTTGCATGTTTTTTTATGCATCTGCGCACACAGTGTCCACAGCCGCAGGCCTCCTGTTCCTTGTCTGTCCATCCCATTGAACATGAAGTCTCAGGGGCGCCTGGAGGAGGTCTCTGGAAATGTGGCATAAATGTCCGGATGGTCTGAGGGATGGACTGATTTGAGTTTGGTGGTTACTGTGACCTCACTTGACATGACTTTGAGAAGAAAGGTCAAGGTCTTTTTTTTTTAATCAGATCATTGTAGCCAGGAAAAGTACATTTCCTGTTCTGTCAAAACTTAAGGATCAGCTATGAGTATATTTCAGTATATTTTATTTATATTTGTCCACATTTGAATTTCAGACGCTAAAAAAGTTTCCACGTGTTAAAGTTTGTTTCTTTTCATCCTCAACATCTATATTTTAATTCTTTATTTACTTTTATTCCTGCAGCTATGTGTTCTGGCAAAAAAAAAAGTCTTTACTTAATGGTGTCGAAAACAGAAAAAAATTTTTCGAGTCAAGTTCAATCAATTTTATTTGTACTTCAAAATATAACAAATTAAACACAAGCCTCAACAGGCTTTACTGTTGTACAGCCCAAGGCAGCTTCTATTCTTAGACTAGAGGAGGAGCAGCTATTTTCCCATTAAAGATAGAGAATTGCATGGATGAAACGCCATCAGAAAACCACATTAAGGTTTACAACCGCAGTAAAAATGTTGCAGGACGGGATCATCCGTAAACGACCTTGGAGGAGATGGTCTACGGAGACTAACGTGAGCTGACTGAGCCTCAGGTTCTTAAAGTTCTCCATATTCGAGTGTAAAGAAAGAATACCCTGTTGTGTTTAGTCATCTTGCCTACAACTTGATTTAAAAAGCACAATAAGACACAATAAAACTACACAAATTCCCTTTTCACTATGCAGAGCTTCATTTAACTGAACTCTGTTTTTGTTTGCTGACTGACTCTGGGTCTGTACTGTGCAAGTCTAAAGAAAACATGAATTAGACGTTAGGAGGAGTTGGTTGAGGTGTATTGTTATGAAGCTTGGCTCTGCTGGAAATGACCAGTTAACTTTCCTCGAGGAGCTGAGCCCTGCAGATTTTCTACTGAGGGGCTGGCAGAAAATAGTCAGGTCAAAGTTGAAATGAACATTTTGGCTGTTTCCAGAAAGTTCCTCAAAGTCACAGGAGTTTGTGCACCTGTGAATACAGCTTGATAGTGCAAAGTGAGTGATCTTATTAAAAATCTTGCACGCTGGAATTGCAGTTGTCATATTGTTCCTGTTTTCTGCACATGCATTTAAAGGTCCCCTATTATGAAAAATCCACTTTTGGGTGGTTTTCTACCATTAATATACATCCCCTCGATTTTGATTTCATTCTCTCCTCTCTTACTTTCTCCTACTTTCTGAAAACATGAGCGCAAACGGGCGAATAGAAAAGCTATGCGGTTATGACGACATAACCACATAAGCTAGAAGACGGAAACTGAGATGGATGAAGCATTTCGTCCGTCCCATTCTTTCATTCCGTCCGTCTTTTTGCACAAAGCGGGGAACATTACGGACAGACGGGTGCCAAACAGCGTTAGTCATCAGAGATAACTATATCATTCCACTTTTCAAAATATTGGGCACTCACCAAAAGAACTCCAAGTAACGACAAGACAGCAGAGACGTAGCCGTCAGATAAGCTAACCCACCTAGAAATGTAACATAACACACTTACAAAGTAAAAAGACAAATATAAAGACACATATTTATAACCAACCATTCAGAAACGGACGTAGGCGTCAGATAAGCTAACCCACCAAGAAATGTAACATAACACACTGAGTAAAAACATAAATATAAAGACACCTAATATTGGTAACCAACCATTCAGAAACGTCCTGTTGCAGCCACAGAGTTTGACTTTCTTCGGCAGCCTCACCCTCTGGGTCAGACTCTGGGTCAAATTGGTAGGGCTGAACCACAGCGCTTGTAACACCGACTGTAAACATTAGCGTATGGTATCGGAGCAAAAGCCGCAGCCCCTTCCTGAGAGGGGCGTGGTTATACACAGCTCATTATCATTTTAAGGCACAGGCGCAGAATCAGCCCGTTCTCAGTGGAGCTTAAAAAGAGGGGGGTTCAGGCTGGCTGATATCTATAAATAAACTGGTGTTTTAGACAACAAACTTTAAATTTACTATTGTGGGACCTTTGGGACCAATTTAAACTTGATGAAAAATGCCATAATAGGGGACCTTTAAATCTGGGCTGATGCATGTAAACTCTTATTTGACAAGTTGACTGAGGTTGTAATTTGAGTTTTTCATACCTGCAACAGCTCCTCAGCTCTAGTTTTGAATATTTTCCTGCATTAATAAACTCTACTTGGAATTGATTTGTAATGAAGCTGAAGCAGACTGGGAATTGTACTTTAATATCCAACAATGGCAAAGTAATTAACACCAATGAGACCCTCGTCTGAGTTTTCTCTCAGCCTAACTTAATCTCTGTCTGGTTTCTGTTTGAGGGGCTTTTTTTTGTGATTTCACGTGTGGATTGTGCACGGCTTTTCTCCAAAGCCTTTTCTTTTTGAGAACTTGAAAGGCCGCTGGTGCAATCCACAGTACAGACAGTGAAAAAGTCCTAAAAAGTTGTCAAGAATCCCTTATCGTCCTGTATGTTTGCAACTGCATACTCTAAAGGCGCATACTAAAGAGTGGCAGCTGAATCCATCTACAATACCCGTTCCAATCCTCAGTCTGAGTATCTGAAAATACCGCTGAAGCGTTGTGGTTTTTATCCCAGCAGTCAGAGAAGAATAAGCAGCGGGCGCTCCCCTGCACATCATAGCTGTCTGCTTTAAAAGAACGGCAAACCCGGAGCCAATTCCTTCGCATCAAACAGGTTGGACGATTGAAGAAGACACCGGGGAGAAGGTGCAAAGATAAGACATGCAGTGAGGATCAGAAGGTAAATGTGGCAAAATAGGAAATGCGCATGTGTCGGGAGGAAAGACAAAGATGGGGGTTGTCTTCACAGATCACCAGTAATTGTGTAATTTGTCACATCAAATTGGTGCAAGACCTGTCTGTGATTGGTCGTGTCCTTTGCCATTCGGGGCCTCAGCTTCACAAGCCAGTAATGTTGTGCAAATGCAGGCTAGCCCTCCTCCTTCTCAGGGTGCTATAAATAGGGGGAGAGAAGCCTCAGGCTCTCAGTGTAATGAGATTAAACCAAACCAGCCTCAGCTCCCAGTGTTTTATTGAGCTTTATTTCAGTTTCCATTCTGTGTTTTCAATATGTATAGGGAAGATATTGAGTGTGGCTGCTCTGCGTGCTACACAGAGTCCATGTAGGAACATTATGTGATCATGATGTGAAAGACTTGTGTGAGTATGTGTGCAGTGCTCTCGTTTTGCCCCCCGCAGGGCATGACACATCTCCTGAAGATGTGTTTTATCATGACGGTAAAATGTTTGTCACTGTATTTCTGTGCTGTCACGAAGTCGTCTCTAATTGTCCCACTTCCCTTGCCGACTTTTATAGCAGTTTTCATAAGTGAGAAGTCACCACAGTTGTGCAGAAGGCCTGTGCAACTTTATCATTGAATCCAGAGCTGAGAGAAGCAGACTGACCAGTAGTGGGAAAGCTTTTGTGGTTGAGCTTCTGGGTCTGAGGTTGTGGGAACACTTTTTCATGAGATGGAAAGTGTCTGGGGAAATACAGAGTGGGAGACATGCATTCTGTTTGGACATACTGCTGATTCTCACAGCCCATATTCCTAGACTCTGACGTTTTTAAACGGTCTGCTAGACCCTGGCTGCTTTTCCAGGCACGACGCTCAGGCATCATTTCCCAATCACAGCTTCTTCCCTCATCTTTTCGCCAGCAGTTTGGGCTTCCAAGGTTCACACGATTCTCTCCATGGTAAAAATATCTGTTATCTATCTCCAGCTTCCGTGTCCATCAAATGTTGCACAACACTTCCTCGCTGTCCGTCATTTTGATGGACAGGGTCAAAATAATGTCGTCACATTGTTTTATTGCCAATCATTTCAGGTAACAGTTTTCCGGTGATAATGAGATTCAGTCTCCGGCTGCCACCGGATGAGTCTCTTAACAAACCCTGAAATCAGATCTCATTTTTAGATAGACGGGGGCATCTTTCGAGAAATGTAAAAACCCACTGTGCTTGTTACAGACATAACAACACTTATAATTTAGCAAGGCGTTAGAGACATCATGAGAGATATTTGTATACGTCTTTCAAAGGCCTGAAACCGATGTGAGGGTGTAGGTGTCACCTTAACAACTGGAAAAAAAAGCGATTTTCATGTAAGATATTCTTTAAAATTGTATTTATGTCCAAAATTACAACTTAAGCTTATAGAGGTTGAGAAAAGCAAAGACTACCTTGTCCGCAGGGGGCGCCAAATCTGTCCGAAACTAAAAGTAGCTTACGGAAGCTTGAATGTAGTCGTGGAAGTTTTTCCGTTGCTGCTGGTGAAGAATGAAATAGAGACTTCTGCCGGCCGACAAGGTTTTATTTTCTTTGCAAAGAAAAGGTCAATCTGCATCCGAGCGGTCAGAATCAAGAAAGACCCAGAACATGGGGAAACCTGAACATTTATGCTTGAGGACCGCCCCTCAGAGGGCAAGGAAGGGGCTTTGATGTTGGCACCTTTTGTTTTCTGTGGGGACCGTCACTTCACCCCCCTTGGGTGGTATGATATGTTGATAGGAAAGTCTGTTGTGGGGGGCACCTCAAGCAGTTCTTAACAAAGACAATAAAATTACAATTACAATGTGTTACAAAAACTAATCAACACAACTTTGTTTATCATGAAATTAGAGTTTGTAAAAACTTAAATGACATTTTTCTTGACTGAAAATAGTCTCCCTTCATTTTTTCGTTTTTGAGATTTTTCACATTTTTTAAGGGGTAGACCGACACACTGGCGTGATGATCCTGGCACAGAGACATATGTGAATGTGTCTGCAATTATTTTAGTGTTTAAGGCGTTGTTTGTCTAGCTGTATTAGCATGCACCCCATATACTGAGGGATCTGCAGGTGGGTGCTGCAGGTTTGATTCCAACATGCAATCCCTCCCCAGTTTTCTGCCCTATTTAGCAATCAATTCTCTAGTAAAATAGGAACAGAGAATTTATTTCATTTAATACGTTAATGCAACTGAGAGCAACGTGTAATAATATTTTCAAGCTTTCCTGATGCAGCATTAGCCAGTTAAGCAACCCCCTCAAGAAGTCTTCTATTAGGTCTTCAACAAACAGCATATGTAGGCCTGTGCATGGGCAGCATATGAGACTGTTGGTCAGGTCTAGCCATGACAGAGAAATTTCAAGCTGGCGGCGTGACGTCAGAGAGGGGAAAATAAGTGCAGACAGGAAGGCCACGTTTGAATGGGGGAACATTTTTACTGCATAAAAATTCTGCTTGTGCTTCAAAAACGAGGGAGACTATGAGGGACAAGAGGGCACTGAGTGACATACGAGTAAGAATGACACACACAAGATTGACTCATCAGACGAGCATGTTGCATTCACTGCCCCGCTGCAAGGCGACGGCCCTGAGGCAGCTTTAGGACAAATGAATCCACTCAGATTATGCAGCCTTTTCTGCACTAATGATATCTAACTGCTATCCAGGATGATCACACTGATTTTCTCATTGTTCTCTTAGTAATGTGACTCTCCTGGTTCTCAGCAATATAATTACAGTACAGTTTGGCTAATTGTCCTCTACCGCCATGGTGGTAATTCGCCTTAACATAAAACACTCAGCTTTTGATTTGGTAAAAGAGATGATGTTGTTTCTTTTTATAGGCTTTTATTAATATAAAATTAAGTATTTAGCAGCAGGCGCCATTGTAAACCTAATTAATTAATCAGGTATAATCAATATTTTTGAGGTTAAAGGCATGGTTGACGATTGGAGAAGCAGTTGAAAAAACTGAGCTGTAGAGGCAGATTTGAAAAAAGCGTCCCACCCTCCACACACAAACCTCTCCCTCTGTGCTTCATGATAACTCCCCCCTGAACCTGTATCGCCCTCCCCACGACACACCCCCTCTAGTGGAGCAAGAAGCCGGCCAGCAATAGATCCTACGCTAGCTACAAAGGATTCGCCATGCCGGATTGCTAGTGACTAGCGGTAGTAAACGCCAGCTCTGCTATTGAGCAGTGTCTGCAGCTGCCTGGACAGCTACCGTGTTGACATTGCAGAGACTAATAGGAGTTATTTATGTAACATGTGCCCCGATAAAAGGCAAGATAAAAGCTCCTGTTGCTTAGCTGCTACGCTACTTTTAGCCACTCAGAGCTCCGAAGAGGGCTGGGAGAGCGGGAGGGGACGAGTCGGAAACACGAGAGAAGGGTGTGTAGAATACAGCGAGGTATTTGGATGGAGGCAAGGAGCAGGAGATTTACCAATATGAGCTGTCCGGGACGCAGGATTTTTTTTGGAGGATGGTAGGGGAAGGTCCCGCCTCCTACGAAAAAAAATATTGCGTCCAGGATGGATAGCTCCCATTGGTCGATGATTTTTCAAGCCCTACAGCTGCTAGGATGAAGATTTCTTTTCCTCTCTTTTTTCTCTTCACTTTGTTGAGATCATACTAAAGGACCATGATCGCCATATAAACGAGGTTCATAATAATTACCAATCTCTCCAATCGTCAACCATGCCTCTAAAAAGGAATATATGTTATGTGAAAGGGGATGTTAGAGACCTGGTTCTGCTTAAAACACTTTCAGCATGCCCAGATGACTTATTCGTGTTTTCTGTAAGAACCAGGCTGTTTAAGATTACTCTCATCACATTTATAATTCAACTTTTTAAAATATAGGCCCAAAAAAAAAAAAGGGGCCTAAAAACCAACTCTGAAGCCTCCTTTTGACCGCAGCGCTCTTAAAACCATCTGCTCTCTGTGTGCTCCCGCCACGAGTGTGAACATGATGGACAGTACACTAAAACCAAGAGGAGGCGAACAACTCTCCTGTGCGCTCCCTTTTAGTCACCGGCATCATGAATGCATAACAGGACAATTCAGAGCATCAAGCTAAATGGACCGTTTCACTGTGTGTTCAAATCAACCTTGTACGCTTTCCCACTCGGCTGCACCCTGCCCAGCGTTTGTTTTTGCAGCGCATTATAGCCGTAATTATCTATCATTCCAGGGTAATATGCAGCCAAGCATCTTTGTGCCGGGCAATATGTATGACGAATCTGATGCCAAGATGGTTTATTAGTCTGCATTTCACCCCCTAGATTGGATTAAATCTGACAGAAAGTGAAATACAGAGAGGATGTAAAGGATTGTAGATAGATAGATGGATAGATGGATAGATAGATGCATAGACTGGTATTCGCCATAGGGGGTGGATAAGTGAATAACCACATAGGAGGTAAAGATAGAGGGAAAGATGTTGAGATAGTGAGGAGGAACAGAGCCACAGTGACACAAAGGTATCTCTGGATGACTCACACTCCTCTCTCTCTCTCTTCATCTCACTCTAGTCTGGATTAAAATAAAAGAGGCCCAGCAGCCCCAGCCTGCAGAGAGCGAGTTAGGCGCTCCATCTCTGAGATAGGGTGATGCACTAAAAATACACCTCCCTGTATGGTCTTGTTGAGGAGGAGGAGGGAGGTTTAGATACATTTGTTGGTACAGTATAGACAGTACTATCGCTGGTGGTGTCTGTGGTCCAGCTCCACCCCCTCGGCCTTTCTTCTTTTGTGGGTTTCCTGTCTCTGCTTAACAGTGTGCGCTAATTAGCTTCTGCAAGTGCGCTCTGCCACTTTCTAGTAATGCAGGCCGGTCAGTGTGCTTCCAATTCAGTTCATTAAGCAGAATTCAGCAAGATACCGCTTTCATCTTGTAACCCCATTTCCTTCGTTCCATCACTCCCCCCCTTCTGCTCGCATCTCCTCTGACAAAACTCCATTAGACATCAAAAGCAAATCAATATCATTGTATTGCTCTCACAGCTGCAGAGTGGTAACTCCCCCCGCAGCGGAGTCCCTCTCCCAACTCCTAATTTATCAGGACGCGAGTGGCAGGAAACTAAACAAAGCACCAATTGAACATGTCTCTCCATCTGTCATCTCTCAGGATGGCTCTCTGTGTCAGCCGATCCATCTGTTTAGCCCAGCTTCAGCCTCCACCACAGCAGAGGGGAGGAGAAACACGGCGGAGCTCCCGCAATGCAAACCTACAAGGTGCGTTCAGAGAGGAACAATGCTCATTATACAAACAGAGTGGCTTGATTCTGCCTCTGATATTTGGGAAACAGAGCAGCGGTTACAAAGAGAGTTTATTGTGGAAAAAGTTACCACACTTTAGTCCTTACCTTTCACACTAAACGGCCCCTGGGGGTCACGGAGGGGGATTTACATACAAAGCAGCGAGGGAGCTCAAAGGAGGCTAAAGTCTGAAGCGAGGGAGAAGAAGCAGGAGGAAGATTCGCTCGTGTTTATCCAATCATGGCTGTCATTAATCACTTTGCACGTAGGCAGGATTGAAAAGAGAAAGTGAAAAAGACACTGACAGGCTGAGGGACTGGCAGATAAAAGAAGAGAGAGGAGGAGAAAATGGAAAAGAAAATCTGATCTTGTTGCCCTTTGTTTCTGATGTTGCGAAAGTGCAGAAGACAACAGTAAACACTGAGCAGAAATAAAGCAAAGTTGAAGAGAGGTTTCTTTTTTGTTGCTTTGGCTTTGCTTCAAGGCAAGACTGTAAGGTTGGTAAGGTGATTTCCTGCTCCAAGGTTTGTTGGAGGTGTTTTCATCAAAGATTTGTTGCTCTTTTCTTACCCAAGTTTAGGGCATTTCAGCAGGAAGCAATCTGAAACATACAGACAAGACAAACAATTTAATGTCCAATTAGTAAAAGAAAGATGACAGACCAGGTCGGTCCTCTGAAGTCAGGTGGACTAAGTGTCTGTTTGAGTTTATGGAGAGCAGATTCGGGACAAAAAACCTCTATATAAGCAAGAATGGCATCATTACAGGCTTAGAAGAGATAGGGAAGATGCAGCAAGAACTTGAAGGTCACAAAAAACACGAGTGTAAACACGTATTTCACAATGTAAAAAAAAAAATCTATACAAACTGTTATCTATTGGTTGATGTGTTGCCATCTTCAGACATCACACCACATTTTCTGGCCGTTTGACAATTGTTTGATGTTTCCCCTGCACGGAGAGCCAATCTATTAAAAAAGGCATCATACCTATGGGGTGGCTGCAGTGCTGTGGTAGAGTTATATCTCACTTGCAAGGTTGGTAGATTGATCCCAGTTCCCTCTGTCACATACCAGATGTCCTGGTGTAAGTGACTGAATCCCAAACTGCTCCTAGAGACATAACCAGCAGAGTGGATGGGATTGGGTAATACTGATGCTCTCCTACTAATGCATCCTCTACCATCAGTTTATGAATGTGCTGTGAATGGGGAAAAGTAGTCAAAAAAGCAGTCTCAAGTTAAGTTTGCATAGCTGTTATTGTTGGTTAAAGGGCTATTCTGGTGTAAAATTAATTTAGGGTCAAACACACCGGAACACCAAGTTAGACATGCCCTCGAGAGATGAATGTTGCCGACCGCTTGCTTCTCTAGTTTTACCAACTTTAGTAACGACCGCAGGATAGAACACAAACCTCAACCAAAATGCCACTCTATAGCCACAAATAATGCACAGTCCATTATGGTCTGCTGCGTGGTGTCGCAGCTCAAGGAAGAACATTTATGAACATTTCTTCAAGAACATCAGACCGAGACGCTAAGGCAGAAGAACTACCGTGTCTGCAGTGCAAAATGACTAATATGGTGATTATTACTTAAAGGAAATGATGAAGAAATGATCATAAATGTTCTTCCTTGAGCTGCGTCACACCTCACACGCTAGGATATCCCTTTAACTTGTACAACTTTCTTCTACGGAAGCCCTAAGCGGACATTTTTTCCGCAATCACAAGATAGTTTTTACGTACCAAGAAGCACCGGAGCAATAGCCTAGTGGATATGACTATGAATAATTTTGGGGTGACCTTATCCTGTAAAGTTCAGAGTGTGCATCTTCTTACCCCGTGCATTTCGTCTTGTCGCAGAAGGCAAACAGCGCAGACACTGCCCCGTGTACAGTGATCAGCCCAATGTTTTTCTTGAGATCACGAGAAAACCATCTTGTGATCTCGAGAAAACGGGGTAAAAAAGTAAAAAATAAACCATGTCTGCTTAGGGCTTCCATATTCTTCACCACATCCCTCAGTCTTTCAGTTTATCTCAGCTGGCCTCAGGGGACGGTTATTTTACACTCAACTTAACTCCAATCCTGAAATGATCCCTATTTTTTAGATATATTTTAGGGAAGAAACCCCACCTCGCATTCTCATAATTATTGTAATTGCAGTGGCAGTTTATTTCTGACTTGTTGAATATTTCATGTCGCCCCCAAAAGCAGCATTTACGATCAAACAGACAACATTTTTCCACACTGTTCATCTAACATAGTTGTAAACAGCCGGGAATCCACTTCCCAACCTCAAATTCTTATTTCCATACAAAGCGTATTGTGCAGGGGTACAGAAATCAGCAGATTTATACTTTCACACTCCGCTGCGCTCTTGCATTTATTATGCCGAACACATCCACGGAGCGCTGAACAGTAGGCCATGTCATAAAGTTACACCTAAACAGAGCTGAAGCCCCGTGAAGCAGACACGGTGATGACAGAACGACTCGGTCTCTACCTGAGGAGTGGCTGCTGAGTGTTTTCAGGGGTATAAAGATGCGCTGACAGTGATGATGAGTGACAGAGGCCTCTGGTGGTTTTCGAAGAATACAGAGTGTAAGACAATCCACAGGGCGGCGGATCAAGAATTTCTCAGGTGGAAAAAAAATGCTGTTAGTTGACTGTGAACAATTGACTTCAGGTGGAAATTATTTTGATCAGAGCATTAATGGATTGAAAGGGCTCCTTTCACAGCGCGGAGGTCCTGTTGCTGCGGGATGATTATCCTGTCTAGTGTAGCCTGTAAAATAAATCCCTTCCCCGTGGCATTTGCCAGGTGTGTGATTGTGGCCAATCCCTCTGGGTTCTTCCTGAAAGGCATGTGTTCTGCTCTCTCAGAAGCCCTCTGGGTTTGGCCGTCCAAAGAGGGGTTGATGATCCGGTGGGCAGAATAATCTGCTGTAATCCCCGGCTCTGTGATCTGACCACATTGCAGCAGAGGGATGGAGGGGCGGGAGAGCCTACGCGTGGAGCATACAAGGGGGACACATGGGGGTGGGGCAAAAGACTGGGGCAGGTCAAGGCCGTTAAAATGTAAACACATGGACTTATGTCTGATACAGAATAGAGAGGACCATATATTTATGTTCAGTAGTTGATTTGATATAAGAGTCTTGATTTAAAGGTGTCAAAATCAGATTTGAAGATTGTTGAATTTATCCCATTTAGCCCAGTATCAGAACTGACATGAACTCTACTGCAGCTGCTGGGACTCCTAAATTGAAAGAGTGTTGATGATGATGGTGATGGTGGGTGAGTTTTCATCAGGGTTAACACTGTTTTCATTAGAGATGCATGACAAGACTCATACCAAGTGTCCGTCGCACAGCTGCGCTCACACTGGAGGAAGGAGACTTTGTGCACAAAAATGCTGATAAGTTAACACCAGCCATGTTTACACGTGCCAAATTTCTTGATCTGATTAAAAATTCGAGGGATCGCAAAATCTGAATCCACTGTTTACGCGGGTGCAAAATCAAATAATCCGATCATGACGTGCTTTATTCAGATTAGAAGCATTTGGACATGAGCAGAGTTGTCTGGTTTCAGGATTTTTCCCTCCACTCACCCGAACCAGGTTCTGAGAGCGGGGGTATTACTCCTAGTGTTCATGATCATAAAGCGGGCCCAGCTACACATACTGATCCTGTGTTACATGAGGAGACTTTATCCAGCGAGAGCGTTGTGTCTGATACAAACCAATCGCTCTTGGATCCCGCCATGTTTACGTCTTGTCATGTTAAAGTAGGGCACAAATTTGCGGTTAGGTTAGTTTTGTTCCAACAGAGAGTCATGATCGGAAAAAAGTGTTTACATGGATGTGTTTCAGAATAACTATTGGCATAAACCACCCCTCTCAAATGGAATACAATTTCTTTCCAAATGAGCCGAATTGGATCTGAATCCTCCAATCAACATGTTTACATGATGCATTTTTATTCAGATTGGGCCTTTATTATTTATTTATTTGTGCCCATGTAATAGGACTGTACGATATATCGTTGTCGTTGTGATGTACGTGTAAGCGATAGTCACATTGCAGAGCCTGTGATGTCAGAGGCTAATGAACTCATCTTATTTCAAAGGTAGCTGACTGACATACACTGCATGTGACTCTGCGTGTGCTGAGCAGCGATCCACCAATCGCATTCGTTCTTTACTCAGTTGCCAATCAGACTATCCTGCCAGAGAGGAGGAAACCACGCCCCTGCACATGGCCTGCACATGGAGTGGGTCACTGGCGCTGCCGGTGTTGTGCCGACAAAGTCTTGCCCACCAAGAAATACTTTTGGAACATTACTCATCACTGTTTAGCTCCACAAATAAAAATTGTCTAGGTTTTAAATCAAACATTTCAGTGGACCACGCTACCATAAGCGGTGCACGTTTTGCAAGGTGCAATTCTCGGCTGACATGCCTTTCTTGGCACAACACCGGTAACAACAACGATTGCAAAATGAGCAAAGACAAGAGAAAGCCACATATCTCTCAGACAGACAGAAGCCGTTCTAATAACATTCACAAAAAGAGGTACGATCAGTGCAGGTTAACTGTCCACAAGATTTCAGCAGTGCAGCATGGCATAAAGTGCTATTCAGGTCATCTGGTGAAAATTCCTGTATTTTTTTTATATCGTAATATATATTGCAGAGTTGAAAAAAATCGCAATGTTAGTTTTTTCCAATACCGTGCAGCCTTACCATGTAAACTCAGCAACTGTTTCTGAGTGAACATAATTCATTCAATTCAGTGAGTGTGACGCAAATCCCAGACTCATAACCAAAATTGCTTTGAATGTTAAAAACTTGAATTGAAATAAATTGAATCTAAGAAATTAAGCTTCACTGGACAGGTTTTACAGTGTTGCTGATTAACCAGCCACTGTGACACTCACAGTACTTTCACAGCTTTGCATCTGTGTTATCCTGCTCCAGTGTCCTACTTTGAATTACATCCTCCTCCATGTATGTCGGTGCATTATTCTCATCCTGGCTCTGTGAAGCTCCAGTAGACAGATGCTCTCTTGTCGCCCATAAAGAGTGGCGCCAGCTCTTTCAAGCTTCTTGCGCATCCTACTGTAAATGTCCACATTAAATCGGAAGCAGGGCTGAGCGTGCCTCTGTCGTCTTCTCTATCTTGTCATTGCATGAGAAGAGCGAAGGGCGAGCCAAGGCAAGCGGAGATGGCAAGCCCGCTCTGGACATGTCATTTGAGATGTGTCAGTTACTGGCATGTTGCCCTAGAGGCATGCCCCATCCTGAGAGTGCCTCATGAAAAAAACCTTGATAGATCCGCCGATGATTCAAGCGCAGCACTAGGGAACAGCTGTGATTATATGGTCAGCCTATAAAAGTAACACCCCCTCCCAATTTGCAAGTCCCCACTCTTCTTCCCTTTAACTCCCCTTACTGCCACCCCCACACTGGTAGCAATCAGCCAGGTGCTAAATGCCCGGGTGAGGCACAGCTCATGGTGGGTGGGGGGTGTAGTGGAAGCGAAGGGTGGGGGTTTAAATTGCACGTGGAAATAAGCATCTGTGCTTGCTTGGCAGAGAAGGAAGCGGGGGCAGGAAATAACTGTCATTCTCCGCTGAGGCTAAGAGTACAGACAGCGTGTGTGTGAAGGGTTGTGTAGGGGTGTGTGTGTGTGTGTGCGTGAGTGTGCAACACGAGGAGAGAGAGAGAGAGAGGGTGATGGACTCAGGCAGGTTAATCATTAACTTAGTGAACTGAGGAGAGCCAACAAAAAGGGGCGGGGAGAATGAAATGACTTGGTGTTTTTTATTTATTTATTTTTTGATTTAGCTTAAATGAATGAGGGCTGCTTCATCCCCTCTGAGAGGTCTGATTAACAGCAGCACGCAGTCTGATTGGGGGGGGGGGGGGGGTTGAACAGAGAGCTGACACCAACCAGACAGGGAAAACGCTGATATTGCAGCAGCTCTGCTCAGCTAGAGGCGTCCCGGTGACAATCATTAGCGAACAATCGATTGAAAAGAGGGTCAATGAAGAGATGTATGTAAATCTCCTCCACACTGTCATATAGACTTATAGGTTTAATTAAACTAATCGCTGCATTGACTCCAGGCTCAGCAGCTCTTTGAAGCCTGCCGTGCTAATACCATAATATCGAGCTCCCCTTTTTGTTAAAGAAGTGTGTGCGGAGAAAGGAGGAAGTTAAGGGCTGCAGCAGAAAAACCCAATTTTCCAGGGTTTTTCTCCAAACAGAGACTCTCTGTTTGGAGAAGGAGTGAGAGTGGCCAGGTGACTTAATATGATTTGGTATAAGATTGTAGACTTTCATACTATATGAACATTACAATACAAACAATATAAAACAATACAGTTCAGCATTGTACAATTTGATATAAAACCAGAGGAAACAATATGACATGATATATGACATGATATGATATGATATGATATGACATGATATGATATGATATGAAATGACATGATATGATATGATATGATATGATATGATATGCAATATGATATATGATTTGATGTGAAATGATATGATATGATATGATATATGACACGCTACAATATGATATGATATGATGTGATTCAATATGATATGATATATGATACGATATGCTACGATATGATATGGAATGATATATGATACGATACAATATGGTATCATACAGTTTGATATGATACGGTATGATATGGTACGATATGGTACAATAAGATACAATAAGATATGATACGATACAATACAATATGATACGATTTGATATAATATATGATATGATACGATATGATCCAATATGATAAATACGATATGATATGATAACCGATACGATACTATACAATATTAATATGATATGATGTGATATGATATATGATACAATACGATATGATACAATATGATATGATAAGGTATGATATATGATACGATACGATATGATACAATATAGGATAATTTAGGCGACAGTTAGATAGAATAAAATAGGCTTTAATAAGATACAATATTTGATATTTGACAGGCATGACACAGTATGGGATAGGTGGCCCATGGTAACAATTATGCACCACAATACAGTAACTGATATCTTGTAAGGAAGCTATTTAAAAATGCATCATAATATATCAGTACTTAAGAAGACATATTTTCGTTTGACGAAAGTGCAAGATAATTACACGTTTGGTCTCTGCTGCACCGTTGTCCACGTTTTAGTCTGAAAACTGGATGAACAGATCTGCAGAAGTCCTCGATTGTCTCCAGTTAAACTTGGTTTAATTGTTGTTTGTGATACGTTTGAATGCATTTTTAATTATCGTCTGTAGAATGGACAGAATTTGGGACTATGCAGGCCATTAAGTCTGCACTCCATGCAGACTAAAGTGCATCTTCCACATTTCCTCTCATGTCCGCCAAAAGAGGTGGGTTACCCTTCTTCCTCTTTCATCCTTTCTTTGTGGTTTTGTAAGTGGCTCCCACATCTCTTCACTTCTTTTATCTACTTTCAGACATCCTGCTGTTTTCTCTTTCTGTTGCTCCACTGTCAGCTGTTTCTCCAGCCCTTGAACTTCCATCCACGTTATACTCTCATTACTGTCACCAGTATCACCGGGAGATATCAAATAGTAAAGGGGTGGTCAAATTTGCGGGGAAATCCATGAAGAATGCAGTATTTTTAATTAAATTATCGATCATTTGCACTGTTGTGATGGTATTTGTGTCATACAAGCCAGAATGAGGATATACTGCTGTATCCATATTCCTACTAAGCAGATGGACTTAGCTATATGAGAAATAAGTCCGCTGCTGAAATGCAATTTATCTTGGTGTTACAGTCCCTGCTCATGTGACAGGCATCAAATTCGAAGTCAGTGATCACATCTCTGTCATACCAAATGAAATGTGTTAGATCCTCTAGTGCGGTCCAGCATGTTAAGAGAATTTGACATCCTAAAGCTACTTTCATCCAGGGCGCCATTATTTACAAAGGTGCTTTTATTTTGAAGGAGACTTATTAGCTGCATCAAAAACTTCACAATACGGATATTTCTACAGTTTTCTTTTGTTTCTCAGAGTTAAAAATGTGTGGTGAAGCAAGAAAAACTGCTGTATAAGCAGAGCGCTCTACATTCTGCTCTGCTCAACAAGCTGTCCAAGTTCCTCAGTTATATTAAGCTCTCTGGTTTGAAGAAATGCAGCGTTGTTAAAGCATGTTGAACTGTAACTGTGTCATATAAGTTTAGGCACATGTGAATGACGTAGATTAGTACTTCTGTGCTTTCTGCTTTAGCTTCAGCAGTGCTGTTTTTCTAGATGTAAGTGTCTGGGTTGACACATTTCAAACAGATGTTGGAAATAATCTGTTTGCATTTTCTCGTTTTGCTCTTGAGGGTAAATTTCAGGTAGATCTGAATGTGCAGATGTGCTGTGTCACTCTGTCCTGCAAAAATGGAACCAGTTACTGCAAAAGAAACAGAAAATACCATAATTATAGTGTCTTTTAAAAACTTTTCTTCACGTATTGATCTGTTTGGGTTTCTTTTTAATTATATATCATGCTCTATCTAATGGATTAATTTAGTTTAGCACATTTTATTCATCATCTAAGTTAGACAGACACACCACATGTCATCCCAGTCTATCCAACTGACTTTAACTGAATTTCATTTTGCTGTATACTCAATTAATAATCGATTGTGCTTTTTTTTACACCATGCATTTCAAAACTAGATAACAGAAGCATGTCAGGTTAGTAAAAAGGAGGAAACGTCACTGCTTTTATTGGCTCGAGGGACATCAGGGAGAAGATGCTGGCGTGTCTGAGGGAGGGCACTCACAAAATGGAAGACTGCGGCGCATTAAAGCGAGAGAGCAGCTGAAGCCAGACACTGATGACATCCAAATTGCAGCCCTGATAGAAACATTAAAGAGAGGAAAGAACCGTCTCGCTGACACCTAGGTGGGAATTAAGAGATAACCTCACTTGATCCACTGTGACAAGACGTCTAATTGATGCCTGTGGGGCAGTGACAAGGGACGCTTTTAAAATCACTAATGAAGGACAAGAAAAGTAAAAGGGACATAAATGGAGATTTTGACAGTGGAGAAGTGTGACTGAGTGTTTCTGAGAGGGGGAGGATGCTCACTCCATCCATAAATACACTGTCTCATCATAAATCCAAACTCCAGAGACAGAACTCGAGTGAGACGCAGTTTAAAAGTTGTTGAAGGACAAGACTCAAAAGTCATCATTTGCTTTTAATCTAAAATCAAACATAGAAGCACAAAAGAAATCAGAGATATTCACAAGCAAGTCTAATGGCCCCCAATCAGCAAGGAAGCAGCCCACTGCTAATCCAAGGGCAGCATCACCTCTGTAGGCATATGTGACTTAATTTCGCTTGATGAAGTCCGAGCTCGTGCAGGCGCCCATTTCCTGAATGATCTGCATGAGCTCGTTCAGTTCACTGAGTTGAATCTTAAACACGAGCAAGAATTCCCAGACTCCTAGACTGTAATACCGTCATGTTGATGGAAGATTAGCACAGATATTGAACAGCCTCCTCTCACAATCTCCCCACATGGATCCCCCAAACAGAGAATCCTCATCTTACAAAGAATCAATCCATGTTGCACATACTGAAACCTGAAGACTGACGGGTGGATTCATGATTGGTTTTTGTTACCCTCTCTAAAATTGTTCAAAGCATATGTGTACCCGGTTAGAATGAAGCTACCTGACATGATAGGAAACAATGTATGAACGTACAGTAAGGGGTCTCAGGTCTCAGAGTGTGACATTTAGAAATGACAGTCCACCCAGATCAGGTCAGAAGATCAACCCCCTCCAACACTGCTACCTTGAATCATGTCGGTCTTTTAATATTCTGCCTCTGCAAAAAGGGCAGTGGCACCAATCTTGGAAGAAGATGGTGAACCCATCTAGTTCATCCAAATATAGGAGCTCTGTAATTACCAAAACAAAAATTTTACTGTTGATATTAAAAAGTAAAAGGTGAAGGTTAGACACACGCAGGAAAGTAAGAGAGATGCTCAAGTTACTTGAACTGTAGATAAGGTTACAAGCAGCCAGTTGATATTTAAGTAAGAAAACAAAACAATATTTAAGATGTATGGTTGAAATTCTAACAGCGGATGTATTGCAGGTATTCTTGAGTTTCCAAGACACCTGAAATGATCTCACTGCAGCAGAGATGATGAGTGTGCCTCCCTATTAAGAGAGCTGACATTAACACACAGCTCCATTACTTCATTGATAATTTAAATCTCTGCAAGCACAGACAGGATCAGTCGGAATTTAATTGTCATAAATAAGATGTGTTTTTCTGAACATCCAGAGGGTCCCACACAGAGAGCTGAGCTTTATTATTCTGGAGAGAAACAGCAGACCTCTTAATGGCTGATAATATTGTAAAGTGAGGGTTCAGAGTTGGTTGGATCACTCTGTTTGTAAGACAAAGCAGGATGGAGATGGATAACCTTTTCAGATGCACTTTACTTGATCAGAAGTCACTGAACGGCTAAGATGCAAGTAACGCAATGAAAACCACAGAGGCGCATTCAACATCTTTGGCCACAACAATAAGATGCTGTAAAAAATAGTTTTTGACCTTGAAAGTATACAGAAATAATGATTTTCTAACGTAAAGAGGTATCAGAGAGGAAATAAAGAGTGTGGAAAAAATGCATGATACCCCCTTTTAAGCTCACAGTGCATTAGGAAAGCTTTTCATGCAAACAAAGACACTCCTCTCTGTCTGAAACTATACACAAACCTTTGCCATTTTGAGGAAAATCAATGTACTGTGTTGCAGCATTCATCTAATGCATGCTCGTATAGCTGCATAAGCTGACAGCAATCACTTGTTACAGGGGAGTTCAGAGTTGCTCCTTTTAAGGTCACAACTATCCCCGGGATAGAGTTTCCTGTTGCGATCCATTAGCACAAGTAGATATTACCTCATAGAGCTGCAGCAGAAGTTCAAGTGTAAGGGAGCGTTTCTCATTTAGTTGGTTTACAGGACCTCAGTCCTCAAGGGGAGGAAGGACATGCGGATAATTGCAGATATCATCTTTGAAATATGACCTGAAGATCCTGAGGTCAAAAAAAGGTCCTGGCACTTAGTGTATAGATCAAAGTGTAAGTAAATCTCTCAGACTGTTAGATTTACTCACATAGCACCAAGTGTTATCCCATGATGCATTTAGACCAGAGATCCAGGGTAAAGATGGGATAAGATTGAGACCCACTCCCATCCCAGCAGCATTTAGAAAGTTACACTGGAGAGAAAAACCTCCTTTTAACAGGCAGATTCAGAAAATGGACAGAAGGTGGGATTGATGCTTGTAGTTGAAGGAGCTGGAAAGGAAGCAGGTCCACGGCAGCAAAACATCTGCGGCAGCGATCCAGAGGAACCTACAGCATGATGGAGCTCAGGGACTCCAAGGAAAGACTAGAGCTTCAGCAGGCTTTGGGTCTGTGCAGGAAAGCGATCCATGCTGGTGGCGCAAAATGGATTTAACTAGGGTGACCATACGTTTTCTTTTACCCGGATGTGTCCTCTTTTTGGGGACTGTCTGGGTTTGTCCGGGGAAGTTTATAAAATCCTTCAAATGTCTGCAGTTTTGTACGCAACTTCCGTTTTTGTGTCGTGTGGACTTACTGAGTTAGAAGCGTGTAAAAGACACTCGATCCGACCCAAAAAACTCTTAAAATTAACTTTGTGCGACTTGTGCATAGTCGTGTCCTCTTTTTGGGAAGTCAGAATATGGTCACCCTACTTTAACGTGATCCTGAATCTGACAACAACTTTGCAGTTTGCTGTCACCCCGGTTGCAGATTCCCATATTTGAAGTTGCTAATCAAGTGTGCACAAAAAAAAAGTCTCAACCCAGAAATCTTTGACGGAGGAGGCTTATTGTCATGAAACAACAGCTGAGGGGCTTCAGAATTGGTTTCCCACCAATTACACAGGGTGCACAAACAATTCGATCACTTCTAAACATGTCAGTGCTGTTGATCTGTTTACACTGAGAATTTGGATGGCATTTGAGCGGATCCCTCCTTTAAGGCACGTATCTGTTTTCAATTCTCATAACACGAGCCGTGTGTCACATGAGCCGTGATCACGGAGTAATTTAGTTGTAAGTAAATGCAGACTAAGTGAAGCTTAAAGCAAGTGGATGATAATTGTCTGGTACATTTGCGGCTTAAAGGCAGAGTGGCTCCAGTTCGATCCCCCCCTCTCCACTTGAAGGAATGCAGCAGGTTTTTTTTTTTCTTCTTCTTCTCACATACTGTAGAGGCAATTTCGAACAGTAAGGACTCTGCCAATCACCTGCTCACCATGAAATCTGTCGCAGCTTTAACAACTCCTGGCAGATTTATCAGAGAGGACATGTATGCGTGTAAGAGATGGTGTTATGTTCGATATCTCTTGGAGCGATTCTGAGCTTTTTGGAAAGGGGAATATTTCTGTAATGTTTCTACCAGCCAATGTGAGAACACTCCAGGCAAGAGTGAATATTGCACCGTGTCCCAGAAGCACAAGAGCACCAGCTATCACATTTGATTGTTTCACATTGTGCATCACATAACAATGAATGCTCACTGTCCTCGCTGACTTTGTCAAATACACTATCCTCTTATGTCATGTCATGTAAACAAACCACATTACAATCAAAAAGTGCGTAGGCGAGCAGTCAGAGACGTCTGAGACGTCTGAGACGGAAGAGTGTGTTCTATATTTGTACATGCACACCTCATAAACCAAAAAATAGGACAGCCTCCACTGTTAACACGAGTCAAAATACAGAATTTCAATCATGGATGTAGATGTTATGAAGGCACTGTTGTCTCCACTTTGTTTAACAGGCTAACAAACTCTCACCACTCACTTACTGGACAATCTTACACCTCAGTAATCGTTCTTCAGCCAGCTGTCACTAAAATTAGGACTTTATAGTTGACTGTGGAGGTTTCAGACATGCAACTCTTTTCTAAACTTCTCAAACTGACAGCTCCCTGTTCATGCCTACATAAATGACAGGCTTAGAAATAGAAACCAGGTGTCACGGTCACACGAGGTAAGAGGCGGCATCTCATTCTCGCTCCTTGTTGACTAACTTAAGGCCTGTGTCCACTTAAAGACCCACTCCGATGAAAATCTGGTTTTTCTTGTCTATATGTTCATACAGCATTTTTTAATAATAGAGGGCATATCAAGAGAAAACGAAGTGCAAAACTGCAATTCTGAATGTTTCTGCTTTCAAATCGCTGTGAATCTCTGGCAGACCCAAACGGCAGATTTAGACACAGTGAGATTTTGTTCACAATAACTCCAAGCTCCGCCCCCCAGCAGTCCGTACTGCAGGCTAGCCTCCAAAAAGTAGAAAGGATGATTGTGGAACAAGTGTGTGTGGTAGCAGATTGCAATGCTCGTAAAAAGGATAATTATGATATTAGCTTTCATTCTGTCCCCAAAGACATTAGTGCCTGAGAGCTAAATGGCTCCTATGTTACCTGCCACTTCTGCTGCATCGACAATGTTAGGCTAAAAAGCTAGCATAAAGTAGGGTGACCACACGTCCTCTTTTACCTGGACATGTCCTCTTTTTGGGGGCGTGTCCACACTGTCCAGCTTTGTCCGGGGAAGTTTATAAAATCCTGCAAATGTCCGTGGTTTTGTACGGAAGTTTCAATTTGTGTTACATGGATTTACTGAGTTAGAAGCGCATAAAAGACACTTGATCCAACCCGAAAAACTCTCAAAATTAACTTTGTCGTAGTTGTGTCCTCTTTTTGGGAAGTCAGAATATGGTCACCCTGGCATAAAGAGGAGAGCCCAGAGCAACACTGTTTCCGCCCACAACTAAGAGGCGAATTGCGAAGAAGCTACTGGAGCTCTGCAGAAGAAAAGCCCTTAAAAATGACAGGCAATGAGACTGTGACTAAAAACTTCATAATCACAATTTAAAGATCACTGAGAACACTTTAAATACTAAAAAAAAAAAAAAAATACAATCAGAGTGGGACTTGAAGACTTTTTTGGGTGTGCTGGTAATAGGGCTGGGACAATATGCTTTTCTCCTGATTAGATTCTTCTACGATTTTTTGGATGCCAATTCGATTTAAATTGTGATTCTACGATATTGTGGATTTTCTCGATCTGTAGTCTGCAGAATTAACACCAGTGAAACACTTGAATGATTATGATTGTCTACTGACTATTCCAGGAACCATATTTCCCAAAAAATACACATCACGTTTCAGTCAGTTTTTAAGATTTATTCTTAAATTAAAAAAATAAAATTGAAAAAAAAAAAATTGTAATACTTGTGTGAATCCATTTTTTCTCCCACCCCTAGCTGGAAATGCCCCAGACCTCTTTGCCAGGTGCTTACTGTGGCGAGTTTACAAAAGTTGCATTATTATCAAAAGTTGTAGTGTTTCAGTGGTGAATGTCATTGGTTTTGTAGAATGGGGTAAAAATGGGACTGATCACCTCGGGCTTAAATGGAGGAAGGGCCCTTGATTATGACTCAAATGAAAATAGACATTCTGGTTTGCAACACAATTTTTTTTTCGCTGATATTTTTTCCAGCATTTATGCCTTTGTTTGTCACGGCAGCTGAAGAGGGACAGGAAATGTGAACGAGAGGAAAATGGGAAATGACATGCAGCAAAGGGTCACGGCTGGGAGTCAAACCAGAGACCGCTGTGATGAAGACTACGGCCTCAGTACTCACCAACTAAACAGGATTTTTAACCCTTTGAGTAGAAATATGGTGTATGGTTTCTTACTGAAGCCCTCTCTTACCCCTTTAAGTAAATGGTTCAGTCCACTTCATTATCTGACGATAATCACGAGAGCAAAGTGGGTGTTGAACGTTTCTCTAAAAGGAGATTATTTTTGCTCGATACAGTGTCATTAACTGTGAGCTTTGATGACTATAAAAGTACAAAACAGCTCTCAACAATTTATGAATCAAAATAAGTGATTTTAAGATAAGTGAGTGTTTCATGCTGATTTTATCTGGTGTTTGTCTTTGACACCAGATTGGGGAGTTAACTTCCTTTGAACTCTTCGAAGTTTTATATGCTTTAGTATTCATTTTTGGTTTACACCCATCTAATTTTTGTGATAATTTACAAATTTGTAGTATTAAGAATTAAAAATTGTAGTTGGGTATTAATACGTTCTGCTTTGTCAGTCAATGGATGCGTATTTTGGTTAAACAGTATTAATGTTAATCTGGAAGTTGCCTCCCTGGTTGGAGGCAAAAGGCTGCAAGGTACAGGCTACACACAACCGCACATAGTGTCAGTGTCAGCTCAGCCCAAAATGAAAAAGATTAGAAATGTACTTATAACGTGTTTAGTGCTTTACTTGTAAGAGCTAAAGGTTTTTCTTTTATTTATGAGCATTTTAATGCTGGCTTAAAATAAGTGTGAAAAGCTCAATGCAAAGCCAAAATGACACGTTTGGAAAGTGGCATAAATCTCTTACGCTTGCTTTTTCCAAAACACAGTTACTAAGAAAGAGACTCATTCTGAACTGAGGGAGTTTTCACGATTGTGTTAACGCTTCATTTCAGCTATAGCAAAATACAACAGTTTATAATATTTAACTCGAATCGTCCTACCTAAAGCTCCTCATGGTCATATGCAGTGAAGTTGAAAAGGTCAACAAGTTATAAAGTAATTCATTTTCAATCTCAGGTTTATTAGTCACCACAGCAGAGTTTGAGTTGGTGGTACGTTTTTGTAGCTACAGCAACATGAGTGATCAATAAAGCCACTAGTTCAAGGGTAGACCGTCGTTCAGCTGAGGATGAAGGAGCTGTGAACATATCCATGAACACAGATTTGTCAGTGGCGTGCGTCGGTGAGCCGCAGTGAGCTAACAGAGTCAGGCAGTTCAGGTAGTGAGGCTACGTAAGAGACGGCGGCTTTAATGTGCTCCACTCCATCCTGACAGAGACGGTTTGTTATCTTCCATAAGAAGGAGTCACTCAGCTGGCACAAATCCCCGTCCCTCTGAAACCTCTGATCATCATGTCATTGTCCGCAGCGATACACTCCAGGGACTCTGCTCTCACATAATGAAACTAAGAGAGCTGCCCACAGCCCGGCTTGTAATCACCCTGTGCACTGTGTTTCTCTGTGTGTCTGTGTGCACATGCATCTAGTTTGTCTTTTTATAGTGTTTGAGTGAAAACAAAAGAGCTTTGGAGTTAATGCTCATCTCTGTGTGCACTTAAGTGCAACATGGGGGTGTGTTTCTGCCAGTATGTGTCCACATGTGAGTGTCTGTGTGTGTGCGTATCCATCCACGTGTGCGCATGAGTCACTTCGAGAGGTTTCAGCGGCTATTATTGAGCTGGGACTCTGCATTTAATAGGAGATAGAATAATTGTCTCTTCATCAGCTCTCCAGTGGTTTCAATAGTAACCGTCATGTGAATTAGAATTCTTGACATTTTTCCAAAGACTGTCTCTGAGAGGCGCTGCATGTGAAGTGACTTTCCAAGGAGAGCCGCACCATCCGTCCAATGTGCCGTAAACAAACAACAGTTACTCCCGAGCAGAAAAAGAAGGAGGGAGAAAAAGAGAGACTTAGAAGAAAGAGGAGAGCACTGAATGTGGAAGACAGGAGGCGAGGAGGAAACAGCTTGACAAGGCATCTTATCTGTGCTGTGTTCCTCCCCGTGCTCGAGCTTTAAGCTGCTTGCTGAGAGGTGGAACAGTGAATTCGTGCAGCAGGTTTGTGCTTGCTTCTTTTTTTTTTTTTTCTTCTTCTTCTTTTTGGTGAGCCGCTTTTGCAGTGAGAAAAACAGACACTGTTCACACGTCGTCTCATTTGTGCTCTCATTTGGTATGTGCGGAGTGTATATTCAAATTCAGACACAAAGTCGGTATATCTCTCCTCTTTGTGTCTCGAGACAGTAACAAATAAACACAAAAATGCTGGTTGTCACGGGGATGTGCCGGCACTCAAAGTCTCTCTCTCTCTCTCTCTCACACACACACACACACTCACTCACTCTCACACACACACATTTTCAGTTCTGTATTCCAAACACTGACGAAAGGTTAGCTCAGCTACCAACAACAGAAAGTGTTTGGAGTAACTTTTCCACTGAAACAAGCAGAAGTAAAGGTTTGTTGCGGAATAGATGATCATTGATGCTTTATAGTATCTTCTCCTCTATATTTCTATCTTCTGACAATAATCCAAAACAATTAGCATTCATTTTTTTTATTCGCATATTAACCTGAGACATTGATCAGGGCTGAGTTCTCACTCGATTATCCTGAAACAACCCCAGAAAGCGTTTTTTGTTTTATTTCTGTTGTGCCGTTTTGAAAGACTTTGGAAAATAATTAAATTCATTTGAAATTGAAAGTTTTTCAATATCTATTCACAGACGATTAAACGTCTTTGTTTGTACCAGATTTAACTGGGAAACAAGATTTCCCACGAGATCTGTCTCACACTCACACTCATAATTAACGGCAGTTTTCAAGTCCCATCTCATATTTTGTGAGTCACCAATTAAAAACTCTGCGAGCGGCAGGGATCCAGTCCTGTAACACACCATAGAGTAGGCCTGGCACTCTGCACTGGCAATCTCCGCATGAGCAGCTTCAACAGGTATTAATTATATGATCAATCAGGGTTCTCTCTTCCTCCGATGAGACTCACACAGCCAGAGTAACAGTGCATGCTTAGAAACTTTTCTCCTTCCTCTTTGGGAAAATTGAAAATCTTTATTTATTTATTAATTTAACCTTTATATAACCAGATAAAATCCCATTGATTTGATTTACAAGGGCGACCTGGCCAAGAGGTCAGCAGCACACGTCATAATAAATGAGGTAAATAAATAAATCTGATTTCTTAATATCATCTTCAGGGGCTTGTCCACTTTTTTCACTGGGGTGGCTTAGCTCAGGGGCCTATTTCTATAGGGGTGGCCAGACAAAGGGCATATTATTTACTTATGCTGTTGATGTCTGCTTATTATATGTAATTTTACTACTGACAACAAAGCACCAAAAGGATCATTTAATATAATATAATATTTATAATATTTTGTACAACTGTACAAAATGAACCAACCAGAGTGTCAGAATTTAGGGTGGCACATTGGATGGTTGATCATGTTTCTTTCTTCTTTTTTATTTTTTTGAATTTTTGTTTTTACATTTATTTTATCACATTTTTTAAATGTTTATATTTCATATTTCTATTTTTAAAAGTAAACTCAAAACCTACCTCTTTAGTTTGGCTTCTAGTTGAATTTAGTTTTAATCTTTTAATCTGCATTATGTGATTTTACCCTATTTTAGTCCTAGAGTAACTGTTTTGTGTTTTATCACCTCTTTTTTTTAAGCTACTTTCTGTTATTATTTGATTTTAAGACTGTTTTATGTCATTAACTTTTAAAGCTTTATCACTTTTAATATATTTTATCATGGTTGTATCGCTTTACTCCTAGATCCAGAGTTTTCTCTTTTAACTGAAGAGTCCTCACCTGGTCTATTGGGTGTGCATCTGTGTGTGTGAGCGTTTGAGTGCTGTATGTGTTGAATGGGGTGGGTTTGGTATTTGTATTTTTATTTATTTTATTTCATTGTTTTTAATATCCTGCTTGAATGGACAACAGTTTGTGCTACATTCCATGTATAAAAAAGTGCTTTAAACATTAAGTTTGATTGATTGAGTGATCAATTGAAGAGGGCCATGCCACCCTGACCATCCTTCTAGTTACACCCCTGGATGTCTCTGAGTCTTCTTGCAAACCCATAATGCACTGCAGTTAGATTTATATTTAAAAAGTAAAATACATTAAAATGAGCTTAAACAGCCCATCAGTTTCCTCTTGTAAATAATTTGTAGAAATGCCAGCTCCAATCACGTCCTTCATCACCTCTGAAGTATCAAAACCTTGAAACAGAACCGTTTTTTTTTAACACTTTGATGCCTTTATTGTGGTGGTCAAAATGAAATTTTTAATGTCACCCTCTTTTCAACCTGATTTTTAAAGCTGAAATCCACTGCTCACCAAACACAGACAAGTCTACACATATGTATTTCAATCTCTTCGACTTACCTCTTAGCAATCACAAGTCTAAAAAGATTATTTTTTAATCCACTGTATGATTTAATTTCTCAATAAAGTGCTTATGATAGTGATGCAAAACCAAAGATGTTATCTCAGGGAGTTCAGCTAGGACTCATGAACCCATTGTGCAACCCATACACAGAAATTCTGATGTAATACTTTGATAACTTGCACACTACTTCCCTCTTTCTGTCCCCAAAGGAAGTTTCAGCGTTTGCAGCCGTGTTGTTTGCACAATATTGGTAATTCAGAGGTTAATGAGGTAGTTAAAATCTATTAATCAATATCCTGTCTTATGAAAGTAATAACTGCGCTGGAAGCAAACCTAAGAGCTCTGACACAATTTCATAAACACTGCAGTCAGATACTTCTGCTTTTTGGGCTACGGCTTATTAGAAAAGCAGCCATGTGACCGTCTATGTGTAAAAAGAAACCCCGCTTGAGGCTGTCTAACATCGCTATCTCGGATGTCATCACTGGATTAGTTACGGTTGACCTAATGCTCCTTGTTTGAAAGCTATTTCATGGTCTAATTGTTGCTTATGTAGGATGTTAAGGTAGCGCTGAGTCTGCTCACATCTAAAGGCCAAGAAAAGTGCTGTTTAGAGCAGGGTTGTTGATGTCAAAATACAAAATGTTTTGGGCGCAATCCTAGCACGCTCTTTAGTGGAACATATAAACATTTACACAGGGGTATGAGTCAACCCCCTTTTCCCCTCCTGCCCTCCTCTTCCTCCTCCTCCTCCTCTCTTTTTGACTTCTTTTCCTGGGTTGTTTTCTATCTACCCTTGAAATCCTCATTACACAGACTCAGTGTGCCGCTCTCTAAGAGACTGTTGTGTGTTACTCTTTCTGATCAGCCTTCCTGTTGCTGCAGAGGAACTGTGTGCAGTGAGATAAGGATAGTGAGAACACATGTTTGCAGGAGGGAGGCGGGGGGGAGGAGGAGAGAAGAAGTAACAGATACAACGTGAAGGTCAAAAGGCTGACTAATTAGGAAATTAACAGAGATCAGCGCGGGTCTCGGGGTTTGTTTTTTCTGCAGCCAGACTGTTGAATTTGCGAGACAGCGTTCACCTGGGGGGACTAGGTGAAGACTACAGGTCCAGTTTGGCCCAGCTGTGGTGGACTGAAAAAAAAGGCGGCGTGGTGAGATATACTGACCGAGGAAGAGACAAGGAAAGGATAAGATCTCAAACTGAGGCTGTGAGGAGGGGTGACTGGAGCCTTTGCATACAAGGTCTGGGGATCACAGAGTGCAGAATATGCAAATTGTTGCACTTTGACTCTTCAGACTTCAGACACTTTGGAGAGCAGGACTAAAGGGAGGATCAGGCCCCCTTATTAAATCTGAGGACGATTGTGGCCACGTACGGCGGCAGGTGCTGTCTGCCTGAGACGTTAGTCGACGCTTTAAAAAGTCCACAAGAGGGACTGCGTAGGAGGAAGACAGCCAGTTTTAAGTGGAGGCTGGGGGAGTTATCTTTAACTGCTCGGCTCCACCAGGGCCAGAGCCGGCAGCGATGAGTCAGAGGAAGCTGACGCGACAGCTGAGGTTGTGGGAGAGTCCTGAGGGTCCACCGCCTGCGCCCTCTCTCACCTCACCTGTGTCGCCGGGCGATCAGTCTCGGGGACACACGGGCTCGGCTTTGTTTCGGCGTCTGAAACTGAACCGCAGCATTCAGGAGCGCAGACGCTCATCACACTGTCTTTGCAGGTAGAGTTTGACCCAGTGCTCTCTGAATCATCTCTTTTCTATTTATAAATAAGCTTCAGGGATTTGTAAGTGTTCTGCGATCATTAGGTGAGGTGTAAACATTACAAGCATTTGTGCAAATGCTCCTCTCGAGAAGATTTCATGGATACAAATCCTGTGCACACAATCCTGTAACTTCAGGATTCGATTTTGAGGAGAATTCAGATGCTTAAAATCACGTTTAAAAGTGTCAAAGGATTCCTCTGTGTGGCAACTCGTGTAAAGTTAATTTGATCTACCTTCAGAAGAGAAACAGAGGGGCTCCTTCTTGGCCAACTTAGACATAAAATCTAAAAATACCCCCCCTTCACATTTTATATTAGAAGTCAAACTGAAAAACAACATACACAACTGAGTGTGCAGCTGTAGTTTGAGAAGTTTGGGAGAAGTGGGGAGGTGCTGTGGAGATGAAAGTTATCCCATATTAAAAATAGATGCTGCAGCTACACTGCAACCTGCTTCCCTATCTGTACAAGTCCCCTCTATGTTTGACTGCAACCTGAAAGTGTCATTTTAAGTCTCATATTATTGCTTACGGAAGAGTATGCTTGTAGCTGTTTTAGTCTAAAAAACGAACAACAGTTTAAACCTTACATACATATATCTGAGTGTGCTGACACTCAAATGTCCATCATGGCGTGTTGAACTTTGTAAACTTAGTTCATCTCATCCTGATTTAAAGTTTTAGCCTGGTTGTTCAATCTTTTGTCATCCGGGAGAAAAGTGGTGTCTTATTTTGAGCGAGGAATAAATACTTCATGACTGCAGGTGTTGGTGGAAAAAAGAGACGAGTGGAACCTGAGAAGAGTGTTGCTATGTCTCCTTCGGCGACTCTGGAAACTAAGCGGATGTGGCGGATGAGTTTTAGCCGTGTGTTAAGGGTTTAATGTTTATCAGGGATGTGATGGTTTGATGTCTGATGCTGTTTTCCTCTCCAAACTAAAAGAGACAAGAGACACTGATTCGATAAGACTGTAAAGGTCAAGAAGAATGTTGCTTTTTTTAACTGGAACCATATTTTTGGGTTGGTCGTGTTTGTTTTACACACTTCATTGTTTTAAATTTGATGGATAATTCTGGAATAACGCAGATTTCAGCTGTGTTTGTCAGGATTTTGTGTGAGGAGAGAACTGAATCCAAACCTCCATCACTCTGGTCCTTGGATGAACAGCTTTGGCTCAGGGACATGCAGTTTAAGATTGTTGATGCGACAATCAAGGCTTGATGTGAAGTATGGCACGTCAGTAAAGTCTCATTCTGAGGGGATTCTGGCTCCGCAGAAACACGGCTGCATCTGTCACATCTTTCTTTCCTCAACTTCTGCTGCGAGTAACCAGAAACACTCGGAGAAGGATGGATTTCCAAGTTTGGACACATGTTTCCTCTCTTTGTTGTCACTGTGAGACAGGAGAAGCACAAGCAAAAACAAACACAGAGGTTATCGGATTTATAACGCGCTTTTCAACTCTTGTCTTTTCTGACCTTTCAGCTTCGATTCCGAAAATGGTCCCTCTCCAGGCCGCAGTCCCATGGATTCGCAGGCGAGTCCTGGGTTGGTGCTCCACCCTTCTTTCCCCCAGAGCCAGCGCAGGGAGTCCTTCCTCTACCGCTCCGATTCCGACTACGACACGTCGCCCAAAACCATGTCACGCAACTCCTCCATCAACAGTGAGGGGTAAGCATGAAGCCATCGCCCTCGATTCATCACATTTTTCAAACCCTCGGTGTCCCCTCACAAGCACACAACAGCAACTGCACATCATCCCCATCGACACAGCACTGGTTCTTCTCGTAATTATACAATCATTATGCTAATGAAATCATGATGAATCTCTTAACATTGACTGCTGCGCTTTGTCTCCTGGCTTATTTAAACCTCCCGAAATCTTCCATATTGATTCCAATCCTGTTCCTCTGTTCAGATCCACACAGAGCTTTGTAAACATGCCGCTCACAAACACAGCCTCTCGAATCAACTCTAATTCCAGGCGCCTCAGCTGCTCATAAAACTCTCACTCATCTTTTATTTGTTGTCGTGTTTTTGTCCTGTAGGCACGCCGAAGACATGATCGTCACCCCTTTTGCTCAGGTATGTTTCACCGCCTTCCTTTGTTTGACGTGTTTAATCGCTGTAAATGACTAGAAAAGGCGGCTAATTAGCGCAGTGAACTTGTCCCCTCTCTCCACCTCTCCCCTTTTACCTCCTTCTGCCCCTCCTATGCTGTCCATCCATCCCCCAGGTGTTGGCCAGCCTACGAACCGTAAGAAGCAACTTCACCATCCTCGCCAATGTCACAACACCCACTAACAAGTCAGTATCATGCTGTCAAACACCCCTTCCCCCCCACTTACACTCGTCACGACTGCCTCCTTAATCTGCAGTGTGTTTTTTTTTTTCTCATGTCTCCTTCTCCTTGCTCCCAGAGGAAAAAAAAAAACAAAAACTTTTGCCATCATGATTAAACAGTTTGTGGCTCTCAAAGTATGCTCAAGGAAAATATCTGATCTGTATTATTTGGCTTCCCTCCAACTCGCTGGCTGAGGACGGAGAGCAGAGAACAACATGCCTCCAATGTGTGTGTCCCTGACTCTGTACCCAGACGATGGAGACGGTCAATAAGACTAAAATTATTCTCCTTTGTAATGCAGCAGTAAGAAGGAGCTGGAGTTGGCAGGCTTTCAGACGCAGGTCAATATGATATATATGAAGCTCTGCGGCAAAATGATTACCTTCTATAATTAAACAGTTGAAAGCGCCTCTCTTATTATATGTGATGAACCACTGAGGTTACTGTGAAGTTAAGCAGAGCCCATCCTTTGTCTCTCACTGCTTTAGAGTACTTGAATATTTTAAATGAAACCTGGGATTTTTTGATTCACACATTGCGGTGTTATTTATTATTAAAGGACATTATAAAAATAGACAGGCACACTTCTCTTTGTCCCTTTTTTGGGGGGCATATACATGAATAAGAAACATAGAAATACTCATACCTCCTCTGTTATCCCTGCCTTTTGTTGCCTTCTTTCTGAGTGCATGTCGAATCCCCAGCAGGGGGCAGCAGCGTGCTCTTCCTCCTCTGATGTAATGCTGTGTCTGTCCACAGGAGGTCACCGGTGACAAGCCAACCCACTGTTCCCCAAGCTACACTCTCTGGTATGCTGTCTGCTAATTAAAACTCTCAGTCCAAAGAGTCCCACATTCCGCTCACAAGGCTTTGAGGACACACTAAGACCCCCCCCACGCTCCCTAAATGCACCATCAGCAATGAAAAAGCAGATCAGCAAAGAGCATCATGTGCCTCTTATAGAGGTTCCTCTGATTTACTACATTTTATGAAAGCGGAAAGATCCTAAATAACCTCAAATATGATGCATAAACGACAAAAATATCTCATCTTATTTTACTTTTGCTCGACATTTAACTCTCAAAGTAGAAATTTAGACCCTCAAACCCATTATGGAGGGGAAACTGTGTATCATGAATTCAAACTGTATATTGTTATGTTTAAACATTGTGCTTTTACTGCACCAGATAACACCTGAAAAATCTAGATATAGGTGTTGGGTACTTTATTTGCAATTCAGCCAAACCTATCACACATTATTACCCATAAAAAACACATGCCAGGCCCTTACAGACTGATAACATACCATGTCAGGATTATATATGCATAGTCCTGCTTTCTTACATTCACATTAAGTGTGTTCTTACATGACAAAGACATCTACTTTTCCTACGCTTCCCTATATTCACTGTGTGTCTGTGTCATTCCCAGAGGAGACCTACCAGCAGATGGCTCGGGAGACTCTGGAGGAACTGGACTGGTGTCTGGATCAGCTGGAGACCATCCAGACGCACCGTTCAGTCAGCGAGATGGCCTCCAACAAGGTGCGCACACATGTCCAAGCGAGCATGTTCACTCTTACTGTCAGTGTGCTCCTAATTCATCACCCCATGACAGCTGATTATACCAACAAATGCTATCAGGGCAATTAAAGATACATTTTTAAGGTGTAATAAAAAGGAGTATAATTAGAATAGATATGGAAATACCCTACAGGAGCATTAGCAAAACTTACTCTTGACAAAACTTTTCCACATCACTTTGAATCTTTTATTTTATCCTTTCTACATAAAAATCTAACAGATATCTCTGCAGCTGTTACACTTATAGACTGGCTTTATTTGACATGTTGTTAATCAGCAGCAGCGTATTCGAAGTGTGTTTTCTCTTCCATTTTTTGGATCCACCTGAATATGTTTATTCAGGTCAGATTTAATCAGGCTGCGCTGCATATGTTGACATCCATCTTTTCGGGGTTTTCATGGTGTTTTCTCCGAGCAAACACGTTAACCATGACTTTACATGTATTTATATTCCCAACTGCTAAAGATGTTGCCTGGTTGTGTTGTATTTGTGTTTCTACATCTGCACGCACTGGCAGCTTTCTCAAAGATGCACATGTTTGTATTTATGGAAGAGAGAAGAGAGAGGAAGGGTGACACTCTGTGGGAGGGAGGGAGGGAGGGAGGGGGGGACCTGATGCTGCTGATGTCTCTGCTGTAACCTTGGTTGCTATCGAACAGCAGCAGGGTCTGCCCTTCCCTTTTCGCTATTGGCTCGCGACTCTGACCACGAGCCATGTGGTCTGGGTAACCACCAATGAAATGAAGGCGACGCTTCTTTAATAGTGCTCTGTCTTAAAGAGACAGCGCCTTGTTTGTTTTATTCTACAATTTCACCCTATGATGCACTTTGCTGTTAATAAATAATCAGGTTTGGAGGGTGGATTATCAGTCAGGTTTGTGATTAAATGATGGTTTAGAGAGATGACAGGTGAATGTTTCAAGGACATCATTTAGATCCGTGCACACACACCCTGTGGTAAAAGGAGTCCCTCTAAATATGCTGCTGGGTTTGAGTAGCTACAGGAATCCTCTGCACTGTGCCAACATGGAGGTACACATGAATATTCCCACTCAGTCTCTCACTCTTACTCACACCCTCACTCACACACATATTTTTAACAGACGTACATGCTGTCTTGTTGCACATGCGCACTCAGGCAGTGAGCAGGAGCAAGCACAGACGCACACACACACACACACTCACTCACGCACACACACACATACACATGCATGCGCCTGCAGCCACACTGCCTGATTAGCTTGCGAGAGCTGTCTACAGCATCCAGGGAAATGGCGCAAGAAGCAGAGCATTGGAGGAGGAACGGCAGCCTAGAGCGGCAGGATTAGACCTCTGGCATTTTTGGACAGCTGAGGCATGGATTGACTTGGAGCGAGGGGGACTGGGCTGCAGCCTGACTGAGCGTGGAGTGACTGTGGGGTTGCTGGGATCAGTGTGAAACGGCACAGGCGGGCTGATGCACCGGTAGGACTGGGTCGGGCCTGTGGATCCGTACCGTGGGGGAGGGGCAGTCGACGCAGGGAGAGGGGAGCCTGTTTTTCCAGACCACAACTCTGGTTTGATTCTCCAGCCTGATCGTCTGCTACAGGCCTGCTCGCATCCCTCTCTGATTCTTTCTCTCACTCCCCCCCTCATCCTCTCCATCCTGGTTTTTCTCTTGCTACCATCATCTGTTTCTACCTCCCCCCTTTTCCCGATGTTCCAGCTGCCATCCAAGCTCTCCATTCCTCTATCATCCAGGTCTACGGTTATCTGTCGGTCCTGTCATCACCGTCACTCCATCCCTCTCACCTCCATCACTTAAATTTTTTATCACTGTTTGTCAAGCAGCTCCGCTCTACCACCATCATTCTCCTCTTACATATCTCCCACATTTCCACCCGTCTCCTCCATCAGGTCCTTCCTGTGCCCTTCAGACGGTCCCTCACTCCCCCCTGTTTCCCTCCATCTTCCCTCTTTCGGCTTTCATCCACTCTACCCTGCAGTGACTGTGCATTTGGGTCAGTCTGCTCAACAAATGGGATAAGATGTAGTCTCCACAGCAGCCGGATCCAGGGGGGCTCCTGGTCTGCCTGTCAGGGGGACCCTCATCTTCGGACACCATTGAGGCTGGAGCCTGACTCTGGACTGACTGGGTGGCCTGTTTTGGGGTGCTGCATGTAGGCAAGGACAGTCTTCATCAGCAGCCCCTACCCTCACCCCCCTCCCCCTGTTCCTCCGTCCCCTCTCGGGGGAGCCGTCGCTCTGGAGTGTCCCAGCTTAACCGGTTGTGGCCTCTCCCCACACACCCTGACGACGCCCTCATGCCACTGGGGCACCCGCAGCGTGTCCACCCCGCTCCACTACCGCACCTCCTGCCTGTGTCATCGGCCCAAAACCCCTGTCACCCTAAACATGGGTGTGGTGGAGGCCATTGACCCTGCGCCATCCCCCTGCCCCTCGCCCGTACCAGGGGGCTACAGGCTGCCCCGCTCCTCCAGCTACAGCCCCCTGCAGGGGAGGGCAGGGGCAGAGCTGGACCTTGGTGCGGCCGCTGGAGGGGTCCTGGATGGGGGTGGGACGGCGGCAGAGCGCAGGACACCCTTTGTTGACCTGTTCTGTGAGACCTGCTCCAGGCCCTGGCTCATCGGTTGGTGGGACCAGGTAGGACTCAGGGAGCCTGCAGGGGGGCTGTAAGGCCTGACGGAGGCCATCTTGGATAAATGCTGTTTATTCCTCAGTTGTTGCCAGTTTTCTCCACATGCATGTATACATCAAAAATCCATTTATGTGCCTACTTGTTTATTTACACCAAAAATAGAGCAGAAGACTGGAGCCAGTGTGTGAAATATGTGTGTGAACATGACACATGATGCATTTATGAGCTACACAAACTTATTCAGGTGATAAAAACAGATTTTGTTGCTCAGACACTGGCTTATTTAAGAGTGTGTGTTATGAGACTATGCCTGTATATACTGTGATGTATACATACATCCTTGAAGAGTTCGAGTGATAAAGGTACAGAACTTATTAACTCTGCTCCACGTTGCCGCAGCACTGTAAACAAAAAACAATAACCCTCTCGTTCTTCGCCTTACTTTGTCTACATTTCTGTCCTGAGAGAGCGCACCAAAGAGATTAACATAAAAATATTGCTTTTGCAGTTTGTTGAGAAGTAACCTTAGCTTTCTTCACTGCAGGTATGTTGCAGTGTCACATTATGTCCATTTCCATCCTCCACACCTGCGTCCCACATCCCACCAGCTCTCTCCTGTGCTACCCTGAGGCTGGCCTCAATACAGACTCAAGGAAGCCAAGCGTATAGTTGTTGAAGGACAATGCCTATTGTCCCAGGACTGAGTGGATGTTTATGTTTGTGTCTCAGGTGTGACACATCCACAAGAGTGTGTTAGTTTTCTTAGATTTTACAGGTTTGTTTTTAATTTGTTCGTGAAATTGTGTTGTTTACATTTGGGTGCATGAGTTGCTTTTTACTTTATGCTTACTAAATAACCTAAAAAACAGGTTAAAGTTCAGAGGAGGACCACATTTAGTGTCTGAGTGTGTGATATTTTGCGCTACATTGGTATTATTTGTTATCCTGAGCATAGAGGGAGGAAAGGTGTCCCCGTCCCTCACATGTTCAGATGTCGGCACGTGTGTTTATGGTCATGTCTTTGCAGTGTTAGCATGTTTGCTTCATTAGTCAGTGTTCAGGGGAGAGTGTTGTTTGTCCTGGCACCATGGAAGTCTTGGTTGGCAGCTATGACTCAGCTTTACATTATTAGGAGAGAAAGAAAGAGAGATAATTAGAGAAGAAGAGGCTTGGACTGAGCCCACCGTCTTAAGTGTGCCACTGGGCTTGGTTTGCTTTTGTGACTCTTGATGGCTGATTCTACCTCACTGACTCTAACATGTTCTGTCAGAGCTCTTACAGGATCTGCTTATTCAGAGATGATTAAAAAAAAGGGTCAAATGCTTATAAAAGAGAGATAACTTAGAGGAGAGGAGGAGTAGGTGGTGGGAATGCATGACACGTATAAAATGGCAGAAAGGCATGACAGAGAGTTTGCCAGGGGAGGCTTTGAGGGCTGTAGCAGGGAGTGTTGTTTACCTCGGGAGAGAGGGAGGAGCAGATTTTAGAGACAGAGAGATGAGGAGAGGAAGAAAGCGCAGGAAGGGAGGGTTGACCTTGGTAAAGGTCAGAGACACCTGCCTACTCCCTCAGATTGTCACCCAAGCAGCCACCGCTCTCACATCAAGCTGAAGGACTGACTATGAGGAGGCAGTTGCCACGGCAACCGCTCAGGTTGCCATGGAGATTGTTATGTGTGAAAGATCAGTCAGTAGGACACAGACTGAGGGTTTCTCGTCTGAATCGCATTGTACCTTTTTACATGACTTGTGCAGCAGATGGCTTCAGAGCCTCCGAACACGTTCATTTAGAATAAAATCACAAAAGCCGAGAGAACGTTCAAGAACAGCGTTTTCTGTCTGCGGGGATAATGTATTCACTTAATCACATTTGTGCCCGTCCTGCAAGGAAGGACCTGCAGACTGGCTGTTTATAACTACCATATGAAGATTTCATGTCACTGCAGCTTTAACATAAATGATCAAAATGAAGGAGGAAGACATTTTTCTATTGAGCAGTATGTTCTCAAAAAGAGGAGGAATGAATCATGATCGACTTTCTCATCATTCAGTAAACGAAGCCAGATTGAGGGGGATCATCTTTTGGATCATTTTTGACTCATATGTATGTTGTGTTGCTCTGCATAAAAAAAAAAAAGAAAAAAGTTGAATCTTAATGTTCATTACTCTGCAGGTCTCTATGGAGATTTTCACGTTTCTGCTTTGTATCACGAATTCACTCACCTTCTGTTTGTGTCTCCTCTCAGTTTAAGAGGATGTTGAACCGGGAGCTGTCCCATTTGTCAGAGATGAGTCGCTCAGGGAACCAGGTGTCAGAATACATCTCCACTACTTTTCTAGGTAGAGCAAACCTAATTAATACATATTGCAAATCCTTTCTAGTCTGGTATTTTGAACCAGACTAGCTTTCATCTTGACTGACCTCTGACTCTTGACCCCTCCAGACAAGCAGAACGAGGTGGAGATCCCGTCTCCGACTTTAAGAGAACGGGAGAAGCCAATGTGTCACATCAGTGGTGTGAAGAAGCTCACGCACAGTTCCAGCCTTTCCAACTCCACCATGCCTCGCTTTGGCGTGAAGACTGAACACGAGGATTCTTTAGCCAGGGTGAATATGTCTTACATTATCTGTAAAGTTTGTGATTGAATGCTGCCTGATCTGAGCTTGGACGCCTCCCCTGAAGATGTAAATATTACTTTCAAACAATAAATGTTGCAACTGACCACCCATTGCCAAATATAATACAAGAACTTTATTGATCCCCAAAGGTAATATGTTATAAATATGTTGTTTCCTTTAGAGGAGAAACCACTTCTTCCTTTGGCGAGACCCCAAATATATGAGGATATAAAGCATCCAACAATTTATATTTTGGATTCTGCAACACTGCCCTAATATTTCTCAATTTCGAATAAGTTTGAGCTGGATTGTCTTACTAATGTCTATCATTGTTGACTGCTGTGCCTCCAGGAGCTGAACGACTTGAACAAGTGGGGCCTTAATATCTTCCGTGTGGCAGAGTTCTCGAATAATCGACCCCTCAGCTGCATAATGTTTGCCATCTTCCAGGTGAGAGACACGACTTCAATCCAAAGACTAATCTCTGTGTGTAAAAGTTATGGGGGGACTTTCCAAAACAAAAAGTCTGGACTGTGCGTAAGAATCCACTATGGAGAAAGCACTTTGTAACATATGGAAAAAACTCCCAGCTGAACCAGACTGAGACTAGACAGCCATCTGCGGTAGAGGAAGGTGCAGAAAGAGAGATAGAAACCACTGGCTTTAACCAGTAATTGAATGTATTATTGCATAATTTATTTATGTCTCTGACCATGAAGTACTGTCTCTGCCGCAGGAAAGAGATCTACTAAAGACCTTTAGGATCCCTGTGGATACTTTCGTCACCTACGTGATGACCCTGGAGGACCACTACCATGCCAATGTGGCCTACCACAATAGCCTCCACGCTGCAGATGTCACTCAGTCCACTCATGTTCTGCTATCAACACCGGCTCTAGATGTAAATACCTTGACTGGTCCGCCAATCTCCACATATACAGACTTTAACAGAAACAAGGCTCTTCAGTGACATTCATCTACACCCTGTCATCTCTCCTTTTTGTCTGTCATTTCTCTCTGTAAGGCTGTGTTTACTGATCTTGAGATACTTGCTGCGTTGTTTGCTGCTGCCATTCATGATGTGGACCACCCTGGAGTGTCAAACCAGTTCCTCATAAACACCAGTGAGTCTTGTAAAAAAAATTAAGAGACACACAAGGATAAATAAACTGCCCGGTCCAGAGCTTGTAAACATTGTGGCCACACATATAAATTAGTAAAGGGGTCAGTGTTTTGTCCTGCTTGTTAAAGACGCAGACATATGTGTGGACAGCTAAAGTAACAGGGAGAAGGGGATTTGATTTGAAAGCAAAATATGACTGAAAAATCGAAGTTTGGTGGGAGCATCCCTGTGCTGATGGTGTGATTTATGTGTTTCCTTTAGACTCAGAGCTTGCCCTGATGTATAACGACGAGTCGGTGTTGGAGAACCATCACCTCGCTGTGGGCTTCAAGCTGCTCCATGAGGATAACTGTGACATCTTCCAGAACCTTAGCAAGAGGCAGAGACAGAGCCTGAGAAAGCTTGTTATAGACATGGTGAGTCCAGCTCTCGCTCTGTATCACTAGAGGTTAATTTACTTTCTCAGTACTTTTGATTCATGCCATTAAATCACAATCTGATGCATTGATATCAAATTTCTGTCCAGGTATTGGCGACAGATATGTCTAAACACATGAGTTTGCTGGCAGACCTCAAGACAATGGTGGAAACCAAGAAAGTGACGAGTTCTGGAGTACTGCTGCTTGACCATTACACTGATCGGATACAGGTAAGAAGAGACAGGATGCACTGAGTTCGTTCACGGAGCTACAAAAACAGACTGCAGGTTGGTCTCAAAGGCCAAGCTTGATGTAAACATTGAGTTGATATAGAGCTGGCAGGGCAGGGTTGAAGGCTGATTTATACCACTGCATCAAACTGATGTCCTTCTGCAGCATGTTGCTCTCAAGCCAAAGAGATATGGCCTTGTTATAACTTACATTAAAGACCTCCCCTTGGGGAAAAAAAAAAAAAAAACGTCAGGTCATGGTGGTTAAACTGTGATAAAGGACACACTCTGATTGGTGTGTCTTGGCTGTTTTGCTGTGTTGTGTGCTGGGACTCTTGATTGATATTTCAAGGTTGATCCTGTATTTTTTTAACCCTGGACCACATAAGGTCATAAACCCTCCTCCTCCGCCATGTTAACAGATGGAACATGAGTCAATAAATTTGAAATGCACATCCATTTTCTTTTCCAAACATGCACTCTATCATTAAAGTGAGTTCTCATCCTACTGATTTATGATCACGTGTTCCTCGTCAATATTGGATTTTTTCTCTCTCTGATATTTTCTTCCTAATTTTTGCCAATACTGATATTCACACTCCTTTTTACTCACTGTACAGAGCACCAAACCTCTCCTGTACTAGATTATATCAAGCAGCATTTGATTTCACCTTAAATGATAAATAAATTCACTTTAAAACAGACATTTAAAAATATGTTTGCTGCATTTTTCCTCAGCCTTGTTGAGTGACTTAAGTTAAGACTGCCAGGGGAGGCTTTGAGGGCTGGAGCAGTGAGTGTTGTTTACCTCCGTAGAGAGGGAGGAGCAAGTTAAGGTTGCTTCTGGTTGGTTGTGTCAAAGGAGTGTTGTTTTGCTCATCCTTGAATCATCTTTAAAATGATAGCAAAAAGCTATTTTTCCATTAGTGTGTCTGCATCTGAAAGATTTATATTGAGCCTCGTGTTGGTACTGTTGGCCCTGAAACCATGTCTTGATCCTAAAAATCTTGTTTAAGTGAAAAAGCCAAAATCCAGTGTAGTTAAAAGTAGAGAGTGGCTTCCTCTGTGTGCATTTGATTGCTAAGTTGGTGCAGCGACATGAAACTACAGTAAACCTTAGCATAGTTGTTTTAGCTAAGTGACTGTTGTGGTGAAAAGTTGTGAACAGCCTTCTGAATTTGCTTACCAGTAGAAAAAGCTAGTTATAGTTTTTGTTGTTTTTTTGTAATACTTCACACAGTAAATCCTTTGGGCCGCTTTAAAATGATTAACTTGTTTTTAACTCATCAACAAATTGAGCAATACCGTTTATTGGCCACTAAGAATAGAAGCGAGCTAGTAGCTTGTGGCTTCGAAATGCTGCCACTGTCATTGTATGCACACATAACGTATCTCCTCATTGGCCGCATATATCACTGTAAATTCTCACATCTGCAGACACTGATAATAAACTGTTAAAAAGTTGACTGGTTTACACACTAATGTTGACCTGCAATGTTACACAGCCAACATTGAGAGAAGTTGTTGAGCACGTACACAATAACGAATTTTTCACAGCCATTAGCGTCTGCTTCAGACAACACAGAAATCTGTTCTACTGTGAGCTGTACCCACCTGATGGATGTTTGGCGTTTTATTGGTTAAGTCAGGTTAGTGGGAGAGGTTTGGCATCAGTCCTGCAGCTTTTCCAGCTAGATCCTTGGCTTCACATCTCACAATGGGGGAAGTAGAGCAGCGTGGTGTTTTGTTTCGTATACAGCCAGTTGTTTGAACTGTTGCAGTATAGTGATAGTTTGCTTCAGTCAGTTGCAGAAAAAGGACTTTGATGGCCACAATTGCCAAGAGTGTCTTGTAGCAACTTGAGAAGTAAAAATCACTTTACCATGAGGAGTCTTGTGAAATGGAAGTCACATTTGTGGAGTTTGTAATTGGGGAGAGAATAATGGGAGTCATGAAAATATAGATCAGCCATGTAGATGTGAGACAATGGGTATCCCCTGTTATCTGAGGAAGCCATGGAGCTTGTTGAAACTGAAGAGAAGCGAAGTGAAAGAAAAGGGAAACAAGCCGCTGCAAATCTTCAAAATCTGGTTTTGAAGTGCTTCATGGTTTTTTCTCACAGTGTGTTTTTTTGGTTGTGAGTAGCTGGACCTGTGTTACCTGGTAGTGCTGTCTGTGTGTTTTGAGATGAGGGTTCAGATGCTGAGCAATGTGGCGTTATCAAATGATACTAAGCGTTGCGAAACCAACAAACTGCACCACAGAATCTCTTCCTACTGCAAGTTGCCTACCCACAAGATTACGAGGGATGGCCCAATAAAAAAACTGCTGAGTGACCCCTTACTCTCTTCAGCTTGTCTGAGTTCACAAAACAGGATTTTAGTCAGTAGCCCTGAAATTGTGTCCCAAAACCTTGGTTTCAGCAGGGTTTTTGATCTCCAATCCTTCAATGCATGGGTTTCCTGCGTATATTTTGGTGTGCAATGTTTGTATGTTTTAGCCCATCAAACAGAAAATCAGAAAAGTAAGGTAAACAGTAGTTTGTGGATGGTTAAGATGTCTTTGCTTAGTCTCACTGACCTAAATGTTTGTTACAAAACTTGGCTACCAGAGTGAATCAAGTATTTGATGGGTGACAAAGGTGGTGTTCATGATTTTATTCTCACGTAAAGCCGGACTTTGCAGAAAAGGGAAGCTGCTTTCAAATGATCTGCATTTACTTTGATGAGCAATCGTGCAGAGATTTATAGAAGATTTTACCAAAGTATCAAAGAGTAGAAGAAAAATGATAGCAAATGGTATTACCCATAAGAAAACACAAATGAGAACTATTTTAAGAAGCAAGAAAAGACAAGAAACCTGTGGTGCTTCCCTCAGATCCTGCCATCCCACATGAAAAGAGGATGTAGGGCAGAGCAGGTCCAAAAATGATGCAGTTTCCTTTGAGTCATTGATACCAATATAACACCAAGTCGAGGCATTTCCTAAAAACTAGAGAGGACAGCAAAAAAGTTATGTTGCATGCAGACCTCATCAGCATATTAAAGGGATATTCTGGCGTAAAAAGTCAAACACACTGTAACACCGAGTAACACTGTAACACTCTATAGCCACAAATAATTCTAAGAACAGCACCTAACTTCATCAACAGTACATACAGGGTCCTAGCTATAGCACTAGCCATCAAACATCTTTTTAGCTTTGCCTTATTTCTTTAGCAAAGAGACTAAACACAACTCACCCACTCTCCTCTAACTCACCTACTCTCTTCTAACAGCCGCTTGTTTGTACGGAGACCTCCAGGCGAGTCCATCGACTGCAGCGGGGCGACGCAGCTCAAGGAAGAACATTTATGATCATTACTTTATCATTTTCTTGAAGTAATAATCATCATATCAAGCATCTTGCACTGCAGACGTGGTAGTTCTTCTGCCTTAGCTTCTCGGTCTGATTGCATTTCCATGAAGAAATGATCATGAATGTTCTTCCTTGAGCTGCGTCACCCCGCTGCAGTCGATGGACTCGCCCGGAGGTCTAGCTACAAACAAGCGTTCGTTAATAAAATTGGTAGAACTAGAGAAGCAAGTGGTTGGCAACATTCATCTCTTGAGGGGGTGTCTAACTCGGTGTTACAGTGTGTTTGACCCTAACTTAATTTTACGCCGGAATATCCCTTTAATGTCCCACTACTGGCGTACAGGCTATGTGTAAAGTCAGACTAACTGGTTCAGACCTCAATGTTCTTGCAAGCAGCCCTTCCAGGACATATCCAGATGGAGAACATTTGAATATGTGAAATGGGCTTCAGAATTCAACATCAGTAATGATACTGGCAATTGTCATTATATTGTGTGACCCCTGATTATGTGTCTGTGCAGGTATTGAGGAACATGGTGCACTGTGCTGACCTGAGCAATCCTACGAAACCCCTGGCCGTGTACCGACAATGGACGGAGAGAATCATGGAGGAATTCTTCAGGCAGGGAGATAAGGAGCGAGAGCGAGGGATGGAGATCAGCCCCATGTGCGATAAACACACTGCATCCGTGGAAAAAAGCCAGGTAAATGAGCAGCTCTGGTGCCGTAGGTGGGGTGATAATGACATTGCAGAGAGTGATCCGACATCTCTGATCACAGCAGTCATCCTTGTACATTTTTAATGCTAATTATGTGGGGGGGTGAGATGACACTACTGTGCTTGCTCATATGAAGTCAATCATGCTGTTTTTTTGGATGCAGGTGGGCTTTATCGACTACATCGTCCACCCGCTGTGGGAGACATGGGGGGATCTTGTGCACCCTGACGCCCAGGACATCTTGGACACATTAGAGGACAACAGGGACTGGTACCAGAGCACTATTCCTCAGAGCCCCTCGCCTCCTCCTGTAGGCCAGGATAAGGAGCTAATTGACAAGTTCCAGTTTGAGCTCACCCTCGAAGACAGCTCTCCGAGAGAGCAGGAAGACGAGGGCGACAAGCCAACGCTGAACCACGTGGCGCAAGACTGCAGTCAAGGGGAGGAAGAGGAGGGTAAAAAAGAGGAAGAAGAAGACACAATGGCAGAGGAGGAAAACGAGGACATAATAGAGGAGGAAGAAGAGGTGGCAATGGAGGAAGAGGAGGTGGAGGAAGGTCAGGAGGAGGAGCTGAAAAGTCATTTGGAAGTAAGATCCGAAAAGGAGAGACTTTCTGACACAAGTCCTGTAGAGGAAGAGGAAGATTCTTCTTCACAAGCTGAAGATACATGAGTTTGGCTCCTGTATCTCCCTCTTCACTTGCACACATTATCTTGTTCATCCTTTCAATGGCCAAACCAAGAACAAATAAGACTGCAAAGGACAATGCAGACCTTTAAATATATTTTTCAAAAAGGGAATAAATTAAAATCGCTCAAAGAGAAGGTAATTACACAGCAACTGTAGATTTGGAGTGGGGACAAGCTCTTTGACTGATTACACAGTGAACTTTAGACCAAGAGGAATTTAGGAGAGAATTAAAGATGGGCAACTGAAGACAGCGTAGCACTCTGGGACTGGGATGCACACACATAAACACGCATCAAGTGTCACACAACACAATCACACAAGAACACATGGTAGGGTAAGTCATACAGGATACAATAATCAGATGTGTGTAACCAAACGCCTCAGCCATGCTTTATAATTGGACAACTCTATTTTGCAATTTTGCAGACACACACACAGTCACACACTCACACAACCACTTGACTTAACGTTTGTATGTGTGCATTAACAAGAGGGCCATTGGTCATGTATGGAATCTCTCTGGAAAAAGCCATCTCTCAATGGAGTATTAACTAGTGTTCAGTCAGTATTAGTAATTCATGTTTGTTAGAACCTCAACAGAAACTCTTCTCCTCAGAAAAGCTACACGTCCGAGTGACTTTTTTTTTCCATTTCTGTCGGAAAGAAAAATACGAATATCCAGAGTTGGTGGAGGAGTAAGTCAGATTTCAAAAGGAGACAAGGATGATGTGATGAGGGGGCCACTTGGTCCCACCCCCCTTTTCCCTTTACGAGGAGAGTGCTACTGGTGCAAGATGGCTCTGTGCCTTTCTGAAACACCAGCTTCCTGAATGGAGCTGTAGTGAAGCAATGCATTGTGGGACGGGAGTGTCTGATTTTGTTATCATTTCTGATTGTCTCTTGTTAATGATTTCTTTGCTGTCCATGATATTGTGGTGTGTATTTCACACGTACAGTCCCTGTGGTGATATGTTTTAAGCTGTAAGTCTTCCTTTGTTGCTCTTCTGGTAATATAATAACTCAGAACTCTAGATGCAGAGCAATCACTACTCGCCAACACAACCACCAGTGGACTCTTTTTCAGCTTTTGTTCTTTCTTATTAGAATGATTTTTTTAAACTTTCAGAGAATAAGCCATGTGATGCTTTGAAGCATGTTTTTGCCTATTTTCTATTTGCTAAATATCTTGAAGGGATACTGATTTATTTCATCAGCAGAACAAATTCTCACTTGCCATCTCACACCTTCTTGCACTGTGTGTTTATGTCTGCTCATACACAACAATTCTCGCCAAAGTTAAGGATGAGAAACCGTGGAAAAGGTCGACCGTGATTTGAGGGAGCTCAGAAGAATAAGAATATCAGGGAAGCAGAATGTCAGGGGATCGCAGTGAGACTTGGCCAAAAGGGGGTCTGGCAGTCCCTTATCATCCTTGTTATGTTTGATGCTTTTTTGCCTTAATGTGAGATGCAGGAAACATACCTGCCAGTATGTAGATTTATAAGATATATAATAGATATCCTAGTATATTTATATCACGTCCGTATGCTTATTTCTGTGAGTATCAGTGTGTCTGTACACAATGTATCCAGCATTGCATTTGGAGGACAAATGGAAACATTGCTGCCAATAAGTTAAGTTGTTGCTTTGCTGAGACCAACATAAAGAATGTGTTGTTTTTTAATCACACAAATCATAAAATGACTATCTTCTAGCTACCTGGAGACATGCAGCGGAAATGAAGAGTTTAGATTTTGCAGGAGATGAGAATAAATACAGCTGTCTTCTGTTTAAATATGACCGGGCAGTGATCTACTAACACGGTGGAGTTGATGCATCTATGTTTTTGTTCGCTTATCGTGTGGTCAAGAGTAATCGATTGAATAACCAAAAAAAAAAAAAAGTGAGAGAGAGCAGGATGCTAAAGATGTTGTTGTACGTGTCATTGTTCCCTCACTGGTATCACTGCATCTTGTTGAATGGCGTTCAGGATTTGATTAGCACAGCTTAAACAGGTCACAGTTTGTTTAGGTGTTAAGGGTAAAAAAATATATATATCATGAATTATAAAAACATGGGTGTGGTTGTTTTGAAGGTAAGAGCGAGTTTCTGCAGGTCAGTAACTGTGTTTATCTGAAGACACCACAGCTCGGTGCAACAGAAGCCTGTGTGTTTGACCTGCTCCATTGCAGGATGGAGCAGAGCTGCGGGGCCACCACACAGGCTTTTATATCAGTAATGGGAATTCAGGACTACTATTGCAGTTACTTCGATAAAAGATTCCCATATGCATTGGCCTTTTACTTTAATGTTGTTGCTTTGTTTTTGTGGCTTTGTGTTATATCATAAGCTATAAAAACATTACTATTTAATTGCCATACAAACACAATACTGTAGCAATTATTTCTTAATAAGAAAATTATTCAACTGATTGATTGCTGCCATTGTTTTTAAATGATGAAAAGAAAACCATGGTAAGTGTTTTCTTTGAACAGTTTGTGTACAGTTTATTTTTATATCATTCTGGTGGATGGTCTGGAAAATAAATCAAGTATTGATGATATAGCTATAAGCATTACCACTGTTGTATATAATGTAATATTGGATTGTAAATTATAAATTTATCCAAGTCAAAATGATTTGACAGATAACCACTTATGGTTGTTCAGTGAACCACAGGAGCACTGCAGGCCACAACCCCACCTTTTTACTTCTCTGATTATGTTTCCAGTCACTTGTGCAAACATCCTGTCACTATTTTAAGTGTCCACCTTTATTGTTAAGATCAGATATATATTTGTACCAGCACTTTATTTCATCAGGTCTTGTGGCAGACAGTGATTTTCAGGTAGTGTGCGGTCTCTGCTGGTGGTTTGGTCATTTGCAGCTACCAGTTGATTAGATTTCATTCATTTTGTCAAATCATCATGCAGTAGTCATTGTTGACCTCTTGTCTAGAGGAAGAGACAAAAATAAAAACATTCTCGATTAATAGTCCATGTGAGATTAAACTTATTTGAGTGTGTAAGCCGATGAAGTCACATTAAATGTGACAGGTTCAAAAGAAATTTGTGTCCTTATCCAACTTGGCCATTTCTGATTCTATCACCACCTCTTTTTCTTAGTAACTTTAAATCACTAGCCTGATAGCCTAAATGTCCGTCCAGTGGTGACCAAACTAGCTGGTTACCATCGGGTTGCAGTCAAAGTTATTTTGTCGCAGACTGATTCCCTCTGTGAATAACTCTCTGGGCTTTAATACGTGTTTGTTCACGAGTAAGAAAGATTATACAAGGGGAAAAAAACAAAATGAAATGATTGTAATATTTGTAAATGATCTTGCTGTAATGTGTAAAATGTGTCCAAGTTATTTTTTATTATATTATTTTTATGAAAGTTTCCCTTAACAGAGCTGAGGTGTCATTTTGTGAATAAATGCATTTAATAAGCAAACATCTATATATAAAACAATATTATAGTATATCGGTATATTTTTCTTTTATTTCACTGTTCGGTACTGTAAAGTGTGTTAAAAATACAAATAAAGTAAGATTTTTATATTAAATACACCATCATTGTCATTTTTATCTGAAATTAGAGCTCAGTCAGTATGAAGTTTGAAAATAAATTGCATACTTCCATACTAAATACTCAAAATTTTGAGTATACTCAACTCAAAATGGAAAAAAGTATGGATAGTATGCAAAAGTACTCGGATGACGTACTCAAATCATTCAAGATTTTGGGTATGCGACTCCGGACACTCGCCTGCAATCATTTTATCAGTAAGAATGGCTGCGGACGGCTGTGGTGCCAGTAGGTCGACAACACTGCACCCTCAAAACTCGCGCACTGCGCCATTGAGTACATAGTATGCTTAGTTTACTCAATTGGAAAAATCGAAGTATTTAGTATGGACGTCTGCGATTTGGGACACACCATAACTCTCAACTCCATTCGTTGCTTGTTTATTGCCTCATTCCCCTTTTAATAGCCTATTGTAAGCTCGAGCGTGTTTGGTTTGGTGTTAGAGATACTGACACAGCTTTTGAGCAGAAAGAATAAAGGCATTTTTCGTATATTTTATCTTCTGTGTCGGGAAAACATTACAAAATTTACCTGCACCTGACAGTCGCTGGCATGAGATGGCTGCATCCTCAGACATACCCACGAGCTCTGACTTCATACAGATGCCACGACTCTCCACCAATCACAAGGGCCGAACGCGGTATCCAATCAGAGCGGGACAAGACAGATGAGGGTGGAGATGTACGCATGCGCATTATCATCACGGACCTAGACGCTGTATTAGCCGGTAATGACTAGCTTAAGGCTAGTTTTTTAGATTAAAATAAGTTCCCCAAATCTTATCTCACTTTCACTTTCAGCCTTTTATGCGGTAAGAATGTCTTTTTTCGTCACTGTATACCCAGACTCGCTATTTCTTTATTAACGTGTTGGTTAAAGATTTGGTTTGTGCTAACCACTGTATGCTAGTTAGCATGATTTTGTTATCTCGACCTCCTGATAGGAAGTCCTTGTATTTTGTTGATAGATGTGATTTAGTTCAGTCAGTTTTATATCTTACAGCGTCTGTTACGGCGTGTTTAGAGTTTTTACAGTCAGCTTAACAGTTTTAATCTGCTCCTTGTACAGTTGATTCTTGCTAAAGTACCACCTGAGGATCTGGATCATCTCCATCATCATCATCATGTCCTGTAAGAACCTCCAGCTCGTCCCGCTGCTGCTGTGTCTGCTGAGTGTGGGAGTCTCAGCCGTGGAAATCCAGCGTCCTCGCGGTGTCCCTCTGTCAAGTATGTTTTTATTACTAAATCACAGCTAATGAGACAGATCAGAGTGATTAACCCTTCCCTGGTTTGTTTCTGTTGCACTGACTCATTTATTTGTGTATGACCTCTGCAGAAAGGCAGTTCTATGAAGAGGACAAACCCTTTACCTGCCTGGATGGCTCCCGGACTATCCCCTTTGACAGAGTGAATGATGACTACTGTGACTGCCAGGACGGCTCTGATGAACCAGGTGTGTACAGCTTCATACCCCAGTAGTGCAAAGTTTTATTTCTTTATTTTAAGAAGCTAAAATACTGACCAGCTATTAAAATGTAATAGTAATCATGTTTGTTTATGTAGCACGTATAGCTATGATTGCCTTGATGTAGTGATTTGAAATATGAAATATGGCTCATCTTACCCCACTCTCCCCTACAAAGAGCCATTAAAAGCTTCTGGACGGAGGAAACAACAAATGAAACAATAAATACCCTAAATAAATAAATGAGTTAATAAAAAACTAAAAGGAGGTCTTTTGATAAAGATATGTTTTCATTAGTGTTTTAAAAGAAGACACTTGTGTAGCTTGTTGGAGATCCTCAGGCTGGTTGTTCCACAACTGAGGAGCCTGAATAGCAAAAGCTTTACCTCCTTTAGAGTTTAAATGTGGGATGTGAACATTAAGAAGGTTCCCACCTCAGGATCCAAGGCTACACACAGGACAGTATGGGGACAGCATGGCCAGACCATGGAGTGCTTTAAAGTAATGGTAACACCTTAAAATCAATTGGAAAAGAAATAGGGTAAGGTCATCTAAACAGGATTAATATGCTCTTCTTAGTTTTAGTTAGAAGTCCTAGCTGCTGAATCTGAACTATTTGGAGGCAAGTTATTAATTCCTGTCAAAATGCTGTTACAGTAATGTAATCGTGAGGAAATAAAAGCATGAATAATAGTTTGGGTGTCATTAAAAGTCAGCACAGACCTCATTCTGGTGATATTCTGTAGATGGTAGATACAGGAATTGAATCTGGGCAATCCAGTGCATCTCAGTACAACAGCTCCAGCATAAATTCGGTGAGACCAGCCGAGCTTCTGTGAGTCTAACATTCATGTTTAATCCAACTTTTTCACAGGCACTGCTGCTTGTCCCAACGGCAGCTTCCACTGCACTAATGCTGGTTACCGACCTGCTTTCATTCCCTCTTCCCGCATCAACGATGGAATCTGTGGTATGATTTCCAAACTGATCACAATAACTTAGATATGTCATGTGGGCAGTTTTCTTTAGTAACCCTGTGTTCTGTGTGCAGACTGCTGTGACACAACAGACGAGTACAACAGTGGTGCAACATGTCAAAACACATGCAGGTAGGTCATTCTTGACAACCTTTATCTTGCTATTTTACCAGTGGCCTAATCCATGCCCCTGCATGCATACTTCATTTAAATCATACTGTGAGTGTTTTCTTGTAATGTGTGATTGCAGGGAAATGGGGCGTAAAGAGAGGGAGAGCCTGCAGAAGTTGGCAGAAATTGCAAAAGAGGGTTTTCTGCTTAAGCAGCAACTTATCCAGGAGGCCAAGAGGGGCCAAGAAGATAAGAAGGTGGGAGAACATTTTTTGTATTATGTTTAAAATGTACATCTATGAATTCAGTATTTAGAAAGTGCCTAGACTAATTGTTCCATCAATTATTATTCTAAGAATATCTTGCTGATTCAGAATGGACTTGTTCATATCAAGAAAATTCTGTTGTAGGTCTCCTATAAAGTAAATGAAAGATTTGAGATGAGCTGCCAGGCTGTTGCTTTTCTTCTAGTAGGCATAAAGTAGTTCTTTCACATGAGGCAGTGACTTTTATATCAATATAATGGGGTTTTCAGATGTTGTATTGGTCTTATATGGAAAACTCATATGTCTTATTTCGGGGGGATAAACAGGCCAAACTTGTGGAGGTTCAATCCAGTAAGAAGGATCTGGAAGAGAAGGTGGAGGCTCTGAGAACTGCAAAAGAGACCGTAGAGCAGCCCGAGAAAGAAGCCAAAGAGCGCCATCTGAAGGCCTGGGAAGGTAAAAAGGAAATGTAGAAGTATAATGCCATCTACTGTCTGTGCCGAACATCACATTACAGAAAGACTCAACAGTTTTAGTGACCGTTTTGCTTTCACTAAAAACACCTGATGATAACGATGAAATGTTTTACATATGTTCACACAAACCTTTATTTATTTATTTCTTTATTTTCAGATGAGAAAGCTGTGATTCGCCAAGAGAAAGACAAAGCTAAATTGGCCGGAGTGTTTCTTGAACTGGACAATGATTCAGACGGATTGTAAGTATCAGCGCAAGAGATTTTAGTTTAGAGTCACCTTTAGCAACAAAAAACATTCATAAAGTAGTGGATGTCATGGTTTAAAATTTCTTTAACTTGTAAAACAACATACAAAAAGAAACATTGGCATTTTAAATAGTATGTAACAAATCACACAAAAGATTCTGCTCATGCATATTTCCAGAGAGATGATTCTATTGTACCAAACCTTTTGTGTTCCTCTCACTGATAAATTTTTTGACTGATCTTTAGTTTATGAAGTTGGGGTCAATATAAAGAACTGCTGCTTTCACTTTGTGGATAATATGTTCTTGTTTATTTCAGTGTCTCAGTTGCTGAGCTCCTGTCCCACTCTGAGCTCGACCCGGATTCAGACGGTTCATTCACAGAAGCAGAGGCTCAGGTAAATGTCTCCCTCTCTACGGCGGCGCTTCTGTCATCACTGAACAAAATAAACTGAGGATTACTTTTGGTTTGCACAGGGACTTTTTGGAGGCGTGGACAGAGTTGACACAGTGGCATTTGAGTCTATTTGGAATAACATCAAAGAAAAGTACATCTCAGAGGTAAGCTGACTACTCCTCAGGAGAACTTCACGTTTTTAAATCCTGGCTCTTCTAAAACTGAAACTCTCTGTATCAGGTCAGCCCAGACACCCCGGCACCAGTGGAGACTCCACCAGAGGAACCAAGGGACGCGGTCGCTGACAATGACTCCGAGCAGTACCCTGATGATGACATCCCAGAAGAAGAGGAGGACGATGAAGAAGATGACGAAGATGACCCAGATGAGGGAGACTACAAGGTATCCTGTGCTTGTTGAGTTTTCTCCACCAGACATCTGCTGTGTGGCTCTTCTTCTTCTTCTTCTTCTCTGGTTTATGTAAGTGAATCACTCCTGTCTGTGTCTGACATGCAGACCCCTCCTACAACACGGACTCAAGAAAAGAGGAATGACGATGACGAGGGGACTATGCCACCCTACGACCAAGAAACGCAGAGCCTTATTGATGGTAAGTGTGTGGATGAAAAAGGAGTGACTCAGCCTGTCTCCAGCGATGAGATGGTGACTCATGCTGTAAATTATTAGGAAGAAAGCAAAGATTGAACAGGATACCTACTGGTTTGAATTTTAATGCGCTATCTATAAACTCAACCCTTGTTTTTGCTCGTATGTTTGAGAGATAAACGACATGTCTTTGACAAAAGAATCAGCATGATCTGCTTAGAGGTAGATGTACGTAACTCTAAGTACGTCATGCCTTTGTGTGCGTGATCTAAGCGGAGGTCAAATTTGTTTCCTAGCCGCACAGAAAGCCAGGGATGAATTTGATGAGGCAGAGAGAGCTCTCCGGGAAGTGGATGACCAGATAAAGTAAGTACAGAGTCTGAGATATGAAGGAGCTGTTTGTAAATAACACAAAATAGAATAGTGCTGATCAAAAGCTTGTCTTAGAAAAATGTTTGCAGTGGATTAAAAACTTCTAAGTTGAAGACTTTCCTGCTAAAAGATTAAAAACATTGATTTACTTCTTTTCTTTTGCAGGAACATTGAAAAGGAAATCTCCTTTGATTTCGGCCCTCATGCTGAGTTCGCCTACCTCTACAGCCAGTGTTACGAGCTGACTACGAGCGAGTATGTGCACACTCTGACTCTCTTGGTTATGAACCGTTTCTCTTTATGAATGACTAAATTCATGTTTTGCTCGCAGGTACATCTACAGGCTCTGCCCGTTCCACAGAGTATCCCAGAAACCCAAGTTTGGAGGATCAGAAACTAACCTGGGGTAAAAAAAGGAGCACAAAACACAAAAGGAAGAAAAACAGATTTACTCTTTCTACATTTGACTCATCCTGTACCGTTTTTACAGAACATGGGGGAAGTGGGCAGGTCCAGAGAACGACATCTACTCTGTGATGAAGTATGAACATGGAACAGGGTGCTGGCAAGGCCCCAACAGATCCACCACAGTGAGTTTCATACTCTTTGCCCATCTCAAATTTTCAATTTCCTCAACCTTTTAGTTGGACACAGGGCAGAAAACAAATATTCTTTGTTTTTCAGGTGAAGTTAACGTGTGGGAAGGAGACTGTCGTGACATCTACCTCAGAGCCCAGCCGCTGCGAGTACCTGATGGAGTTCATAAGCCCTGCTATCTGTCAGGAGCCTCCTAGTCTGGATTCGGGGCATGAACACTCAGAGCTGTAGATCGTCATTAATTGTGAGTAAATCAACATTTAAATTCAGCTGCAAAGATGAATTTAAATGTCTTAAATAAAAAGGGCGTGGCCCGAACAGTGCCGTCTGTCGCAGGACCAGATCTTTTTTTGCGATCCACATCTGAAATTGAAACCGTCTAACTGGGCCATGATTTGGCTCAATGCACTAATGTGCTGCACCTACACAGAACAAACGATCACCCTTCATAGAAAGTGCTTACTGTAGCAACCTGCAAACTCGTGACAGCCAGCGGAGTCAGAAAACTAAGCGCTTAAACAGGGTGTTGTGGAGAACATCCCTTGAGCAGTTACAGAAGAAAAGCAGGACAGCAGCAAGAGAAAGAGAAAGGTAATAGTGACCTCATTTGAGTTCATCGTAGGTGATAAGTTCAGGGAGGATTCAGTATATATCCTGGCAGTATGTGGGCGAGGTAAATGCATACAACTGCTGCATATTAATTATTGATAAACTGCAGTATTTCAATTGTGACACCTTTTAAATGTGTTCCAAGGATAATGATCATTCAGCCTTTTACTTGTCATAGTTTAGAGGAGTGTATGTATCTTGCTCCATTTCATTTAGTAAGGGAATACAAAAGTATTAGGAGGCTATATGAATGTGTCTCAGACCTTAATCAACACAAGATCTAACACTTATGTTAATAGCGACTCTGGAATATTACCCAGAGTAGATATTTCACAGGTGTGAAAAGCTTAGTCCGTGGAAATTGAACCTACAGGGATTAATTGCAACTGAATAGCTGTTTGTTTTAACAGCTAGAAAGTCATGACCTCGGCAAACAAGCCGTTGAGATAAACGCCTGTATCGTTGCTCTTGCAGGTTTTTTCTTAAGGGACCACAGTCACCGCAGCAACGCGAAGTTGCTATGCGATGAGGGGCTTCGCCTGGGTGTCAGTTAACGATCAAGAATGAAGGATGGAAATTTCACAGAGTAAGCACTTCTCAATTCCACTGCGACCTGTTGTGAGGCTCCCCTGAAATGTGTCCAATGTAGACATTCCATTGTTTTCTCCAATAAAGTTCATTTTATCAGATTACAAACTTGTGTCCAGGACCTGCTGTTATAACTGAGCTTGAAAATAACCCTTTTGGTGTCCAAATAAAACAGGCAAAATGTCTCATAAAATAAAGTAAAATACACAACGAAAGATGCATTTATTTTATGCATCCGCTCAAAAGACAATAAAAGTTGGCCCACTCAATATTTGTAACTTTTATTTTATTTTTTTCTGGCATGTAAAGTACAAATAATTAAACAATTCCATGAAAAAGTCTTCAAGCGTCTTCAGCTGAAATCCCAGTAATAAATATCCTAGACTAAACTGAAAGGTTTTATTTTTTTTTTCTTTGTTAAATTTGATCATTGTTCATTTGGTCATGTTTGGAAGTATGAGATTTTGTATTTCTTTCACTGACGGTGGTGTCAGCAGAACTGTTTTGATCATTTTCACCTTTGATTTGTTCTACCATTCCAGGAAAATGTAAGAAAAACATCACTAAGTTACTGCGTCCCCTCTTCTAAATAAATAGACACAAAATACAGTTGGTTGAGAAACAGAAGGACCACTCACCCCTTTTCTACCCTAAAGACTCCCAAGAAAACCTTCCTGCAGCTTTTTTTCTGATCTCAGATTTAGTCAGAGCTCTTGGCTGGACTCTTGAATATATTTTGCTGCTTTCTTTTAATCGGACAAATCGATATTGGAAATGATCCAGATGATCTAAGCATCCAATGTTCTTGCAGAGACAGAACCCTTGAGGAACATTAAACCATCGGCTTAAACAGGAAAGCATCTTGAGAGTGTTTCAAACCCAGGACAGCCCCTCTGTTCCTGGCTAATTGCTGGACCCTCCGTTGGGCCGGAGCCTAGCTACAGGGGCTGTCCCATGTCTCAGGGGTTCGCCGAGTGGTTGAAAAAACAAGACTGTGATTAGATTAAATAATTAAAAGATATTCATTTAACAAGACAAACAGAACACAGGCAGTAAAGGCATAACATCTAGCACACAGCATGTATGTTTATACACTTCAATTAGGTAAATATAGCAGTGCATTCTTTGACTATGGAGAACGTTTCCAAATCGTACTTCTAAAGCTGTTTTTCTATTTGTCCCCCTTTTTAAGAAACGAAATGGTGTAACCACAATTTTGGCAAACTTAAAATCTTTTAAACTTGCAAATATAATGAAATAAACCATAAATATACACAAAACATACTTTATACGAGGCAATAATAATAATCATAATAAATAGTTTTTAAGTTAACAATAAGTTAAAACTACAAGCTTAAAGTCGCCCAAATAATACAAGTTTGTTGGCGCTATTTTGAATTTTTTCTGTTTAAATTATTTTATGTTGCAACAAAAGCTACCACAGACTTTTACAAACACAATTGAACACAGTTTGATTGAAATAAAAAAATCTAACTAAGTCTAAAATCTGCATACACTGTAAAAACTGCAACTAATTAAATAATGGAAGAAAAATAAACGGTATCCAATCAATGCAACCAAACAAAATCTTTGACCCATGTGTGTTCTCTATGGCAACATCAACAACACAAATACGCTAATTTAACAAGTGAGTCTTGATATGTAAATGAAATCAATAAATTACAGGAAAAAAAATGATATTTGAAATTGACATGGGCTAAAACTGATGATATATTAGACAGTATTCCTTTCAAGGTCATTTGAATTGCTCTTTTAAGTCAGCCAGATATGTGTATTGTTTGAGCTTGCATGGTCAGAGCACAAATTAGGGGCTGAGGAAGTGATAATGGAAATTTCTAGATCAGAGCTCTCATAGTTTGTTTGTTTGTTTTTTTAACGAATCTGTTTAATTTTGACGTTTTTTGTCCGAACTTTTTGCTCCTTTCGTTATTCCGCAAACCTTTCAAGTGTGACGTTTAATTTCTTTTTTAAAAAATATATATCATTTGTAATCAGTCAATATAAAAACAAAGCACATTGCACTTACTGTTCCATAGGAAAGTTTTTTTGTCTTTTTAAACCATTAGTGTTGTTGTTGCTCAAGCAGTGTAGTACTGTTTCCTGCCATTGTCCTTGGCTCTCTACTGTTCATCAGCTGTAGGTCTTTGTTTAGGTTGTGTGTGGAGGGTCGTTCGGGGGCTGTGGGTTTTGGTCTGTGGGTTGACTGTACTACATCGGACATGGCCGGGCAAACAACTCCAGCTGCAGCTCAACGTGGCCTGTTATCTCGGTTGTTTCAAACGTCTATCACTGGTCTTACCAAGTACTCAGTCCTATCGTGCTCTCTCTTTTGCAAATTGCTCGACCCAAAATAGCTGGATTAGTCCTTTTTTTATGTGGCCAGCTCTGAACACAAAAGCAACTATCACTCAAGATATTTCGGGAATGAAACAGTATGAGTCAGATCGAAAGATGCCAGAGTAAGGTGTGCAATGTTAACGCTTTAAAGGATTTAATCGGTCACAAGACAAAGCAGATGATATAAATGTCGGGGGAATACATTATATGGATGTGTACAATTTTTTTCCTTCGTCAAGAGGTGAACATCATATTTCTTCTGATATGCCTTTTTTCGTCATTCCGTGTCTACATGACATTTGTGCAAATAGGATTGCTTGCAACTGTTTCATTTTTAGCATTTGGTTTAGTGGTTTTAGGATTTGCAAATGCAAACTGATATGCGCAACTTAGATATTTAAAAGTAATGATAAATGAAATTGGAGAGGGTCCTTTTTCAATAAATAACATAGATTTGTACAGCAATTAATCAGGGAATAATATAGTTAGTCTTAATTTATGCTTAGTACTGACTTGCAAAGCATTTCTTTGGCAAAAATCAATTCTATCTAATTATAAAGAATCATGCTCAATGTTCATTGTGAATCTGTTTCACTGTTTGAATTTGAGTTTTTACCTTTTTTTTTTTATTTGCAAGCAGCTATTCAGTTTTTCAGCTGGGCAGCGAGCCAGTCTCACTGCAGCTTTGTCTGGGATTCTCAAGTCAAAGAACTTCACTTCACTGCACCATCATTAAAGCAACACTGTACACAACTTCAGGACAAGAGATGTGAGTGTGTCTATGCACTCAAAAGTACAGATGTGTCTGTCGGGGTTTACCCCAACTCTCAATGTTTCTTTTTCTTTCATTTTTTTTTTAGTTTTTACATCAAATTGATTTCATTCGTCTCAATTGTTTTGATATGGTTGTACGGTTAAGTTGGTACGAGATACAATGTTCCTTCGCCCCCTCCATAAATCCCCACCCATACACCGCATGCTCACTCCCCCTTACTCTGCAAAGATCAGAGGGTTTAAAATAAAGCCATGCGATGTCCCAATTTTTTCCAAGCTTAAGAATCTGTAAAAATTCAGCACAAGGTCTTGTTCCTTTGTATGTATAAAAATAGATTTATCTTTAATGTAATCCTTTCAAAGAGATCGTCCTCTTTGGCTAACACAGCGTCATTTAGAAAAGCAAAAGCAAAAATGTCTTGAATATACTTGACCTTATTTAATCTATAATCATGTGCGAATGTCTTGATATTGTTAGACATTAGCTCTCCCCATGGTTAATCTAGGTCTGGTCTTTAACAGACATTCAACTAGACAGGTTGGCATTAATGTTTCATCAAGGGTGCCATAAATAATTTCCATGCAGTTGGGTTGGGGATATTTTGAGAGATGCTATTTTTGTGGTCGGGCCAAACAGATCTGAAGCAAATAAATAAATATCATTCTGCTGTAAACAGAAGTATAATTATGACACTAATTTGAAGGCTTGATGTTGTACAGTCATCTTTTGAGAGGGCAGGAGTTTAACGTTTCTGGGAAGCTTTGAGGAGAAAAGAGGGGTTTAAAATAAAATCGAGGAACATTTGGCAAAGCTGAAAGAAGTGGTAATCTTTCTCCTTAGAGGAGGGGTGATAATTTGAACATTGCCAGATATCATCGCTCACACACCTGACTCTTAAGTCAGTTTTAAATGGTCAGTTATTGGAACCAAAGTTCTTCTTAATCTGCTCTTTGTAAGTTACGACAGTATATGTTCCACTGAATGGTCAGATCTGACCCTGTTCACTGGACGTCAGAATAATACCGGTGCTTTTGTGTTTTTTGCTCCTGTAGACCTATGAAATCTTGCCCAGTCAATGGGATAGGTGATAAGGAAGGAAATACTACCCCCGATCATGGCTGACAAAAACCTCCAATTGAAACAGCTCGTGGAGAATTGAAAATCCAGGTGCAGTGGAGAAATGGTGCAAAAATGAGAGAAAAACCACCGGTATTTTTCTTTGGCTGTGGCTGTCACGGTGAAAAGGTTTCCCCTTACACTCGTCGTGCCCCTGCCCACCAGAGAGTTACTAATGAACGGTGAAACCACGGGAGCACTGCCACTCTGCTCTAAGTTTACAGACAGTCTGCTTGTGTTGAATCCATCCTGAAGATAGATTAGAAGAAATACAGATACTTTTTCTGAGGACTAAATATTTATATATCTCCTAGACTTTGATCTGTGTTTGTGTGATACATAAGTGTACTATTGTGTTGTTTGGCGTGAGACTGTGAGGGAAAGAGTGATTCTGATGGCCTTCGGACTACTCCTTTTCAGTGACCAGTATTCATTGGTTGACCTAAATCTAACTGGGTCTGAGCTAACAAGCTCACATAGGGTAGAGAAACTGCCTTTACGCTAGGCACCACCTAATGAAGGTCAGGAAACAGTAGTCAAAGTTTCTAGAAAATGCTTACATACTCGGCTATTATAACCACCTTAAATATTGAATATATAGTTATATTTTTAATAGACGTATATAAGAGAACACTGTTTTTTAATTTCATTTTCTTTGATCTAAAAAAATCGCTGATTCAAAATGCCCAAGTGTAAAAAAGTGACTACATCCTCTCCAGCAAGATAAAGGGAGAGATGGTGGGGTAAGAGTTTAGGTAAATTGCACATATTCTATAATTTAAATTTGATCGATTTGTTCATCAGTCGTTATCATTTGCCTGAATTCAATCAAAGCACTCAGTACACATTCTCTGTCACATTCGTTAAACTGTCTCCTAAATAGATAGCTCTTGCCCCTACCCAACAAACCAGCTACGTACCCCTTCTAATTCAATCCAGGCAAATATAGGGAAGGACTAGCATGTTGTGTAAAGAGAAAAGAAAAACTCCACTAGTGTGTTTGTTTGAAACTCTGACGTGTGTATGCTTCTGTATGGACATGTGTGCATGTGTGTGTTTGCATGTCTGTGTCTGGGATAATATACTATGAATTTGTGTGAGAATGTGTCAGAGAGAGACTCAGTCCAGGCCCATGTAGAGTGATGGCAGAGGGAGCTCGGGTGGCTCTCCCTGCAGGTCGAAGGAGCTGGTGCCAGCGGCCTCTCTCTCTCAGGCCTTGTGCTGCTTGCTGGTCTTGAAGGAAACCTGCAGCACACGGTCACCCAGGCGGTAGCCATTAAGGCTAGCAATAGCCATGGCTGCTTCGTCGTAATTGGTCATGGTGACAAAGCCAAAGCCCTTGCATTTGTTGGTGGTGAAGTCACGGATGACCTTGACATTGGTGACAGCGCCAAAGGGCCCAAAGAGCTGCCACAGGACGCTTTCATCCGCCTCAGGGGACAGGTTGTATACAAAGATGCACCAGCCGGCTCCAGTTGGACCGGTGAGGTTGACTCCGGCCAGGCTGGTCATGCTGTCGATGGTGATGGGGGAGAATCTGGGGAAGAGAGCAGGAGAACTACCATGGGTGTCATTCTGAAGTTCAACACAGCATTCAGTGATCTATACTGTGTCCTATGGCCATGTTTCTCACTGAGAAATAATCAAGGCAGTAGTTGAGTATGAAGTCAGGGGACCCCATCTCCATCCCCTCTGCTGTACAGTAAGTAGGTAAATATGTGTGGGCACCACAGTTGCTCCAAACTACCTGCTTTTGTACAAAATGGCACTGTGTGCCCTGAGACACACACACCCACACAATGTGCAAATTTTCTCAGCTGACCAAAGCCTATGGAAGAATTAAACACATGAATCACAATGTTCAACAAAAATCACAGTATCGAACAAAACACAGAAACCTAGAGAGGGATGAAAAGCAAATCGGAATCAAATCATACACAAACTGGAGCAAACAGAGGAGACGTAAACGGAATCTGGTATGTCCATGCTGGTGAAAAAAAGGGGACATTAAAGCAACTGAAACTGACAATGTTAGTTCATAAATAAATACACGTAACTTATTTCTATTAATTTAAAACAAAAGAACGAAAAGGTTAAACAAAGCCATGCCAGAATACCCTGCTGTTGGAAGGCTATATCATCGCTAATTGCGATTACTGGTAGTATTTTGTTACCTGGGCTGCGTCTGTAACATGGCTAAATGGGCAGTGGGCATTAAGAATAATGGCCATCATGTCTGATTTTAAGATGAAGTCAGCAGATGGTATTCCAGGCACTTTGTTTGAGGTTTAATTTTGGCATGGATGCTTTTGAAAGTACACCTTTGGCATTTACCTCTTGACTCCGTAGCTGGCGTTTAGTAAATTGTCGAGTCTGCAACGCAAGAGGGAGAATGAAGGGGATGAAGAAGTTAGTTATGAGATCTACAAGGAAGGGGGGCTTTTCAGTTAACATGCTGCTCCTTCACCAGCTGGCCTCCAGAGGGCATCCTTTACTGCAAACGCAGTCCCAAACCATCCAACCTCAAACTGATGCAGTGCAAAGTATCTCTGAGAATATATGTCCCAGCTGGTGGATACTTTTCATTGTTGCTCTTTAAGCTTCAAAATTTTAAACGTAGGACATACAAAAGCTGTGGCCCAGATTATTCCTATCTTCTGATCAAAATAATCAGTAATAGCGAGTAAATTAGCTGTCAATCTTGAGGGGCTATCAGCGGTTGTTTGTGACGTTACATTAAATAATTTTAATACATGATGCCATTGACTTCCAAGCCTTCGTTTAAAATAACCTGATAGACGTCCAAACTCTGATCATCTCTACTTTAGGATAGCTGTAATGCCTATGCAATATAGGCACACTTCCAGGGTTCAATATTCACTCGTGTTTAGCTTTTGTTTACTTATTGCAGTGGAAAAATCAAATCTGGTCTCTTACATTGGTTTTGAGCTGTTATTTGGATCTGGTCCCTTTCCAAGTGAAGGGATCATGCTGCAGTTTAAAAGAAAGTCAGAGAGAGAGAGTGAGAAGGAGGGACAATGCAATATTGCCTATTCCTTCCATACTATCAAGCAGTGATATTGCTCAAAGGAACAGCCTACTGATTGGATGTGTTGATATGGACAGGGAGAGCTTTTTAAAATATTGTTGATCACATTTCTTCTTCAAATAACTCGAGCACATTTGCAGTTTTTTTTCTTTTTGGGTGTGCCATTTCATTTAAATATTCTTAGCTTTTCTCTTTTGCTGTTGAGACTTAACACTTCAATAAAACCTTTTGGAGACTTGACTTGGGTTGTTGAGTTCGGTTAAGGTTCAGTACCTGAAACGCTGAGTCTGATGGTGCAGAGGTCCCGTGTAGCGGCGGGCAGCTGTCTGGTACAGCTGAGTCAGTAAGGCCTGGCCTGTCTTCTGGCTGGGGTTATTGGCGAATTTGACAGTGATTGGCTCAGCAGCACCCAAAGGCTTCTGTCCGTTCAGACCTTTGATGGCCTCCTCCGCCTCATTTCGCTTGTCAAACCGGATGAAGCCCACTCCTCGTGATATGCCTGCTCCGAATAAGAAAACAAACCAATGTTACTACCTTGGCATCACTTCTGAAAAAAAAATGTTGCTTTCGTGACAACATGAAAAGTCAAATATACCTGTGACCTGGTCCACTAGGATGCGGGATGTGATAATGCGACCATATTGGGAGAACAACTGCTCCATGTCCTTCTGGCTCATGGTTTTGGGGAGTCCACTCACGTATAAATTGGCATCACGAATCGATGCCGAGCTTGGCCGGGCATATGATACCTACACACACAAGTTAGATATGTCAGTGAGTGAATTAAACTTGGTTTCGTAACGTCTCTATCAGAGAAATGATTGCAGGATCTGATGTAACCCCACTCAGTTCCAAACGAGTTTAGTCTCCACTAAGTCCCAACTGTCTCCCTGCTATCTGTGGACTTAATCAGTGTCTTTAAACTCGCTATCAGCTTCAGCGAGGCTGTCACAGAAACACCAGGATGATTGTAACCATTACCCAAACTGATACCAGTCATCAGTTAACAAGCCCGAGTGTCAGCTCTGTTTTGCACTCCAAAACGTCATCCTAAATTGATGCATTTTCCTGAATCCACTGGTGACTTAATTAGTGCACAGCCATTTTTGGTGCGTCTGTGTTTATATCCCTCATGGTTTTCTGTTGGTCTACTTTCCACAATATTTTCAATCTAGTGCTGCAGAGGAATATCTGATTGACTGAGGGTGGGGGGAAAACTCATAAATATATTCTTGTTGTGTTGTTGACAGGAGCATGCAAGCACATTTGTGGAAGATAATCCAGTTCAGTGCATTGTTAACCGTGCTGTGTTTGTGTGTGATGCGGAGACAGAGTGAGTGTTGTCTGAGATAGGCTGATCTGCCCTCCCTGCCCTTCCTCCTTCCTTTGTCTCTATCCTCATGGGGAGAGCAGCTCAACTGGCAAACAGCAAACAATGTAAGGGCATCACAAGACTCGCACTACTGGTGAACGCTCTGCTCAGGCGCACACTTTGTTTGGAATATTTTTTTTTTAAGCACAGTGTTCTCAAATTTCTGATAAAATTGTCAAGTTGAAATTTTGCTAAATGAACGGGGCAGAAGGAAAAGCTGTGATTTGAATTTAAATGAATTGGAAAGGATCTGTCAAATGAATACAGGTGTTCAGATTTCATCCATCAGCACTAAGCACCAGTGTCTTTTGTGTACACAGACAGACTGTATGAGCAGGAGGGTTGTGTGGTGCAGTGATTAGGGTGTTCTGGACAAATCAGGGGGGAGTTGCTGTGTTCGGGGAGCAGAGGCTGCCCTATAATTAACCCTCTCCCTGTCGCTCCCACAGTACAGATGGTGCCTGAAGCCCATATGGCCTCTAATCCTGTCATTGGCATTCTGCTCCCTGAGCTACCCCCTACCCTTCCACGGCTGCCCCCTCCCTCCCAGCTCCAACCAGTCCATTCATTTCATTTTACTATATATATATATATTTTTACTTTGGCCAAAAAAAGTGAACTTTTTGTCCAAGAAGAATATATTTCTAAATGGTTTATTTTAAGGGTAGTAAAACATCAGATTCCTGTTGTAAAAATTTACATTCACTTTTAAGAAGAAAGTAAAATTATAAGCTACTTTAAACAAATCTCTTTAAATAAATCTGGGTCTGGTTCTCGGCTCCTCCTGCTAGTTACTCCTTGTTTGATCAGCTATTAGTCAGAATTACCTCCCCTACTCATGGGCAGCTGTCTGTAAATCACCTGCTCTGTTCTCTCACAAATTTGATTTTTTCAATCCTGCAGTTGGTCAAAATCTTTGATCTTTGATCAGGTCTGGGGGGGATGGAGAGACCAAGTGTTTAATGGGATCCCCCTGGTTTTTTCCCCCATCTGATTTGGAGACAAAGAACCCCTCAAATTAGCCTCGACTTGAGGCAGATGGGGTAACCTGGACTGACCCTTGTGCACCGCAGTCAGGCTTCCTAATTACATTTCCATCACAATAACCTCTGCATGCTGTCCTCCCCTTGCTTTCTGACCTCCACTCTCCTTCTCTTTTCACTGCATATCTCACCCTCTTTGTTCTAGCCACTGCTCCCTTCTGCCTCCTCCTCCCCATTTTCCTCCTCTCCCTCTGTCACGTCTGCCACCACCGCTCAACAGCCCCCCTTGAAAAAAAATCCCCACTTCCTTTCTTTTGTGTAGCACAACATCAAGAATAAAAAGAAAAATCTGTTTGATAGATCGTAGATGTTGGAAAGTTACTCACCTTGATTGTTTTAGTTTGCAGTTTGAGACCATTGAGTGTGTTGATGGCCTTATCTGCATCATTTGGATCCACATAATTTACAAAGCCATACCCTAAACTCTGACCTGGAGACAAAGAGACGTGGTTGTGTTAGGAATATTCAAGCCAAATTTTAGAGTAAGAAAGATTGTTTTTTTTGTCTTCATGGGGAAAATAATACCTGTTATCTTGTCTCTGACTAGCTTGCAGGACTCAATCTCCCCGATGCTACCAAACAAACTTTTAAACTCCTCCTGAGTCATATTCTGAGGCAGATAGTTGACGATCAGGTTAGTTTTGCTGTCGTCTGTGGAGCCGTTGGTGCTAATGACTGGACCGTTTGGCAGACTGGTTCCGCTGGGACCGTTGGACACCTGGGTTTCCATGGTGCTGATTATCTGCTGAGGAAGAGGGTGGAGTTAGATTCATAATTCACAGAGCGACACAAAGGAGCACAGGAGCTATAGGGCAGTATAGATGTGCACGTGCTAATATCTAACATGTTTAATTCATGCGCAGAAACCAGACCCGCAGACGGACTGTGCACTCTGTCATCGTCAGAGGGAAAGGTCAAGAATCAGCATTGCGAAAAATGGAGATGGATGCAAGGTCTGATTTATCATCTCCCCTCCCCCACTTTCACCCCACATTTCCTCCTCCCTAGCTCCGTGCCTCTGGTCCTGCAGATGTCACAGTCCCTTTTCCTTACTCCTCCCCTCCCCCCACTCTCTTTTCCAGGGTCAAACACCATTACATCATTACACAGGGACAGATAATGGTGATGGTGGAACTGGGATAGCAGTTGTAGAAATGATGGACAAAAGAGAGAGAAAAAGAGGCAATGAAACATAGAATTAGTGCTAAAATATTTGAGAATTTTGCTGTAAAGTATAAAAATGAAGTGAGGCCTGCATCCGCTCCTCTGACTCCTTGTTAATGTCACTGTGTGGTCAACTGAAACTCGAGTTTCTCCCTCTTGTGTAACACAGTGTTGCTTAAATTGATCCACAGGGGATCCTCAGGGAGCATCTGTGTGGTCAGAAACAAAACTTCCTGCTCTACTTTCTCTTTCCTCACACCTTACACCTAGTTCTCTCTCTCTCTCTCTTCGGATCATTATTTCCAGTGGAAAATCAGTGCAAGCTCTGCCTGCAGGTGAATTAAGGACAATCACTTTGAGTTAAAATGATGCAGGGTTGTGGCCTCGAGTTGAAAACCTGCAAACATTTCAGGCTGACAATAATCTAAATTTGACACCCCGTTTTTATCTGCAAAAAAACATCAATTCATTCATTTAAATAACTGTAACTGATAAACCAGTATTCTCCATATTAGCCCACACACATATCAGCATGTGTGTGCATTTGCATCACATCTTACAGTAGACAGTTTGATGTATGTATTCCCTCCTCCACCAACAAAAGTGTCAGGTGTTTGGATAAACAGTGTGAATACATATACAGTGTGCTGGCACTGCCAAAATGTAAATTGTTATGTCAGATTGTGGGTTTGAGCTGTTCCAGATCTCTCGCTGGTGGGTGTTATGAATGTCAATAAGGCTAAATGAGTCTCCTCTTAAGCAACAGAGAGTCCTAATCATGAACCTGTGTGATTATTTTAAAAAGTTTGTTAAGGGAATTTCATAACTTGAAGAAAAAATGTTGTAGATATAGATAAAATAAAAAACATAATGTTGCTCTTCAATAACAAGCCTTATAGACTCTTGGATTGTGTCCTGCTGTCTATCAAAACCGAGTCTATTGCTATTAAAATGTCCTGCTTTCACTGTATTTTTCTTTACAGGGGACTGAGGGAAGATATCACACAGAATTAATGTGATCGTCCCAAAAGGCTGAGTTTCTATCACTGCATTTTGTTCAGAACATTTCTGGTCTCTGGCTGTCTCGTCTTAAGTTTAAGCTTATGTCTTGCTTCAGTGTTTTTTTTTATCCCATTATTACAGTTTCTTTTTAATTTTTCCCTTTAAATTAACATGCCATTTCATGTCCCTTTCTCTCTTTCTAGCATCTGCAGATGAGTCCGTCTAGCCTGCTTTTTCCTTCATCTCTGTAACCTGCTTTTTTGCTTTGAGCCTTACCTCCACTCAGGTTGCCCAGGTAACAGCCCCTCAAAGACTGCATTGTTTCTAATGGCTTTCTTACTTTAGGCTAAGTGTGTGTTTGTGTCTGTGCTTATTAGAAGCCGACATACAGGTCAGATATTTTCCCCTCCGTGTATTAATAGTATATGGCGCTGCAGAATCAGGGAATATCATAAGTCAAACTGATAATGACAAGGGGAGAAGAAGCACAGTGACGGAGTCAAAACAGCCTAAAAATAAAATACTTCAAACACACATCTACGCACAAAGGCAGTGCAACACAGATAGCAAACTTCCACGTCAGGATTTTGATGCAGGGCTGAAATGGTTGCTCTGTCATCATAAATCATGACACAATTAACACAAGCTGACAAAAGAAGTAGGCTGAAACCAGCATATCAGACTTTTGTCAAATTAACCGTGTCTGTTGTTGGTGATGCGATACATCTGAGTAACAGAAGTATGAGTAACCTCAAGTGTCCTAAATATGACAAAAGCATTTTATAGGGATGGAAAAACATATTAGGGCAAATTTGACTCGCCAGCTGAAATAACCCTCAGCATGGCGGAACTCACATCCCCAGTGAACACAGAGGAGTTATATAATTCACAGACCCACTGAGTAAGGGCTGGGCACTGAGATTGGCTGACACAAGCAGCAACTAGAATTTTATACTGAGATAGAGGAGGACAGCATGCTTTGAAGGTCTTTGAAACAAATATGGGAGATAAAAACCAAAGAGGACTGTTTCATCTCTGGCTGTCATGTTTTATTGGGTATACCAACAGCAAAAATTAAATAGTCCAGAGTTAGGTTTGACATAACCCCATTACTATGACATGAAGAGACAATAAATCATTGTGATGTTGGAGGAAGGCTTGCAAAAGCAGAAATAATCTCCATCCGCCAAGTATAGATCTACTCCAGCCTTAGGCTCCAGATGTTCTCCACTGCTACAGACAATAAAAATGTTCACTTCACGAGTATCTTCTAACCATCATGTCCTGCATATAGATAGGACCAAGCTCTTTGTTGCCAGCTCTCACCGTACACTTTGGCGAAACATCTGATAACGACAAACGCATGGCACGAAAAATAATCTTTTAAAGCTCGTCTTTTTTAATTCCAGCAGTTAGGGTGGCACTAGTTCTATTTTGGGGTTCTGTGAGATCTCCCTTAATATTTAATGCACTGCATCAGCATCGCCCACACATGGTCGCAGACTTGCACGCAAACAAGAGCCCTGCCTCCTCTGCCAAACACATGAACCCAGACTTGCACGCAAACAAGAGCCTTGCCTCCGCTGCCAAGCACACGTACCACCTACACTGTACACAATTAAATTATAAAACACACAAGCATTAGACGACTAAATGTAAATGCAGGCAGTGTTCTTCATCCTCTGATGCTCTCCCAATTCTTTTCTGCTCCAGATGCAGCACTGCAGGCTATACTGTACAGGAGAATAACTGCTACCCGGTTTAGTCATAACATGATATTTGCTACGTTATGCACTAAGAGAAATGCAGAAATGAGAAGGTCACCATCATATGTTGTTTGGCATGCAGTGTCTGGGACTCAAGGCAAGGAGTCGGTTTAAATCCACTATTTTTAGTGTGTTTATTTTTGTTGTTTATTATCAGTCATGATGAAAACATGAATCCAGATAAGTATCTTGAATTTAAAATTATATAGGTAAGAAAATTCTCCTTTTTGGAATATAACCTTTTCTCCAGTCCACATTGAAATCCTTTATATAAAGATTTTTTTCTCTCTCAAAGGCATGATTTAAAACTGAATGCAAGGCTGAAGTGTAAATGAGCCTTCTAAATAACACAGATTACAGGATTATCCCAAACAAAGGGCATTAGCCACACTCTCTGCAGCTTAAGGGATCATGGTGGCAGCTGTAAAACAACAGGACGACAGGAGTCACAGCTCATGTCAGCCATGAACCCGGGCTCTGTCTTCTTCTCCGCTCGGCAGACTAAGAATAAAAAAAAAGATTTCTCAAAGATTTCAGCTCTCTCTGACTCGCATGTGCTGCTTTTGATAAGATGGAAGCTGACAACGTCAAAGGCTCGGAGAGACAAATCTGTCCTGCGAGTCCTTGTAACATGAGGGGCGCTCTCCAGCGTGCTGAAAAAGGGAGTGGCCTTCGGACGGTCTCATTTGAGGCCAGAGAGGCCTGTGGATCCGAGCACAGACTACCGAGCTCTTTTATTTTGCAACTTTTAGACTCTTAGAGGATTTATTTAAAGATTAAAAAAAAGACCGGTATTTGAATATTTAAATGCAGGACAAAATCCTTCGTTTTCCTCATTTCTCGGATTTCCTCTTATATATATTCTTAAATAGAAAGCGAAGACTTGTGAGCTCTGCAGGCATTCATGAAGCGGAGCGCCTTTTTGCTGAATAAACGTATTGAAACGACCAAACAAAAGAGCCACCCGTTCCTCCTCTTCTCCCCTCGCAGAGGCTATGGCAGCACTATGAATATTAATGTAAACAGTGGCGCTTTGTGTCGTGGCCACGGGCTGCAGGACTCTCCGGGAACAATGACTGTTACAGTTGCCAGCCAAACGCCATTATAAGTAAAAAAAAATATCACCAATGAGTTTTATATTTAAATTCTTACATTTAGTGTTAGTTGTAATTATAAATAGGCTTATAATCTGCAAAACTGCAAAAGATTAGGGGTTATGTGTCCTTCAAATAAGGTGCTACATATAAAAGCACATATACACATACAGCCCTTGAGATCATCTGTGCAAACTAAGAGATTGAAGGTGCCTCTCTGCCTCTTTTCCTCCCAACAGGCTTAATATTTGTTGCTGATAATTACATGAAGTCAATGGCAACAGGAGGCAAATCACAGCTTACATAACATAATTGCATTTAACATCTTTAAGTTGGGCAGGTCAAGCCTTACAATTCTTGAACATGTGAGCACAATAAATAAGAATCAATTCAGTATGAGACCTTGTTTTTGTCTTTAACTCAACATTAGAGAGGTGTTTTGGCTGGTTAACAGTGAAGGCCTTGGCTGCCCTTGTCCTTGAATTGTGTAAGTGCCTTGTATAGGTTATCTGACTCAACGCTTTTATTTGCTTGGCACTGCGGTACAGGCATGGAGGACTGCGGACCATGTGGAAGGGGAAGCTTCAGCGTCTGTCCGTGTGATTCTGTCGAGGCATGCGTGGGGGACAATAGGTAATGCACAACAAAGAGAGACTAAAATTGGATTTCGAAATGTGTCGAGAGGACAGCTCGAGCCTCAGAGGTGATGAAACAGCGTGCTGTCCATCCTCGATTTTTGTCCAAAGACATATTTTTGTCCGTTTCAAATCGAGTGAAATGAGATTTTAAAGTTGTTCACGGACCACCTCCCTCTCCTTCCTCACATCCTGCTCCTGCTATGCCTTCAATAATTAAGTTTGTTTTCCTACTATTAGTCATACACTGAACTCCCTGACATTTAATCACCTGCGGATAAAATCATAATCTGATTTGATATTTCGTTTTCCTTTAGTAATCGGATTATTTCAGTTTGTCTTTTTTGTCTTTTTTACGCGCACTGTTTTCCACTCCTGCACGTGTCTGAGCTTGGGTAGGGCAGCAGCCATGCTGATTCTCGGTTTGTTATTTAATTCCTGGCTTCTACTATTGAATGCAAACGTGTCTAATCTTAATTGGTCTGCCGTGAACATTAGAGCATGTCAAGAGGTAAATCGGAGGAGGCCTTTTGAGGCTTGAAGGCCCTCGTTTAGTGCTCACGTCCACCAGAGACACGCCCAATCCGGCCGTCTGCTCACAGCAAAGCTAATTTATGACCGCTTCCATCTCCTTTTATCCGACCAGCGGAGCGCATGGCCATCTTGTAGGCTACTGTACACGATGTAAAATTCGCTTAAAATGGAGATGTCCGTGCGTGTCCTTACTGTCGCGGCCTCTGAGATTTCCAGCCCATTTACTCGGTTGCATCGCAACGAGAACCCTGAGGAATTTGGACCTAGTCTGATTCAATGCAAACCGATGGATGCGTAATTTCCCTCCTCCTCCTCCCCCCTCCCCCCCTCCCGGAGTGACTCGACCCTTTTTTTCCGTTGCCTTGCTGGATGGGCCCTCAGCCTCCGAGGCATCATGTTTTGTCTCGATGAACCGTCTCCAGCATCCCTGTGCTGCACCAGGCAAAGAAAGGCGAATCCTCCCCCCCTATGTGAAGCCAGCGCCTCATCGCCTTTCCTCTCTCTCCATCACTGGAATCCTGCGGGATTCCTGAATCTTGACGCCTGCGTCTTGTAGGCAATGTAATCAAAGCTGCGACATTGAGGCAACCGGAGTGGCTGTGATACAAAAACGTAAATGCTGTGCCATCTAAAATGGCAGGGTAAAGACTTTACCCATCACTGATGACTGCAGGCTAAAGCGCAGCCGGCATGGCGCATCACTCAGTATGAGATTACTAATTGCCTTTATCGATCGTTAATCTTATTAAAATAATACGACACCGCTTATCGGGAAAAAGCTCAGGACGCAATTACAAAAGCTTGAGAGTGTTTTGGCATGTGTGCATCGCCATGAAGCTGTGTTTTGTTATTGTAGTCCCCTCTAAGGATGTACCACTGAGATGTGATGTAAATCTCTGTAGGGCTACATCACATGTGTACATGTTTTGTAGAGCATAACATGCAGACATTTGGATACAACCTAGGCATGCTGCTACAACATCCCTACCACAGATAGAAGAGAAATAGAGTCATACGTACAGTAACCATTCTTGACGTACAATGAAAGAAATCTAGGTCCTTCTTTGCACTGGTCTTGAAGCTGAAGGCTGAATCTCTTGTTTGCTCTTCTGCCTTTATATTATGTGGCTCTTATGTTCTGTCAGGAGTCCAAATTAAAAGAAAAAAAAAGAAAAAAAGGAAAAAAATACAATCTTCGCCAGGGAATCTCAGCCCTCTGAGATTGTAGGTGTCCTCTATAGGATGAAAATGAGGAGAAAGGGGTTTTCTACTGGATGATGATGAGGGAGAGTGTTCTCTCCGAGTGGCGTGGGCGATGGTTCAGAAAAAAGAGAAGCAGTGATCCTCAGCAGGGTGTGTCCAGGGGAGGGTGTTCTGGTTCGGCTGTTTTTATGTGTAATTCCCTGCTCCTCTCGCAGTCTCCTTCTGTGCCTCTGCTGCAATGTTCTTCTTTTATGCCTCCTCCTGGCTGGCAGAGCGCGCTGCTGATTGGCTAATTGTGCAGGGAGGGTACTACATGGCAGCCATTGCAATGCGCTCCTCTCCCATTATCCCCTTCAGGAGAGATCACCAAGAGTCCCCCCCCCCCTCCCCTCCTTCTCCTTCCCTGACACCCTCCCTCTTCCATCCCTGCCCTTCCATCTCTCCACTCCCTTTTTCTTGCTGCCCTTCCTTTCTTCCTGCCCCCCTCTTCACACACACATGCAGAGCGGAGTGAATAGGGCTCCACCTGCACTTTCAGAACAGATGGGTGCAGCAGAAGACAGCAGACTTGTCTCTCTCGTTTCCCCACACTTTGCGATCACTTCTCCCTCAGCACAGCCTCTTTCTTCCTCACTTATTCTCTATTTGGGCCTGTTTAAAGCCAGAGGAAACACATTCCCCCCTTTAAGCCTTTGTCTTTGCGCATAAAAGCGACTTTGAGCGTAGATGGGCAGACTTTCTGTGTCCACAGTCTCCGCTGATAGCCGCTGAATTGAAGCATTAGAGAGAGGACAGAAAATATTGCAATAATTGGGTGTGGAGTGTGGCTAGAAACAAAGCGTTAAATCTGGAATAGAGAGTGGATGATTTCTGTTCCTCTCGTGAAGGCAGATGGCTGGCTATAGGGTCAGGTGCAGACATGAGAATAACAAATTAGATACCCCATGAATAAATCCACGTCCACAGCGTGGAAAAGTTAAGAAAGGTGTGGCAGTAGCCCTGCTGAACGACCTTATTGTTTTTTCTTTGCTTTAGGAACACAAACCTGGCCGGCAGTGATTTTTGTCTTACTTTACGACATCCCTGTTTCCCCTTCCTGAAGAGTTCTCATCCCTCCCTGCCGCCTCCTGCTGCTCCCTCCTGTGTCTAGCTGTGTGGTGAGTGCTCACTGAGACATGCTGTTTGGGCTCATCTATAATGCATCCCCTGCCCCGGGACATCATGTGTGACAAATGACCTATTTCTGTGCAGACCCCCATAGGGCCTTGACCCGGGGGGGTGGGTGCCCGTGCAAGTGTGCGTAAATCAGTGTATGTTTGTTTATTTGTGTATGAATTGCTGTTCATTTGAGGAGGTGAGGCCGCTAATCGAGGTGATGCTTTGTTTCGAATAAGTGACTCCTGTGTGTTTGTTATCGGTCGATGACAACCGCCGATGTGAGCCCTCCTGCAGCATTGCTCGGTTTCTCTGCTTTGCTCTCCCTAGCTGACCTTGAGGAGTCCTCAGACATCCCTGGCTGGAAGGACTGCTGGTGTAAGGCAGACCATTGTTTGCATTATTGACACTGACCACCTACCTCTCAGAGATCTGTGGATGGATGCGAGCCCGCAGCAGATAATGATAAACACAGACTATTTCCTCCTACTGTAGTCCTCTTTGTGTTTCTCCCACCTCTCAGTCCATCCTTCCCCGTCACTCTTGTATACCCCCTCTCCCTCTCTGTCAGTGTCCTGCAGCTCTCTTCCAGTCAGATTTTGAACATGGGCCCTGTCTGATATTTTACATAATTGCCTTACATAAGTAGCAAGCTCGGCTCAGAGCTTGGATGATATTAGTGGAGATGAATATTGCATGAGGAAAGCACTCGTTAAGCGTTAATAAGAGGATAGAGATGGAGCCCCACTGTCAGTCTTTCTTAACCCCGCCCCCACCGCTCTGTCAAGCAGTGACTCAACTCAGCCCGGATGCGTTGGAGCCTTTGAGTCAGTTTGTAAGAGAGGGAGGAAGAGAGTGTTTTTATGTGTGCAAGCGCACACTTACGTGTGTGTGCGTTTCTGCTGTTTTGTATGAACGTCTAAGAGATGGCGAGATTCGGTCATTAGGTGCTTGTGTTTTTTCCCTCTTTGTTTGCTGCATAAAAGCGGCTCTTGTGACACAAAAGCACCCAGGTCTGTCAACTGACTGCAGCCCCACTTACAGTTCACACTTAATGTGAATAAATGGGCTTAATTGTGGCCCCTCATTAGAGCCCCGGTTAGTAGCACGGCAGCTGAATCCTCCCTGCGAGTAAGAGGGCATTTGAAGCGCCCATTGTACATTACTGAATCAAAGGATCAAGCATTGGTTTTGCTTAAAAGGCTTTTTGTTATTCTACTGATTATTTTCTTATTGTTAAGGCTTCCTCCACCAGTGCTGATTAGGAGTCTCGGTGCAGCGGTGCATTCGTCTTGGCATATCAAGGAATGCTCCATGGTGCCAGAGGGATGAACTCTAAGCATTTATAAAAATGAGTTCACTGAATTTGAAGCACATGAACCCACACAGAGAACGTATTTAGCACCACCATGATATATGCAATTATAACAGAGGATACAGTACAAAATAGCAGAAAATGCATATATTTTTAGAGTGTTTATCATTTACATTGTTTAGTTTTGTTTGTAAAACAACATCAACTAGAACTATTGAATTAGAAATGTATTATATATGAACCTGTAATAGCAAGCATTTAATGAAACCTTATTTTGTAAATTTACAAACCGCCTCAAGGTCTGGATTCTTTGGCCTAGCTTTTCCTGTTTCTTAAGTCTATCTTTCTGTAGTATTACGTCAAAATGAATGCCTGTTGCCATTGCCCTGCGGTAAGGTAGTGGCCTTGTGTGTGTGTGTGTGTGTGTGTGTGAGTGAGAAAGAGAGAGAGAGAGAGAGAAAGAGAGGAGGGGAGGGAGAGCGAGCGAGTGACACTATGACAGTGTATCTGGGGGATGGGGAGGATGATTCAGCCTCAGGTCTGGTTAATTCAGTGGTCTCTCTTCTAGGCCTGGCTCTTGGCATTTCAGGGATTTGTTGCAGCAGCAGCAGGAAAGCAGTTTTTGTTTTTAGGAACGGATCCAAAATTAAATTAGCCTCTTTTTAAAAGGACATTTGTTGATAATGGCAGCTGGCCTAATTCAACCCTTTATGTATTATTTGGCAATTTTCTTGTGGACTCCCTCATGGGTTCACTTCTTCCTCTCTATCTCTCGCCTCTCTTTCTCTCTATATCTTTCTCTCCCTCTGTCTGTCTGGATTTGTTGTCTCTGGGCTATTATTAGAGTAGACAGGCTGGTGGGAGGAGGTCTCTGAAGTAGACGCTCTTGTCATCTTTTTATTTATGGATTATATTCTGCTTTCCATGTGCCTGTTTAATTCTCTGTGAACAGTTATCTATACCTTGTTTGTATAAAGTCACTTCACAATGCGTGTCTGTTTTTTTCCAGCCTTATAATTTGATCACAGCTATACATTTTTACATAACCTGTGTTCGCGCCGTATGCTCGTCAGTGTGACGCTTATGTGGCCTGAGCTTGGGCGAAAGAGGACAGACCTCCTCTATAGAGACCACGTCTTACTCCAAACCTTTCTAAGATATAAAGCCATGCTTATTAATCTTTCATTTTGTCCTGTCTGAGTTGGTATCTGGGGAGAAACCTTAAATACACAAAGCTCTTAGACATTCTCTTTGTTTTTCTCTGCGCTGCTGTTCCTGCTGCTCTCTTTCTATGTGACATGAAAAAAAAAAACACACACACACAAGTGACAGACATAAAACAAATAGACGAGGTGTAAGTATGCTTGCTCCTGTTTAGCGGAGCTGTTTTTAGCTTCCTGAACGGCCTGACTTTAATGAACAATAAATAATATAAAACACATGCCGTGCCTCAACCTTAAAAACGCTCTCACATCGTGCTTTCATGTAGAATTTGTTCTGTAGTGACTTGACAGAGGAAGGTAAGATTATTTGATATTGGCCCAAATGAAATATGATAATATCTCACAGTCTCAGCCACTGCACTCTATTTTCTTCCCCTCTATCTTCATCCCTCAGCCTCTCCTCTTTTCAATCTCTTGCTCTCGCTCCCTAAAGTCCAGCTCTCTCCCCCCCCCACGGCCCTCCCCAGTTTCAGTAATAGGAGACTTGAAATCAATAGCACATTAGTCTGGCCGGAAACTCTTGTGGAATTAAATATGAATGACTGAGATTGCAGCTCTACCTGCTGCTCAGAGAGATGCATGATAGCTCTTGGGGATATTGGTTTTTGTTTTTCAACCCTCCCTCAAGTAAACAGGACGTTTTGTGCCGTTCCTACAGCTTCTACCGGATCTCCGTCCACCTTTGTTTTGTCATAAAGCAGCATACAGCGCCGTGGACTCTGATTGGTATTGCCGAGGATGTCATTTTGTCCTCCGCAGTGAATGATGACCAGTCCGATGGCATAACTCGATAGAGCAAATGGGATCGTGGAAAGCACAAAGCCGCGACAGCTCAGAAGGCAAGAAGAATCAACTGGCCACACCCATCCTCCAAACACAGCAGCACTATTTGAATATGAAAGAGCTCAGTGGTTATTAACAGATTGCATCTCACTTTTTTCCAGTATTCCCTCTAAATACAATAAGTGCTTTCGCTTTCATTAAGCTTTCAGGTTTGCTACTTTGCACATTCAGTCTGAAACTTTTTACATGCAAATTGTGTTACTTGGTAGGCTTTCATTTTCTGCTTGAGTGTATAAAGTGGAAAAATGTCTTCTTGCATGCTGTTTGGCTTAAAAGCATAATTTGCAAGGTGGTTGGAGAGTGCTGGCTGGTGGGAGGAACGTAATATGACTCAAAAAGCCACTGCATATGCTTCTGGGAATTGGTACAGGCTTGGGCAGCAGTAAGCTAATACACATAGACGATATAGAGGTAGATGTATTTGTGAGCTATATTTCATCCCATTAGAGATGAAACGGTTTGTGACAGATGGAGTGATATTGTTCCCCTGTACGGCCCACGAGTGCAGCCCCTCCTGCTTTCCCTCCCTGACAGATGTAGGGGGAGGACCACAGTGCACTCTTCTTTCTTTCAATTGATTTGGGTGCTTGAACCCTTAGGGACTGGAGGATGGTGGTGGGATGGGGGGTGGTGTAACTCTGATGGGGGGTGCAGTTTCCTGCAGCACAGGACCTTTAAAAAAAAATCTGCTGTTAAGGACTCATAAACATATTTAATGCATATATCTGCATATATTCAAACATGGAGCAAAGCAGTGGCAGTCTGCTGTGTGCACTCACTGCACTGAGTAGAGCTGGGAGGGAATATTTCCATAAATCTTGCTTAGTGAGTGACAGCATAGCAGGCAGCCATGTATGTGATGTAGGCAGAAGAGAAAGTGTGGCGGTGCAGACTGGAGGCAGAGTGAATGTGTTGCTGTTGAGGATATATTCAGTCGTTTCTTTATAGTTTATGAGTAAATCCCCTTAAAACTGCAACACTTTTCATCTGCATGATTAGCTCAGTATCCCTTTTTTGTTACAGGTGCAGGGGTGAATACCAAACGGCGCAGATCTAAGTGTTTTGTAGCAATTAAGCAGATTTTTCATTGATCAAGTAATGATTACCTCACCCCCCCTATCAGCCCCAACAGTGGGATCAAAATTAGTCTTAACAGCTGTCTCCTAGCAGATGTGTCCTGTTGCCGCTCCTCACTCTCTGTCCCTGGAGGGGAAAGGTCAAAACAGGGGTGGAGGTTAAAGGAGAGACGCTCCTGAAGATGCTACATGTTGATGCTTTGAGAGAAACAAACAAATGAGCATCTGCCTGCTCCTTGTAAGGGACACCGCCACAGGATGCAGATTGAAATTAGCATTATTGATGACAATAATCAGTCTGCTGTAATTCCTTCATCCTGTTTTATGAACAGATGAATGACTCGGTGCAATTACTTTCTTGTTTTGTTTTAAAAATGGATAAAACCACATAATCTTTTTTTTTAAGTTGTTGCATGAGTATATTTTTTCTTTTTAAACCAGTGGCAAGTGATCAATCTGTCTTTCTTTACTGGGAGTCAATCATGTTTAAAGTTTTTACAGCTATAGGAGTAAAATCCTGGAAGCAGACCCCCAGTAAAAAAAGGTGGTTAATGATTTTAATAGGACTCCCTGGTGGGCCGGGATAGAGAGGGGACGTGCCCTGGCCATGGGCGCGTGGCGACGGAGCAGGTGGATGACGAGCAGCTGAGTAGTGGGCTCCAGGGGCACAAGGGGGGAGGGGGGCTCCATTTTGGAGGACTCTTGGGGTTGAGAGAAATCCTGAAAAAAGGCAACCCCATCTGGAACTGAGGTGGGGGCTCTGGTGTGAAAGAGATCTAGTGGGTGGTGTCTGACACTCTCTCTTTTGTTCTTTGGTAACACAGCAGTGATGGTGGTGGTAGTGGGGGGGCTCTTGCTGCCATGGGGGCTGGGCGCTCAAACAATAGTGCAGATCTAGGAACTGAAAGCCTTCGATGAACAGAAAAGCAAGGAAGGTGTGGACTGAGGGATAAAGCAGGCACAGGTTCAGCTCATGTATGCATGTTTTCTAACTATATAAGGACACTGCAGTGGCACACAGACGCACAATACAGTGTAGCACCTGAATGAATGAGTACATATCCAGATGGCAAATCTCAGGAAATAGATTTAGTCAGGAGACTTTTATTGCAAACGAGTGAGATATATTTGCATATTAATGTCAGGAGGAGTCATATATCATATTTCATTACTAAAACAATCAATTATGGAAAGCACCATTGCACAATAAATTAGAATTTGCTGAACCTCAGGGCAGCAGAGAAAGAAAGATTAGTTCTTGCATTGTGATAGAAGCGTGCCGGTGTAGGGTAGAGATGGATTCATTTATTTTCATTAGCAGCATTTATGGGCCAGACGTGTGCCTGCTGTGAGCTTCAGTGCTGCCCTCTCTGCTGTTCCATGCATGAACACATACCCCTGAGATGTCTTTCCTTGCTTGTGAACAGCCGAGCTTCTGTCATGCAAGGTTAGTCTTTACCTCAGTCTTTTCCTCTCCATTTTCACATCCCTCCTATACAATACAAGCCATTCATCAGCCATCTCGCAGAGGACAACAAGTACCTGCAGCAGCTCTCCATGGTGCTGAATAAGACGACTGTGGAGTAGACAGAATGAGCAGCAGGGGGGGGTTTGAAGGGGGAGTTGGAGGAGGGGGGCTGCAGCAGTGAGCATTGCTATATAAATTCCTCATGGAAGCATGGGGGTATTGAGTGCAAGCAGAGTTGAAGGAGTTATAGACAGGTTATTACAACAAACTGGGAAGCGCTCTATTAGTTAAAGGAGTCACTTTCGTTATCATTTCCAAGAGGATCAAACAGAGAAAAGGCCTTGAAAATATACGATTATACTCACAGTTGTTAAAGAATCCACCCTATCCTTCCATGCGTATTTTTAAAGATCTACAAAATGTTGATTTTCTATTACAACTCAGTGTCTGTGAGGCAGTAGGCCAGTAAACAGAGCTGTAGCTTTTTCTCATATCCTTTTAGAGGTCAAATTTGAGGACTGAATCTTAAACAATCACTGATGAGGCACGGCTTTCTTTCTTATCCAATCATGGTGAACAGCCCCACCTGCTGGTCTCATCTATACACAACACGCAAAGTTGTGTTTTTAGAGGCGTGATACTGTAAAAGCAGTCCTCTAGGTGCTGCTATTGTGCATTTGAACCCGTAGTGACTCTGGACTATGCAGCTTTGGGCCCCTGTGGACTGAAATTAGGGGAAAGAATATCAGTCACTGCAAAACCCAGATAATAAACCCATCACTACAGCCACTAAACACCATTCAAAAAAGAGCAATACAAGTTATACTCAATGTTGGCTATCAGGAACACACATACTTTTTATTTCTGCAGTCCTAGTTGTTTAAACTCACAGACATTGTGGAATATCAAACAGCTCAAATAATGTTTAAAGCTGAAAATAATCATCTACCAATAAATATACACAAATAATTCAGTATGCGTAAGGGAAGTTATAATTTAAGGGGAAAAAATAACTTTAATCTAACATTAATTCGGAAAAAGAGGAAGAGTTTTGTGTTTCAGTGAGTGGGTTGAGACAATGGAACAGGTTTTCCATGGAATTATAGCAATGTTCAAACATGACACAGTTTAAAAAGTGGGTAGTGGGTAGCACTAAGTGTGATGAGGTTATTGTTTGTTTTGTTTTGCTTTTGTTTTTGTTTCTTTCTTGTTTTATTTTCTTTCTTGTTTTTATGCGTGCACTGTATTTAGTGAATGTAGATTTTGTTTTGTAATACAAAGTCATGAACATACTGTATTTATCACAATTATCAGGTACATCTAAACAAGTTGAAAGAAAGCTTGGTGTGGGTACTTATTATGGGGTGGCAGTTCATAAGTTATTCCTCTTCTCACTCCTTTTCAAATATGTATTTCTATGTTTTATTTTTTTTATGTTTCTATGTTTTATATTTGAATGTTTTGTTTTACTTTTCTTGTTTTATTTTTCTCTATATTTCTGGTTTGCAGATTTGAAATAAACCTCAATCAATCAATCAAACAATCAATGTGTTCAATGCTGCTATCATTGTATGAATAATCGCAGTGTTGGTATCATAGACCGTATATAGAACAGACGCCATCTGCCTCCTCGCTGGGTGAAGCCACTCCGAGAACAGCACCCTCTGTTGATGGGCTGCAGTATAGGTCATAAATCCCGCCTCCGCCAGCAAAGCTTATGTGAGTGTGGACAAACTTTAGAAATTTATTACACAGAATATACATTTTTCTTCCCCCTGGTTGTGATGTTGACATGTAGTTATTGTAAGACTGTTTTGTGCTGAAGTCCTCTTTTTCCTGTACAGCTCCGTTTTCAAAAGTTATTAGGGGGTTCATGTTTTCTATGATTGACACCTGATACAGCCTATGGGCGTACAAGGATTGTGTACAGTCTATAGCTACGTTCACACTGCAGGTTATGATGCACAATTTTGTTGTTAAATCCAATCTTTTTGTGTGGTCCTTCACATTACAACAACGAATGCGGCATCTATTGTGAACGGAATGCGTCCGTGAAGCAACCTACATGCGCACAAAACACAAATTGCTTTCTGCACCTGTTTGTGTTGTCGAACAATGGTGACGTTTGTCGCATGTTAATGACGTATAGGTTGGATGAACACGCCTAAGCGTCCACACTGCAGTCACATTGGATACATGTCCGATTTATATCCACATACAAAAGAGGCCTGGGTCGGATTTGAAAAAAAAATAAAATCAGAATTGCACTGTTTACTCTTACATGAAAAAATCAGATATGTGTCACATATGGTAAAAAAATTGGAATTGACCTGCAGTGTGAACAGAGCCTATGGTTGTATGGTTGGTATAGTCAAACAAACAAACATATTACAAAAAAACAAAAACAAAACAAAAACCTCAGTATGACATTGTGACAGTACTCGCAGTAGTCTGAAGATTCTCAGGTCTACTTCCTTAATTGTGAACTGAAATGAAACCACTGAAACCTTCACCAAAGTGGATATGAGCCATTGTCAGGTTGCTGTAAACCGGTTAGGTGAGGTTTCACCGGCACAGATGGTGAATAATATACAAGCTGGGTGAACAAGTGCGGAGGGAATAATAGGACCGGAAGTACATAATGACCTTCACGTTATTTCGTTATTTATTTAAATTAGAACGCATTTAAAGACGATACCTTCAAATGAAAATAAATGGAGTAATATTTTTTACATAATTAATAATATTTAACTGCATTTAATTGGACAGACTTACTTTCAATTAAGTTAAATTAGTTTTATTTTGAAGTTCAACCGGATGTATTGCAGGCATCACCTCTAGCTTGACGCTGGTGGCCACGGTTCAGCTCCCAGCCGCTAGGAGGAACAAGGAGGTATCCATGCCCAGTCCCAGCGTGGAGAAGGAAGCGGTCTAAAGGAGGAGTAACGCTTCCCACATAAGAAGTCGGAATAAAATCTAAGACGAGGAGGAGGAGAGTAATAATTCCAGTTTGTGTTTGGAAAGCTTCTTTACATGGGGAAAAGAAATGACATCTACCGCGAGCGAGAGGAGGGCGTTTGCCCATAAAATCAACCGGTAAGACTGACAGAAGTTACTGTTTAACGGCTGCTGCTGCTGCTGCGAGAGTGACCTGCTGGACAGACGGTCCATGTAGCCTCACTATGCTAGGATTTGTAAGGTATTAGTGGCCAAAGACATTAAGTAGTAACCAAACACCGGCTACTTTCAACACTTGTGGAGTTTAACTAATATACTCCACATATTTATTAGTGCCTTCACGACCAGCATTGAACACCTTGACTACTTTGTCTTCTGGCGGTCGTTATCGTAGCATTGTAAGCGCATTGTCACAACCACTGATTCAGCTAGTCATGGAGAAAGCTGTCCCAGTTTGAGTGCTAATCTAATATCAAAGATATGTTCCCAAGAAGGATTAAAACACTAAGTAAAATCCCCCAAAATGATAGAGAGTGATATCCACTTAGCTGTTTTGTTCCTGAACCGTGTGAACGCCTCGCAGCATTGTTTTAGCAACCTGTTTCCACATGTTGTGAACTGGTTTTCCCTCTTCTTCCAATGGTAACACTACGTTTGCTCAGCGTTTGACTGAAAAAAATCTTATTGTGCTGGCAAAGTAGATTGGTTTCCATTATCTGTCAGCTGAGTTTCTGAACAACATGCTTTAACAGCCCTGCTCTGTCTGTGTGTTTACGTGTGGAAGTATTTGCTGCCAAGTACCTCCCTGTTTACTACACTAGATCTTTTAATAACTAAGTGTCTTCCAAACCCTAATTTTGTCTCATGGTTTTGCACCATATTATCTAGTCTGCAGGATACATTTAACTGCAAAGTTCAGTTCAGTATCCTTGTGCCAGCAGGTGTCAAAGCCTCCCAAAAAGTCTGTGAGAAAAACAAACAGTATGTCAGATTTACGTCTTTATTCATGTTTCTCTCTCTAGTGAAACTCGGTAGATATCATATCTTTACAGTGGTTATTACACCTTTTAGACAAGAATTTATTCTTTATAAATCACATTGTACCTTTTGTTAGTCGTCATCTTGTTTGCATGGCTGTCAAAAGTACTGACAAGTCTCACACTGCATCCCCCCAAGCCCTGTCGTTTCTCTCCTTGGACCATTGTTCACTGCCGGATGCAGGAAAGGGTGGGAAAGGGTGGTCTGGCTATTGCCCTTGCAGTCGATAGCTTTCCTTTTTCCTGTTTTAAATTGAGGTGCAAGAGCAACAGAAACTCCTCCCACATCTGTTAGAGTTGAAGCACTTCATAATTCAGCAAAAGTTAAAAAGTCTGGCTATATTTTCTAGACAGGTATCGTGATTGAAGCTGTACACTTTTTTTGTGTAGGAATTCAGACACGAATCAAAGCAATTTAACCATGACAGCTATGGTGTTGTATATGTTAAAGCTGCTGCAGCTGTGTTTGTGAGAGAAAGAGTCACTCTGTGGTTCTAGGGTAGCAGCTGCTTGCTGTCTCCGTGAGAGATTATTTTTTTTCCTCACTTTGTCTCTCTTTAAGCCTTCCCATTTGCCGTTAGTCCATAAAGGCCATGGACAGAGCCTTGGCTCTGTGCCTGCTCCCAGGAGCCAGCCCGCCACCTCTCTGCGAGATCCGTTACAGTCCCAGTTCAGAACAGCTGCTGGTTTTCAGCAAGGTTGAAACTCTAAAATTTAAAAGTTACAAGAAGTCAGACAATGGAAATCAGGCTCAATATGAGTGACTAATTCACTTCTCAGGAATCCTCTTGTGAAATAATTCAATTTCTCATGCTGCATCTGACAAAATCAATCCCTTTGTCTTTAATCTGTCTTTACCACAATTAGGGTTTTTATCAACTTTTCTTTCTCTGTAATTTGTACTTATGTTTCTGCTTTGTGTCTCTCCTTGATCTCTCAGGACGGTTGCTGCAGAGGTCAGAAAGCAAGTTTCCAGAGACTATGGCTCTCCACAGCTCACCAAGAAACGACCACACCACCAGGTGAGTCACCCTGAATTTTAAAGGAGGTTTAAAGACCAAGAAAGCTAGTTAAAATATTTACGAGTGTAACCTTTGATTTTAGACGAATAAGTCTTTGAAAGGAGTATATTTGGGTGTTGGTTTAATTAGTGCTGTTCGATGCAGACACAAAGGGAGGAGGTTTGGAAGATAATTGTCTTCCCACCCATGTTGTTTGATATTTGGGCAAAAATAAATAAGGGTTAGTTACACAATACATGCTTAGCTTGGAAAATGCCTGCGGTCAGGTTACCAAGATGATGGTGGGGATTTTGGTTAGTCCAGCAGAAATTTAGGGGAACTATTCGGACCCTGCTGTGAACAAAAACCCCCTGAGAAACAGGAGACAGGTTGTGCAGCATAAACACTGCCAACTCAGCACGATCCGTGAGTCTATCCAAAACATGAGACAAACAGCAAGCAGGCGTGGACCGGCATTGCTTGGATGAAGTGTTTGAACAAAACTGTATTAAATCATAGCAGTTGTTGTGAATGCTAATGGGAATAGTTGTGACGCACTCTTGTTAGACTGAAACTCACAAACAGAAAGGTAGTCGAGGTAAAATATGAATATTATCTTTACATGACTGCTGCCCTGTTTTATTATACATACATCTCTTTGCTTTTGAATTATACATTAGTTCCATATGCCCGTCTGCTCTTCCTAATGGCATCCTGTCTCCTCTTTGCGAGTCCTTCTCATCATGCAGATCAGATTAGGATCCGCCGTTATGGATGTGTCATACTAATCGGTACGTAATTAACTAACTCTGATTGACAGTTGCCCCTGACGGAGGTGGTTGAGCCGGTGGACTTTGAGGAGTATGTGAGCAGTCACGCTCCCGGGGTGGAGCCCGGCCCTCTCAGACAGCTAATGGAGTTCCCCGAGGATGACCTGGAGCTCCTCCACCAGGACAAAGAGTGTGTTACACTGGAGCCCCCTTTGCCGGAGGAGGAAGAGTGAGTTAAGATGCTGATGGAAGACTAAACCTTCATACTCTAACACACACACACAGACATCTTTGATAGCTGTAATAAAAGTCAACATGGACAGATAGGAACAAAGCTTTTGTCTTTGTGACACTGGACGGACATGCATATTAGATGTACGTTTGCTGAATTATTAATGGGTGATGTGTTTACTATCTAGCTCACTGGATTCTAGGGTGAGGGATGCCCTTGCTGTCTACACTGATGATTGGCTCATCGTACAAAGAAAGTAAGTGGTATCACTTTTGACACTGGTTGAATTAGCCTTGTGTACATTTATAAGCACCACCTTTCCTCTTCGCCGTTAACATGATTGGCCGTTAAATCACCCCGGCACTGTCCTTTGATTTTTTTTTTATTTCTAAGATATCAGCGCTACAGCACCATGTGTACCCCCCACAACTCGGAGCGACAGAGGGAGAGGCAGCGAAAGCTCGTCAAACAGACCTTTGAACTGGATGAGGCTGCAGCTGCTGAGCGGCAGGACGACCAGGTAGCTGATGGCGATATTCAAACCCAACTGACCTTTCAGTCGTCTGTGTTCACTCGCCTCTTTTTATCGATCCACTGCACAAACAGTGTTGTCATTATAACTCATAATCTTGAAAGCTTTATGAACTATTGTAATGTAATATGTGGACGAAGAAGCAAAGAGAATAGTCAGTCGATTAAACGGGTCTCTTATTTTGATGGGGAGGGCAGTATGGGTCAGATTCCACTTGGTGAGTTCACCTCACAGAGGTGAGTAATGGATAAATAGATATACCTTGTCCATTATCCATTACACAGTCTCTGCATGAATCATATTTAAAGTGTAATGGGATCTGCAGCCTATTGTTCGCCTTATACTTCTAAAACATCTGCAGCGAGCACTTAAAGGGTGACATCCTCGCCTGGAGGAAAAAGAAACCTCATGATCTCAACCCTCCGCCTCACTCTTAATTCATCTCAGGATGACGCAAAGCGGCGGTCAGTCAGCCTGGATGAGACTCCTCGGGGAAGCTGGGCCTCCAGTATCTTTGACCTGAAGAACTCCTCCCCAGACGCTCTCCTGCCGTCTGTGCTGGAACGAACAGCTGCAGAAGACATGGACCACCGTAACACCGAGGCTCGGCTGCAGGGGCGCCACTGTGACCTGCTCGGCCTCTACCCTCCCCCTGACGAGGTTTGTGTTTAAAGAGCTAAGAAAAGTAAACCTTAAGGAGGAACGACCCGACCCTTTCCAAAACAAAAATAACATGTTTAATGAGTGAGGTGGTTTTTCTCTTTTAAACAAGTTTTCAGAGTAATATTTATGCTGCGTTCGAGTTACCTCGGAAGTCAGATGTCAGAGCTGAAAAATGACGTCACACGCGAGTTACTGGTGTTTCAGGTACTGAGTCGGACAAAAGGAAAATCAGATGCGGATACGACATAGCAACTTCTATGAAAGTTATTTTAGTGCTTGTCTTGTCAGAATTTATCAAGGACAAGGCAAACACTAAAATAACTTTTGTAGACGAAACCATGTTGTTTCCACGTCCGAGTTTTCTTTCATTTTCAGCTCCGACATCTGACTTCCGAGGAACCTCGAACGCAGCATTAGACCAGGTATCCTTAAACACAGAAATTCAAGAACAAGTTAGTAGTTTTTTGTTTGCAGAGTATTTGTAGGTAGGGCTGGACGATATGGCCTCAAACCAATATCACGATATATTGAGCAGTTCACCTCGATAACCATAAATGGACGATAACTACTCCACAAGCTGCTCACTGCCTCCCACATTAACCTGGTCTACTCCAGCTGCTACAACTTTTGAACCGTCCTCCATCTCCTCACCTGTCTTTCCCTCTTTGTTATGGACTGTATGGATGTAAGACAGCATCTTAAAGAGACATAAGACCAAAGCCTGCCTACACACATCTAAATCCAACTTTTATTGATTTATTTTTATGACACTGAATATATTGACATGGGCAAAATGACGTCGATTATTGTCGTAAATTTCGGTAACTGTGAATTTTCAGCTTATCGCCCAGCCCTATTTGTAAGTACGAACAAATCTTTACAGATGAATCTCCTTTAATTGTACTCTATGCAAGAAGTCATGCATTCACTTACTAACAAAAAACCGTTTGCATAATGAGTGGAAATGGAGCACAAACTAAAACCATATATTATCCACTGTGAATTAGAATTCAACCAGTTCCTGCGCATGATTGAATGCATCTATAGTTTAAAAAAAAGCAAAGGCCGAGCTGCTGGTTGAAAACACAGACAAACAAAGTGACCATCAGCTCGGTAACATTGTTGAATGTTCCCTTATAGTGACTCTCCAGAATGTCTCCAGTCAGCTACCAAACTGTTTGCTTTTCTTTCCCCTCTGCTTCTCCATCCTTCTTTCTCTAAATCTAAGTGCACACTGTCACTTCCTTTGCAGCTACGTTTCCATGACATCTGTGTAAATGTTATGTGAGTGTGTGTAGTCAGTCCACGGCTTTGTTGTTTCTGTGGCAGGATGAAGCAGTGGAGAGATGTTCTGTCATTGAAGTGCCCAAAGAACACTGCGGCCAGAGGATAATGGTGAAGTGTCTGTCTCTGAAGTGAGTAACATTTGGAATATAACGGCTGCAAAATGACGTTTTCACATGTTTGTTCAATGCGAGAAATACCCACAATGCCCTCTGTTTTCAGATTTGAAATAGAGATTGAGCCAATATTTGGGACGCTTGCCCTGTATGATGTCAAAGAAAAGAAGAAAGTACGTGTTTGTTCCAGCTGCTCCTCTGTATATTTTCCTTCTCATGACTCCAAGTCTGAACAGCCACTTTCGCAATGCTGAGCTCATGCTTAACTAATTGAATTTCCCTTGTCTCAGAAAGCTCTTAGTGGTCTCGCTGTTGAGATCATTGAGTTGAAACTGAATTAAAATCCCTTGACGTGTATTTCCATTACTATCTTTCCTCCCCCCCCGCCCTCCGTTGTTTCCCGCTTATCTCAATCTCTCTTCCTACAGATCTCAGAGAACTTCTACTTCGACCTGAACTCGGATCAGATGAAAGGGCTGCTTAAATCCCACACACCTCACGTAGCCATCTCCACACTGGCTCGTTCCGCCATCTTCTCCATCACGTACCCCTCGGCTGATATCTTCTTGGTCATTAAGGTAGAAAGTAAATCAAGTTAGAATTTAGCAAGTGGAAAATGGAATCGCTTTACAGGGTGTTAAAAATCGGCCTGTTTTTTTTCAGCTTGAGAAAGTCCTACAGCAAGGAGACATCGGAGAATGCTGTGAACCCTACATGGTCATGAAAGAATCTGATTCCTCCAAGGTAATGGATCCAAAAGAAGAGCTTTGAAGTGTTGCAACATGCTGGGCCGACGACCAACATGTACACGAGACCCTTTTACTGTCTAGTCAAAATCATTACCCAACCTGTCTGGGAAGCTGCAATATTTACCAATCATTGGGGTCATCTTTTAAACCTGTCTCTATCTTCTCCCTTATATAATCCCACCTGGTCATTTTTTTTCTGTTTTACTCAGCACAAAGAGAAGCTGGAGAAGCTGCGTGTGCAAGCAGAGCAGTCATGTAATCGACTTGGCCGTTTTCGCATGCCTTTTGCTTGGACGGCCATTCACCTTCTTAACATTGTCAGCAGTGTGGGAGGCCTAGACCGCTCGGACCCTGACTCTGACTCCGGTAATGGGGGACTTTAAACAAACCAGACATTGAATGCACTGTCGAGAATGCATAAAGCAAACAGCCGTCATGTATCTGCAGCGTCAAAAGTAGCACAGAAATAACATTTGCTAACATGCCTGTCTGATATTGATTCTTCTCTCCGGTCAGAGCGCAAAGGTCATGGAACATGGAACGAGAGAAAGAAAAAAGGCTTTGAGCGGATGAGCGTCGGGGATGACATGTGCAACTTTGCGACTTTCCGTCCCGCGACACTGACCGTCACCAACTTCTTCAAACAGGTCAGAATCTGTGAGGTGATCCGGCTCTGGAGTCGTGACAAAAAATTGCAAAATGACTCGTTTCATCCAACTTAAACTAAGTGTTGTAACAGGACAAGGGGAGAGACCAAACCTCACTAAACATTTCTGCCAATATTTCAACTCATAAAAAGAGACACAAGGGGAACAGATTAAAGTAAATTTAGGGTGAATTTTCTCTAGTGGGGACCGTAATTGTTACGATTTTGGAATTGGAGCAAATGCAGATTAAAACTTTATGAAATATAAGAAGTTTTCTGTGCCGGTATGATCATGTTTTCCTCTTAATGTCAAGAAACTCTTCTATCTGTGCTCTTGAAGGAGGGGGACAGACTGAGCGATGAGGACCTCTATAAGTATCTGGCAGATATGCGTAGACCATCCTCTGTGTTGCGACGACTGAGGCCAGTCACAGGTGAGCAGGATACACCCTCATTGTTGAGATCTTTAAATGCCATCGTCTAGATTCATATTCAAATATTCAATATCACTTCTTTTGTCCCTCAGCCCAGTTGAAAATCGACATCTCTCCGGCTCCGGACTCGCCTCATTACTGCTTGTCCCCTGAGCTGCTACACGTGAAGCCTTACCCGGACCTGCGCGTCCGTCCGACCAAAGAGGTGCTCGAGTTCCCTGCTCGCTACGTGTACACGCCTCACACCACCTACAGGTGAGTGTTGATCTGTCACAGACGCGCCTAGTTTTCCGTGTTCGTTTACACGTTCATTCTCAACATCGTCAGAGTTTCAGTCTTCTCTCAAGTTTGGGGTTTTAAAAAAAGAGGACGCAGGTACAGGATGTTAATTTTTCATGCATTTTTATTAACATTTTTAGGATAATGTATGGAAAAAGAGAAGTTAAGCTCTCTCTCTATAAATCAACAAATGTAACATGGAAAACATTTTTAAATAATTCACAGTTTTTAGTAGGTACTGAACAAATATGAACATGAGTTAAGACAAACAAAGGATCGAGAGTGCTTACAAATAACGACTGTAATAAAATAGTTCCAACAATGAAAAAAAGGAAGAGTTTTTTTTTTCTTCTTTTTTTTTTTTTTTGCAGAAGTGGAAGGGAGTGCAGTGATATCACACAGCAGTGACGCAAACAGCTGATCCAGCCTGATTCAGAGTAGTGTGGTAGTCCAGTGTTGAGATTTAATCAAGAACGTCATCACTCTGAAAAGAAGAAAATAAATTAGTGGGTAAAACTTAAAGAAGTCACCAAAAAGTTGAGACATCAAATTTTCAGATAGAAGTGACTCACTATCTGAAGCAGTTTGGAGAGCTTCTCATTTTGAGTTTCCAGGTTCTCTTTATGAAAGTCGGTCAAATACTGTAAACCCGTCAAAACGAAGGTCAGCTCTTCTGCTCTCTCCTGAAATACAGAAAACAGTGTGAGGGATCTAGTTACTTTATTTCTATATTCAGCAGCTGGTTTTGTGTATTATTGTCTCTCTAGTTGCTAATATTTTTCGGTTCCCTGCTTTCATTCACCTGCAGCTTCTTGATGTTGGTGGGCACAGAGTCTTTGAGATGCATCTCCAACTTCTCCACCTTTGTCTTTAGCTCCACCTCTTCCTGCTCCATACCAGCCAGCCAGTCTTTAGTTTTCCTGGTCTCGGCCTGCTGCGTGACCATCTGGGTCTGTCAAAAGAGCATCTGCCCACGTTAGCCTCTTCCCCCAACAAAGAGCCGAGTGCAGCTGGCAGCACTCAGATCTAAGAGTTTAATGTCATCTGTACACATCTGTAAAACATATTGGTGAATCATGTGGAGATAATAGGTCTCATAAAAGAAGAAGAGTTAAATATCCAAGCAAGGACAGCCTTATACTAGGATTCAGTCTTGTTTTGTTATTAGGCATTTCTTCAAATCGGCATCAGCTGCTTTGTTTTGTCTGAGAAGCTGTTTTCTTTCTGATAAACACAGACGTTCCCTCTGATGGGGATTTTAGATACTTGGCTCTGCGACTGCATGTTGCTCTTTTTAGCTTTGTTATTTGATTGTTATCCTTTTTATAGTCGTCTCTCTCGAAGCAAACACAAAAATTCAGTGGTACACGAGGAATGCATTGTTTACATTCTCCAGTGTTTTCTTACCTGCAGCAAGTGTATCACTTCCTTCATCTTCTTCTCCACCTCTGCCGCCTCCTCCGTCTGCCTCCCCAGCTTTTGGAGAGTCTCCCCGTGGCTCCTCAGAGTCTGGCTGATTTTTTTTATCTTTGCCTCTGTGGTCTCATATACATTATTCAAGGAATCACTGAACTGTATCACACCAAACATGAGCACTCTGACTTCGTCCTCTGGTGCGGCCATATCTTCCGTCTTTCCAGTGTTCCTGAGTGGACTTGCTTGGACTGCTCTCAGTCCACCGGCTAAACAAAGTAGGCAAAGACCCCAGATCATCTTCATAGAAAGTCAGTTTGTCAAAAACTCACTGTCTGTTCCCCTCAGTGTTCTCCAGTAAACCAGGCTGTCAAAGTTCTTCAATGTCAAACTCTCCAACCATATGGTAAAGGCTGTATCTACTGCATTTGTCCCTCACAGCTGTGCAGGCTGCAGCATCATCAGAAAGAAGCCAAGGATGATGAATTTTGAGGGTGGTCAGACCGCCTTATATTGGATATGTACATGCAACACCGTGGTAAAACATTAGCTCAGCTGTGGTTCGATCACAGGTCTTGTTGGTGGCCTTAATCTCAGTGACCTTGCCTTGAAGTTTAACCCCTGAGGTACCTCGTTCTGTCATGTAGGTCACAAACACAAAAGTGGCACACAAACAAAGTATGAACCCCTTTGGATGCAGACAGAACATGAGCGGCATCGCAACATGTGCAGGACATACCATTTGATGGTATTTTAAAGGTACACTGTGATTTTGTGACGCGTCACTGTCTCCTGATTAGTGTATCAAATCAGCTGTTCCAAGATATGACCAACGGTTACCTCTGATGTTTGCCTTGGATTGAAGCAAATCCAATACTGGAACACTCTCCTCCAGTGTGCGCACATGACGCTCGCCTCTCTCTCTCTCTTTTTTTTTTTTTTTTGTTGGATTAAGAATAGCTCAGGTTTTTATATTTTTAGGTAGTCAGGAATGACTTGTGAATAATAATGTGGGATATTGTCAACAAATGTCGAAGAGCAAAAACTTGGATGAGAAACTTTTCCCTGAGAAGTACTTGTGATTTTCACGTCAATTTCGTTTAACCCCTTCACTGCTTTGAGCTCTCTCGTGTCCTCCTCACCTTGCTCTCTTTCTAATTTTCCCGTCTTGCATCATTCTCCCCCCGTCAGGAACCTGCTCTATGTTTACCCTCAAAGTCTGAACTTCAGCAGTCGACAGGGCTCGGTGAGAAACATCGCTGTGAAAGTTCAGTTCATGGCAGGAGAGGATCCCAGTCAAGCTTTGCCGGTGAGAAAGCATAATGAAGTGATGTGGCTGTGATGCTCTCAGGAAAGTGAAATTTCAGTCACAAAGAACGGCTCGAGGCAGTGAAATGTGATATGGTGAAGAGTGAACTTCTTCAAAAAGCTTTTTTTTAACACTCTGGAGAGAGGGAAAGTCAGGTTACTTTCAGAGAGCTTCAGTAAAACATACTTGTATAATCACAAATTGACTTTTATTGATTCATCATAATTTAGTTGAAGCATATAAAAAAAAAAGGGTCTCTTAAGTGGAGGAGAACTTTCTAAGCAACACTCTCAACTTAAAGGGATATTCTGACGTAAAATTAATTTAGGGTCAAACACACCAAAAACCAAGTTAGACATCCTGTCGAGAGATGAATGTTGCCGACCGCTTGCTTCTCTAGTTATACCAACTTTAGTAATGACCGCATGATAGCAATACACAGCGGTCTCAGCAGCCAGTCGCACACCTTAAAAGCCACGCTGCAGCCACAAATAATGCTCAGAACAGCACCTAACTTCATCAACAGTACATATAGGGTCCCAGCCATAGTACTAGCCACCAAACATCTTTCTAACTTTGCCTAATTTCTTTAGAAAAGAGACTAAACACAACTCACCTACTCTATTCCAGCAGCCGCTTGTTTGTACGGAGACTAAGGATGAGTCCATCACCGACTGCTGCGGGGTGACGCAGCTCAAGGAAGAACATTTATGATCATTTCTTTATCATTTCCTTTCAGTAATAATCACCATATTAATCATTTTGCACTGCAGACTCGGTAGTTCTTCTGCCTTAGCGTCTTGGTCTGATTGCATTTCCATGAAAAAATTAGTTTAAATGTTCTTCCTTGAGCTGCATCACCCCACTGCAGACGGTGAAGGACCCGTTCCAGGTCTTCCTAAAAACAAATGGGTACTGGAAGAGAGTAGGTGAGTTGTGTTTAGTATCTCTGCTAAAGAAATTAGGTAAAGCTAAAAAGATGTTTGATGGCTAGTGCTGTGGCTGGGACCCTATATGTACTGTTGATGAAGTTAGGTGCTGTTCTGAGCATTTTTTGTGGCTCTAGAGTGGTGTTTTGGTTAAGCGCATGGCTCCTGGGACCACTGTGTATTGCTATTGTGCGGTCGTTACTAAAGTTGGTATAACTAGAGAAGCAAACGGTCATCTCTTGAGGGGGTGTCTAACTCGGTGTTACGTTGTGTTTGACCCTAAATTAATTTACGCAGGAATATCCCTTTAAGAGGAGGAGAATTTTCTAACCAACACTCTTAACTTAATCCACTCTCTTCTCCTTATTCTCATCTCTCATAAACCATTTAATTCATGCTTCGCTGTTTGGCCAGGTCATCTTTGGGAAGTCAAGTTGTGGTGAGTTCATGAGAGAGGCCTACACTCCAATCATCTACCACAACAAGTAAGAGGCTCACTCACCTGTCTACTTTAACATTTTACCTCCTCTGTCTTGTCTTTTGTTCTTCCACCGCTCTCTCACTGAATATTGCGTTTAACTCTTACTCTAAAAGGTCTCCTGAGTTCTATGAGGAGATGAAAATGAAGATTCCTGCCAATCTGACAGACAACCACCATCTGCTGTTCACCTTTTATCACATCAGCTGCCAACCCAAACAGAACACTCCTCTGGAGACCCCTGTGGGCTACACTGTGAGTACAATCCTTCAGCTGGCCCACATTTCATACACCCACCTACACACCGTCTGGTTTGATCGCAACTTCTGCTGTCTCGACATCGATTAGAGATCGCGTGTCTCTTTCTGATTGTAGTGGATCCCTCTCATGCAACATGGCCGACTACGCACCGGCTCCTTCAGCCTGCCTGTCTCGGTGGAAAAGCCTCCACCTAGCTACTCTGTGCTCACCCCTGACGTAAGTGTGAAGAGGGATTATGTGACTATCAGTTCGCCCGCCGCTGCCTTCTCCTTTTGTGATGTGACTGCGTGTTAAATCAGTTGGATGTCACTCTGGCAGGTTCAGCTCCCAGGCATGAAGTGGGTGGATAATCACAAAGGAGTGTTCAATGTCGAGGTGACAGCAGCCTCCTCAGTTCACACTCAGGTACACATGCATGTTTTTATTATACTGCGGTTTCAACCTTTTTATGCACTGCCTTCGACTTCAACTTCAACTTCAAATGCCATGTTAGGCTGAGGTTAGCGGTATTAGACTCTAATAGACTTCCTCGTGTTGATGTGAAAATGAAAATAAAACCACACTGACAATTTAGGAACCATCTACCAAGAGGTTATTTAAACAACACCCTTTCTTTGAGAAGCAGGTTTCCAGGCCTACATATCTTGTCAGCTTGTATGAAAGTCAGAAAGACCTTCAAAGTCAACTTTATTGCCAAATATGCTGTACATGTTAAACATACAGCACAGGTGAAATTTCAGTCCACTCAGACCCACGGTGCATAGCAATAAAATATAAGAATAAAACTATAAAAGTATAAATATAGAATAAACAACTAAGCTAAACAAAAGACTACCTTAAATCCTCACACACACTCTATTTACAAAATAAAGATAACAGTATAAACAGTATAAACAGTGTAACAGTATAAATATAAGGAGGAAGGTGAGTGGAAAAAAGTGAATGTAAACAGTATGGCAGTATGTCAGTCCTGATGTGGACACAATAGTGCAAATATGACAGTGAAGCACTATCTTGCATCGCAAAACTCCTGTCCGAACTCTAGGACCCCCACCTGGATAAGTTCTTCACTCTAGTCTACGTCCTGGAGGAGTACTCCTTCCCTTTCCGCCTAAAAGATGTCATCATCACTGAAGCAAACATGGAGGGGGAGCTGAAGGCCAGCATGGCGGCACTCAGGGGCGCCCTGCTGGACACCTGCGTCAGGTTCTTGCACCAGCTGCTCAACAAGCTCATACAGCTCATCATCTACCCACCAGTCATTGCAGGACAAATTGGTGAGTGAGGCAACTCTAATGACAGGCTTACATGAGCTTCTCATGATGATTTTGGGGATTATCTGCAGCTTTAACTCTTTATTTTTCCCCACAGTGAACTTGGGCCGAACATCTTTTGAAGCTATGACGCTATTCGTCAACCAGATCCACAAGAACCTAGAGGGGAATCAGGACCAGCACGGCCGCAACAACCTGCTCGCGTCCTACATCCACTACTGCTTCCGCCTGCCAACCACAGAGCCAACAATGCCACCTACGGGTGAGTCACCAAACTGAACAGAACAGTGTGTGTCTGGCGAGAAGGAAGTGAGCGTTTCACACTGCAGCCAGTCAACATTTGTGTGACAGGACGGATCCGTTGTGAATATCAGCGGAGTGACATTTCTGCTTTTCATGTCCCTAAGAAGCTGGGCAGCATTCCTGTGAGATGCCGCTGCAGTATGCCACCCTGTCAAGAGCGACGGCTCGCCCCAGCAGCTTGCATCTGGCACGCTCCAAGAGTATCAGCAACTCCAACCCGGACCTGGCCAGCACACCGGTGTCTCCTGATGAGGAGGTGCAGAGGATCATAGGGAGCAAGGTGAAATACTCAAGCTTTGTTAAATTTGTGTTTCTACATTTAGAAAAAGTCTTTGCAGTCGATCACAGCAGTAAAAAGATTTCTCAAAATCTGACCATGTTTACTGGCCTAAACTCCCCAAAGGCATTTTTATTTTGATTGGAATATTCTGTATTAATTTTTAAATAGTCTGAGTTCTCCTTTTGTCAAGCATCACTCCTGTTGTTAAACATTAAATTCTAGTCTTGCTATATCGATTTGTATTATTAATATCAATTTGAGTTGATAAAACCAAAACAGCAGCACAGAAAAGTCATTTTTTTAAATGTTGTGACAGTCTCTGCACTTTTTACAGCAGATTAGCTCATTTATAATCCGTGCACTTTGTGTCAACAGTTAATGATGCTGCTTAATGGAGCGATTATGCTTTGTTTGTGTGTTCCTTGTGTTTCATACAGTACAACAGCCTTTCCTTTGTGCTTCCTGTTCCTGCTGTTTTTGCCGACTCATGCTTCGCTTTGTTTTCCCCTTGTTCCCTGACTTTATTTCCTCCCAGATTTACCCTTTAAATAATCTCTCCTGAGGTGATTACTTTCCCGACTCACTGTGCCCTTGCCTCTTGCTGCTTTTGTGCGGTTGTGTTTGTGTTTTGTGTGTGTCTGTGGTGGCTCATGGCAGGGCATTGACCGCTCCCACTCCTGGGTAAACTCTGCTTACGCCCCTGGCGGCTCAAGATCTGTGCTACGCCGGAATCCCAACTCCAGCTGTGATCTCAAGCAGGTGCCAAATCCTCCTCTCCCCTCTTCTCCTCCCTCTCTACTTCCACACCTTCATCTCCTCCGTCTCCCCAGGATCATTTCTCGCCTCATGTTTGTTTCTAACTCCCTCTCACACCTGTCTCACCGTACTGATCCACACCTTCATCTCCATCCTTTACTGCCTCATAACCAACCAGATCTGTTCTCTTTCGGGGACACAATTTCCGCCTGGGGTGCGTCAGCTTTCTAACCAGCCTTATACACCAGAGACCGTAGTGTTCTTTGGCCACTCGTTCATTTTCATTCACTCATTTTCACATCACTTTGTCCTCATTTCTGTGTGTGTTCACGCCACCATCACCTCATGTCAGGCACACGACCACAGCTGCAATCGCATGTCTGCATTCCTGGACAGCGTGGCCTTGTTTTCAGTTCCCACAAGGCAGATTATTAAGAAGGTAAAAGTATCATTTACATTGAAAACTATTAAGAGTGGCATTCATCCTTTAAAAAAGAGACGACTCATCATGTTTTCTTTTCAAAACTAACTTTGTGTCATTAACATTTATCATCTTCCACGACATTTTCACTGTTTTTCTGTAAGTTGTTGATATTTTTGCTGCTTAAATTGGAAGATTTCAGGATTAAATATCTGTTTGAGGTTTTAATTAAACATCCATCCTACTTGTTTTGATAAATTCATTTGGGTCCCATGTAAACAAAGTTAATTTTTGATGGTTAGTAGTGTGTAGTGTAAGATAAACGTGACTCTGTTGGTTCATGTGTAGCTGCTCCATGAAGAGCTGGCTCTGCAGTGGGTGGTCAGCACCAGCACAGTCAGAGAGGCGGCGTTGCAGCAGGCCTGGTTTTTCTTCCAGCTTATGGTGAGTGTGTCTTTGTACGTTTAGATTATATTAATGACGCTTTTTTAACAAAATCTGGATCTAAAGAAGTCGAGCACGACTAGAAACCTGAGTCACTTCAGGAAAGTCTTACTGCAAAGTTGAAGTCGAGTGTTTGACTTCCTCATTCGCTCTCTCCTCTAGACTAAGAGCATGGCTCATCATTTATTCCTGACCTCCAAATTGGACGTTCCAAGGCGCCAGCGGTTCCCTGATCGATTTGTGGACGACATTGCTGCACTTGTGTGTGCCATCAGTGCAGATATTGCCAGTCGATACCACAAGGTATATACCAACCACAAAGCTGCACAAGCGATTTCAGGACATGAACTGCTGAAAGTCCATTTATTTTTCAATGAACCAGCTCTGATGGGCTCATGTGAGATGACAGGATGAAAGTTTGAAAAGAACTTTTTCACTTGTGATGACTGAATCAAATATATAAAGAAAGTGAAAGTATGTTTTCATCCGGATGAAAATTGTACCTCTCCTCTTTTTACCTTAATCTAATCCATTTATTTACTCCGGCTGCTCTCAGGATGTAGAGCTTGTGGAAAGGTTAAACTGCAGTCTGGCCTTTTTCCTCAACGACCTGCTCTCTCTCATGGACCGGGGCTTTGTCTTTAACCTCATCCGCACTTACTACAAACAGGTACCTATTGACCCCTGAAGCCGTATCAAACGATCACAATACTTTCTCCCGTGTGTGCATAAAATCAACTTTTCAAACGTGTGTGTTAAACAGATTGCTAACAAGCTCCACACAGCCCAGAACCCCAGCTCTCTGAGTGCGCTGAGGATGGATTTCACACGCATTGTCTGCAGCCATGAGCACTATGTCATCCTCAATCTACCGTGCTCCACTCTCAGTCCTCCAGCTTCCCCCTCACCCTCCACCTCTTCCACCACCTCACAGGTATCAGCAGGCTTGAAAATATAATATTACAGGTTTAAAATGCTTTTATAGAACTTTTATGTCCTTGGTTTTCATCTTGACCCTCTCTCTTTCGCTGCATTCACAGAGCTCGGCGTTTTCCAGCATGGTGCAGGACCAGGGCGTGGCCACCATGTTTGAGCTCTCCGTCCCTTTCCGCCAGCAGCACTTCCTATCAGGGCTGCTGCTTACAGAGCTCTCGCTCATCCTTGATCCTGATGGAGAAGGGTAAGCCTTAAACAAACTCAAGTGTCCGTTGAAACGTGCGCACTGTGAAAAGACACCGGCTTATTTGTTTTTCTTTTTTGCACCTGCAGTGTTTTCTTCCTTCATAAAAAGGCCATTAGCGCTGTTCACTCCCTGCTGTGCGGTCATGATGCAGACCCCCGCTACACAGATCCACAGGTCAGGGCCCACGTTGCTCAGCTCTACCTGCCCCTGCTCTCCATCGTCATGGAAACGTTGCATCAGCTCCACGACTTTTCTGGTTAGCAGATCACATAAACGCTCTTGAATGTGTCTCCCCCTCCTCCTACGCACGTTTCCAGATTTCTGCACTTTTTATTGCACCTGAGAGTGTTTTCTGACTTCTTTGCAGACTCCTCGCCTGCTAGGGTCCGCCATGCCTCAGCCCACGCTGACGATGCTGACCCAGACAGTGGCAACACTATCAGTCAGTCTGTTGCCATGGCAATCGCTGGCTCCCCTCTACCACATGCCAAAGCAAACCCGTTTGCCCTGCCCACAGTGGTGAGTGATAGCGGTGGAGGTCAGGCTGTTCCCTCAAGCCTTACAGACTGACTGGTCACAGATCTGCCTCTGTGTGGGTGTTTACAGACAATCACTCCACCTTTTCTCTTATTACACACACACACACACACACACACACACACACACACACACACACACACACACACACACACACACACACACACACACACAGAGTCAAAAAGCGTTTTCATTTTTCCCTTTATCTTCTATGACTATGACTGCTGCTGCTTGTAGCCTGTAGGTGGCTCTCTGATCTCTCTTTGTATACAGCCATTTTGTACTGAAGCACATTAAAAGGGCACCTGCTGAGTTTGTTTGTTTGTCTTCACCAGGCCGGGCGCCAGTCCAGCTCTCTGTCTGCCGAGTGCAGCAGGACTCTGCTGGTGTGTTTCCTGTGGGTGCTGAAGAACGCAGATGCTGCGCTGCTGGAGCGCTGGTTGTCCGATTTGTCTGTTCTGCAGATCAACCGCCTGCTGGATCTGCTGCATCTGTGTGTCTCCTGTTTTGAATACAAGGTGGGATAACCAGACGCTGTTGTTGCAGACTCTTATATCAACAACACACCTGATAGAAATCAAAACCAAGTCAAGCGTGTTGTATTTTGCCACATAAAAGCTACAGTACTTGACAGACATTTCACCTGATGTTCGAAGGGAATAACCTGTTTTGTTAAAGGGATATTTAAACATAAAATTAATTTAGGGTCAAACACACCGTAACACTGAGTTAGACACCCCCTTGAGAGATAAATGTTGCCAACAGCTTGCTTCTCTGGTTACTCCAACTTTAATAACGACCGCAAGATAGCAATACACAGTGGTCTGAGGAGCCATACACAAACCAAAAAGCCACTCTATAGCCAAAAATAATGCTCAGAACAGCACCTAACTTCATCAACAGTACATAAAGGGTCCCAGCCATAGTACTAGCCACCAAACATCTTTTTAACTTTGCCTGTTTTCTTTAGCAAAGAGACTAAACACAACTCACCTACTCTCTTCCAGCAGCCACTTGTTTTTAGCGACCAGTCCAGTCCATTACCAACTGCAGCGGGGTGACGCAGCTCAAGGAAGAACATTTATAATAATTTCTTTATCATTTCCTTGAAGTCATAATCATCATAATAATCATTTTGCACTGCAGATGCAGTAATTCTTCTGCCTTTGCATCTCAGTCTGATTGCATTTCCATGAAGAAATGATCATAAATGTCTTTCCTTGAGATGCGTCACCCCGCTGCAGTCCGTAATGGATTGGCCTGAGGTTTGATTATGGCTCCTCAGACCGCTGTGTTTTGCTATCCTGCAGTCTTAACTAAAGTTGGTATAACTAGAGAAGCAAGCTGTTGGCAACATTCATCTTTCAAGGGGGTGTCTAACTCAGTGTTACGGTGTGTTTGACCCTAAATTAATTTTACGCTGGAATATCCCTTTAAATGTCGCAAAACTGTGCTCTAAGCTGGCTTTCCCTAAGTTTTAGATCCCATAATAACCAGTTGATTGTTTATAGTTTTTACACAGTTAAATCTTTATCACAACTTTTACTAAATTTATTTCAATCAGGCGAGTAGTCTCTTCTAGTTCTCCTCATATCCTTTGATGTCTTGTGTTGTTTGTTTCTTCACCTCCATATTTTGTCCATTGCTAATCTGTGTTTGCAGGGGAAGAAAACTTTAGAGAGAATCAACAGTCTGACCTTCAAGAAGTCTCAGGACATGAAAGCGCGACTGGAGGAGGCCATACTGGGCACCATCGGGGCTCGTCAGGAGATGGTCCGCCGCCACAGAGGTAAGGAGAGAGAAAAGTACTGCGTTTGTGTAAGTGGAGGTACTTTGATTCGAGGTTCTTTTTAACATTGTAAAAATCTGGATTTGGTGGTTCTTTCAGAAAGGAGCCCCTATGGCAGCCAGGAGAATGTGAGGTGGAGGAAAAACGTCACTCACTGGAGGCAAAATGCAGACAGAGTCGACAAGTAGGCACTTTGCTTTCGACTGGTGATAATGATGTTTTAATAATGCATTGTAACCTGATGTATTCACTCAGTAAGACAGAATTAAATATGTTGTTTTAGCCTGTGAACAGTAATGTTTATAACCACTACAGGACAAAGGCTGAGGTTGAGCAGGAGTCAGTGGTGGATGGAAACTTAGCGACTGAGGCCTCTCTGATTGTACTGGACACACTGGAAATTATCGTCAAGGTGAAGGATTCGGAATGAATGACTGAATTCTATGTTACCATTTCAGATACATTATCGTCCGTTTAAGGCGGAACAACCTCCCTGTAATGCATGTATGTCCTCTTTTAGACTGTGGTGGCGTCAGAGCTGAAAGAAAGTGTTCTGGGTGGAGTGCTGAGAGTGCTTCTCCACAGCATGGCAGGGAACCAGAGCGCCCTCTTCCTGCAGCACTGCTTCACTACACAGAGGGCTCTCGTGTTCAAGGTAAACAACCTCTGTGTTTCTGTAGTAGCTTACAGATTTATTCTCCCATTTACAGTCTACCTGCATTACTGCAGCCCTATACATTTAGATGAACAGAAATGAACACGTGTCGTTTAGTTCTTTACAAACTTACCGTGATTCTTACAATGAAGCGTGTGTGTGTGTTCTAGTTTCCAGAGATGCTGTTTGAAGAAGACACGGAGCTTTGTGCAGACCTGTGCCTGCGACTCTTGCGTCACTGCAGCAGTAGTGTCGGTTCTGTCCGAAGTCATGCCTCTGCTTCCCTGTATCTGCTAATGAGGCAGAACTTTGAGATCGGAAATGTACGTTTTTTTTCATGTTTTGATTAAACATGGAAGTAGAAAACCCAAAACTTGCATGGTGTCGTATTAACATTTTGTGTATTGAAATCTGCCCCATGACCAGAATTTTGCTCGAGTGAAGATGCAGGTTACAATGTCCCTCTCATCACTGGTGGGTATGTCGCAAAACTTCAACGAGGAGCATCTTCGGCGCTCGCTCAAGACTATCCTCACATACGCTGAAGAGGACCTGGAGCTGCGCGACACGCCTTTCCGAGAGCAGGTATGTTACGTCCTCTTTAAAGAGACCCATCTGGAGTTCCTACAAGAAAGAAGCTTACAAATAAGCGATGCTTTACTTTGAAAATTGCAGGTCCAAGATCTGGTGTTCAACCTGCACATGATTCTCACGGATACTGTCAAGATGAAAGAGCACCAGCAAGATCCAGAGATGCTCATCGACCTCATGTACAGGTACCGTGGTGCACATTTGTAGGTGAAAACCACACGATTAAAAAGTTTCCGAATAATAAACTCTCCGATATCCACTTTTTTTTTTTTTTGGTAGGATTGCAAAAGGCTACCAGAACTCCCCTGACTTGCGTCTGACATGGCTCCAGAACATGGCAGGGAAGCACAGTGAGAGAGGGAACCACGCAGAAGCTGCTCACTGCCTCGTCCACAGCGCCGCTCTGGTCGCAGAATACCTCAACATGCTGGAGGATTGCCGTTACCTGCCAATCGGTTGTGTCACTTTCCAGGTTAGCATAAAATATTCAGTTATCCTTCAAAGCCACAGCATCAAGACCTACATATATGGACAAAAAAATAAAGAGATTACCTTTTTTTCCTCATCAGAACATTTCATCCAATGTACTGGAGGAGTCAGCTGTATCTGACGACATCCTGTCTCCAGAGGAGGAGGGGATATGTGCTGGAAAATACTTCAGCGAGTCTGGACTGGTGGGCCTCCTGGAGCAGGCAGCCGCCTCCTTTAACATGGTAAAAGTCTTAGATTGCAACCATATAGTGACAGACTGTATGTACCCCGACACGGCTGGAGAAGTCTTACTCAACTTCTCTTTGTGCTCTCACTCCAGGCTGCTATGTACGAGGCAATCAATGAAGTGTACAAGATTCTGCTGCCCATTCATGAAGCCAACAGGGACTTCAAAAAGCTTGCCACTGTCCACGGGAAGCTGCAAGATGCCTTCAACAAAGTTTACAACCAAGTGAGTTGACAGTACATGTGAATAAAAATCTCCTGCAGTGAATTTATTAACAGCATTAGCTGTTACAGTGAATAAAATGAATTGTGTTCCTAATTGTCTTTCTTTCACTTTTAACTTTTCCAGAGTTCAGGATGGGAGGTAACAAGTTGATTTTTTTATATTGATTATAATCCCTAATTATTAATTCAGCCATTATTTCATTATTTGTTGACTTTTGTTGTTTTTTTCCCACATGCTTGCTCCCTCCTTGGATGACATATAACTGGTGAGTGACTGAAAAGTAACTTTTTAACAGTCTAATTTCCAGATTTCATCACTTTGGGCCTTGAGCTGGTTAAATAGGGTTAAACAAAGCAAATGAGCCATGCTACAAGCTCTCTGATTGGTTATAATCTGGTCTATTGCATGAAGATGTACATTGGGTAGGAGAGGATGCTGGAAGGTGAGGCAGAATAGACCTTATTCCCTTGTGACGCCATCCCAGCATAGATGTTATGGGCCAGGTTGCATTGTTATACCTTGTTTTACTAGCTCAAGCTTTGCACTATATTTAGCATCAAACTCATCTTTTTTTTTTTCCATCTGAAGTGTTTTTAGAGGATGTTTGGGACCTACTTCCGAGTTGGTTTCTATGGCTGCCGGTTTGGAGACCTGGATGAACAAGAATTCGTCTACAAGGAGCCATCGATCACCAAATTAGCTGAGATCTCCCACAGGCTTGAGGCATGTGAACAGCCAGGCAGGATGCTAATACAGAGGTCAGGTGTAATTAATTAGGTCTGTTTTTCTCAAGTATAATCTTGTCATTGTACAGGAGTTCTACTCGGAGAGATTTGGGGATGACGTGGTTGAAATTATAAAGGATTCCAACCCTGTAGACAAAAACAAACTGGATCCAAACAAGGTAACATGATCCACTTGTGACTCATCTGTTTAGCTGAAGAAATGTACTGATAGTTGATTCTGCTTGTTCAGGCCTACCTCCAGATCACATATGTGGAACCGTTCTTTGACACATACGAGCTAAAGGAAAGGATCACCTACTTTGACAAGAACTACAACCTGCGCACCTTCATGTACTGCACTCCTTTCACACTGGACGGCCGAGCTCACGGCGACCTCAACGAGCAGTACAAACGCAAAACCATCCTGACAACATCTCACGCCTTCCCTTACATCAAGACTCGCATCAATGTCATCCACAAGGAGGAGGTGGGTGTCTGTGTAGGGGAAAGCTGAGTGAGTTATTCAACAAGCTAGGGAAATTGTAACCTCTTTCTGTCTGCGGATCTGCAGATCATCCTCGTGCCCATGGAGGTAGCCATCGAGGACATGCAGAAGAAAACTCAGGAGCTCGCCTTTGCTACAAACCAAGACCCTGCGGACTCAAAGATGCTGCAGATGGTGCTGCAGGGCTGTGTAGGCACCACAGTCAACCAGGTGCTTCTTTAGACTCTTGCATCTTATGTTGAACCATTTGGCCTTCACTGTCTTGGAGGAAAACCAGTCCAATCCAGGAAGTCAGTAGTTTTTCCTTCTTGCAGGGCCCTCTCGAGGTGGCACAGGTTTTCCTCTCTGACATTCCAGATGACCCAAAGCTGTTTCGCCATCACAACAAACTGCGCCTCTGCTTTAAAGACTTCACCAAGAGGTAATGAGTCACCCCAAATCAAAACATACATTGTTGTGTAACTAGGGTTGAAAAACCCTGGGAATTTTTGAAGTTGGAAACTTTCCATGGGAATTAACGGGAATAAATCTGAAATTTACAAAATTAAAGGTTGGCCCCCATCAGGGAACTTGAATATAGTTAGGGAAAATATATTGTAGCATAATCTTGGCTAAAACAACCAGATTTAATGCAAGTACACTCCTCAAACACAAAGACATTTGAGCCCACTGACTATATAAAGTCAAGTAACTTTTGATAATATTATGGAGTAAATATATTTGATCTATAATAGTATCAATATTTAACTTACAAAAATTAAATAAAAATAGGTGCTAATTGTAAGCTATTGATTATTTAAGGGGCTAGCTTATTATGGTGGTGGTAGCTACCTCGAATGTGATGTTGTTTCTTCAGACTCCTGCAAGATGGTTTTCTGTAACCATACAATAATTTATACATCAATCGTCAAATATTTTGAAGACGATTCCAGTTGTTTGGCCAACTATATTTCTGTTCATGCCATTCCATTTGTATTTTAAAAAGCTTATTTTAAAATTTTATTCTACAGAAAATTTCCATGTTCGCCATCGCCACTCAAATAAATCTGTTGAAATTTTTTCTAATCAGGGACGGGAATCGAGAACCGGCTCTTGTTGAGAACTGGTTCCAAATGGTTCAATACATAGACATCATTTACATTTTATCTCAACAATTCCCTTTACGATTCCTTTCTTCCGGGTGCTTTGAAAAACGGTCTTGTGAGAGCCAGTCTACGCGAACAAGAACAGAGACTTTGAGGAAAAAAACATGGCCAACGGTGCAAAAAGTAGGCAGAAACGATCTAAAGTGTAGCTTCATTTTACTAAGAAAGACGACAACAGGTTTTGTGTGGAAGTTTTGAGTTTGTGTACCATGGACTAACAGGGGTTAAAGCGCATAAAAACACTCAAAAATTTTGCGCGCAACTCTGCCCTGCGTAGTAGTGTCCTCTTTTAGGGGATTGAGAATATGTTCACCATAATCTGACTTAGTACAGACCAAAGTAAATGCTGTTTGTTGTTTGATTATTTTTAGACTCAATGAAGGTGGCATACATCTTTTTCTGTTATCAGAGACCTATTAAAATTTTGGGTTAACGGTGAAAACCTACAGTCTACTTTTTTTTTTAAATCAAAGAAAGGCATCGATAAGGGAATCGTTAAAGGATTGAATCGATAAGCACAATCGATACAGGCATCAATATCGATAAAATCTTATTAATTCACATCCCTATTTTTAAAATGTATTATTTTGCATGGATGTCTGCTTATGACAAAACAATAATATTTATATTTATGTTTGGATATGATACAGTTTGTATAAATTACCCCCAATTTCCAGTTAGTTCTCATAAATTCCCAATAATTCCCATGACAAGTTTCCAATTTGGAATATTTCCCAAATCCCCCAGCTTAACTTCCTGTGGAAAGTTTCTGGAAATTTTCCGGATATCTACCGGAAATTTTGCGCCCCCCTGCAACCCTATGTGTAACTAACTAAAGTGAACCCAAATCCTTTGTGTTTTCGGTCCTCCAGGTGTGAGGACGCCTTGAGGAAGAACAAAAGCCTGATTGGACTGGATCAGAAGGAGTACCACAGAGAGCTGGAGAGGAACTACAACAAACTGAAAGAAGCTCTGGGGCCTCTCATCAACCGCAAGATCCCACAGCTGTACAGAACCCTGCCAGCACAGACAACGCAAACACAGCGGTAACAAACACACACACACACACACACACACACACGCCTGTCCAGAGAATTACACATGCAATTTATCACGACCTATGTCCAGTGAAAGCCATGCGAGGTGGTAGCCAGACAAAAAGCAGACATTAGTCACTGATTTTTTCTGAAATCTGTGCAATTTCTACAATTTTTACTCACTACACTTCACTGTAAAATAAAACAAACCTAAGTGTTATTCTTCTTTCTTTCTTGTCTTACAGGAACTCCTACAGTAGGTCCAGTCTACGCCGAGTGGACTGTTGAGTCTCAGCGAACTGGAAAACACCAAAACAGCTTCAGAGAGTCGCCACATCCCTCCGCTGGTCACCTTCGTCACCCTTTCTCTCCCCTGTCCCACACTGCATTAAAACACAGCGACAAACCTTCCGTCCTTCCCTCCTGTCTTGTACATGCTTCATCTCCACTCATCATCACTGTCACGGTTCTTTGGGAGAAAATCTAGGAACAAGGTCACAACAGGTTCTGTTCAGACCAGCCTTTGGGAGTGGTTTCCTCACCTGACAGATTATGATTTTTACAGAGCTTTGTATAGAGCTGCCAAACACTTTGCTACCTGATCAGGTTTTTGTGTTTCTGTTTTTTCTTAACTCTCACTGTTTTCCTCTCCAACATTTTGTAAATTGAGCTGTGTCAAGGCCTTTTTCTAGACTGCCAGACTTAAAGAAGTACAGGGATTTTTCTTTACTCATCAGGAGACCAAATAACTGACATTCCTTACTCTTCTTGTTTGAATATTTGTCTGCCCATCCTTGGTTATATATAAACTCATAAAAGTGAAAGTATCCACCTAGCAGGAGACGAGTGGAATATTACAGGATGGGAAGTTTAAACTCTGTTTTTAAAACTGTGAAATGTTGTTGTAATGCACTGCTGTCACATGAGATGATAGGCACAGAAGCACTGCCCTCAGCCTGGCCATCTCCCTCACCCACACAAACCTGTTCAAACTGTGATGATTTCTTTCACCCTGCAGTACACTGATAACAGGGAACATTTAGCCTGTGTGGTGTGAGGGACGTCTTCTTTTGATGGTATCTGAGCTGCTGTCAAAAACCACTCCAAATTCATGTGTCCAACACTCTGGTTGCAGAGGATTTGTATTAACTGTAGCAAATGTTATTTCCAACCACTGTATCTTTTATATTGCACTATTGTAAACAAACTGCAGCACATTCACACTGTACCTACTAAAATATCTGAGCTTTTGTAAGTTTTTACAGGCTGGAAAAACATTAATTTTTTAATTTATTTTCTTTTTTTTTTACTGCCTTCTATTAAATCTGTCTTGCTACACATCTGGTCTTAATTCTTGGGTGTACTACAGAACAATTACCAATACCCCACTCTCTTTGTGTTTCTTATTGCAAAACATATTCATAGATTCAGTGGCATAGGCCTACTCAAAGAGGGGTTGATGCTGCCCTCTTGTGGTGAGAGGCCAGTCTGTGTGACAGACTTAAATCTGGAAGCAGCACTAACCCTAACCCCCCTATGAGTCCTCAAGACTTCAGGGAAAGGCTACACCTTATTGAACTTGCTTTATGCTATGCTTCTGCCTCAGATGTGCAGAACAAGACGGTGATCGGTCTGCTTTGCAGTAGGTATTTCCTGTATTACCTCTTTCTTAGCAGCTGTATAGTCTGTCTACAGCAACCCCTTCCCTCCTTTCTTTTTTTGCATCACAAACAACTGCTACGCCACATTTATCAGCTCCAACTCAAATATGTATTACCGGGATTCACTTTCCGTGGTTTCTTGCACACAAATATAGGTGGTCTGGAAATCTGTACTCATAGATTTGCCATCATGATGTTATTCTCCATTATTACAATGATTCAGTCATGCCAACCAGAGTTGACCCTTGCATGATACTAGTATTGATGTAGGTTTAGTAAAATCTCACCAAGAGCTAGTGTTTAAGGTACTTTTTATTATCATACAATACTGACATTTTCATCAAACTATACTGTGATATTTTTGTCACACTATACTATTATGTTTTTATCATAAAATACAGACATTTTTATCATACTATACTTTGAGATATTTATTATACTATACTATGTTTTTATCATGCAATACTCACATTTTCATCAAACTATACTGTGATATTTTTGTCATACTATACTATGATGTTTTTATCATACTATACTATGATATTTTTATCAAACTATACTGTCATTTTTTATACTCTACTATCATGTTATTATACATACAATACAGACATTTTTATCAAACTATTCTATATTTTTTTCATACTATACAATGATGTTTTTATCAGACAATACTGTGACATTTTTATCAATCAATACTGTGATATTTTTATCATACTATGCAATGATTTTTTTTCACACTATACTTTGACATTTTAATTGTACTACAATGAATATTAAAACTATTTCAAACAGGGAAATTTTAAAATATTAAAAAACCTCGAAGTATTAGAAAGTTTTGAAGTATCAGAAAGGTTTGAATCAGTTTGAATGAGTTTTGATTTGTTTGAAGAATTGAACAATGCATTATCAATGAGTGATTTTAAAATGGGGAAAATTTGATAGAATAAAAATCCTGATTAGAATCCATTATGTCCTCAATAAGCTGAATTTTTGAAGCCCTGAATGGTTTCTGTAGGTCAAAGTTTGTGGGAGGAGATAAGGGCCAAAATTTATCAAGCGCTTTAGTGAAGGGTTTTAAATGTAACCCCCAGTGCTCTGTGTACTGAGCCTGGATTCATGTGTCTCATATGACCATTATAAGCAGCTTTCCAGTCAGCTGTGTGTCTCCAGGTGCTCTGACTGGTTGCCATGGGGAAGGTAGAAGCATCACTACAGCAGGATAAAGGAGGCTTGAAGCTGAGGAAACAGCTCTCCAACTAGGCCCTAGTATCTTTAATAAGCTGAATTTCTGGAGCCCAGAATGGTTTCTGTAGCTCAAAGTTTGTAGGTGGAGATAGGTGGTAAAGCAGACACATGGTCAAAATGTGTGCATGCAGGTCTCATAGACAGAGAGAGACTATTGCACACATATATACTCTGTGTGTACATGCAGGTGTCATAGAGAGAGACTAACGCACACACATTGGCAGTGTGTGTGTGTGTGTGTGTGTGTGTGTGTGTGTGTGTGTGTTCAAAGGCATTCTAAACAGATCAAAGGGCCAACTGACCAACGTTTTGAATGAGAAGCCGCCTAACTGCAGTGAATTGAGGGCCTCTGAACTTCTTCACATAGCACGATTTCCTTAAATCCCAGAATGAAAATAAGAACATTGTAGGAATCCTGAAATCTTAAAGAATACAATGATGTGTTTTTCATGTCTGTACTCTGAAAAATGTGGCCACAACAGCGAGTTAAACAGGTCTGACCCTGAGTGATGATCAGGATTTTCTGGGAGAAAGATTACATTACGGTCAATGGGAGGAATCTCTGCCATTTTTGGACAGTTGGTCACCTGCTGGCCGAGGGGTATGATTTAATGATTTGAAACCTCCTTTGTGAGAAGCAGGACTTATTTTCCTCCATTCTTATGTATTTTTTATGGCTGTGGAGTGAAATTTGTGGGCGTGGGAGCGATATATTCAAGCTAGGTTTTGTCGAACGAAAAAGTCCTCTCCACTCTAGCGATGACATCATCCCACTCTAGCTCTCCCAATACACACCCATTATAAAGCCTGAAAATTTGCTGAAAACCATGAGTTGCTTAAAGCTAAATTGTGGAAAAACTGTAGGAGATAGCACAAAAAAGTTACTACACCATATTTAGAGGAGAAGATTGTGAACATTTCAAAGCAAAAATGAGGTCTGTAGGTGAAAGTATGCTGAGGTTGTAAGGCTGAGAAGGTGGAAGTGTAAAAGGTAGAATTTGAAGATTTCCCCATTCATTTCAATAGGAAAAAGAATTCCACAAAAAGTAAAAAATATCAAAAAGTATAAAGGGTAGAAAAGGGAAAAATACATCTGCGCTTGTCCTGAAGGAGCGAAATAATTTAAAAGTTGAATGGTTGAAATAGCACAAAGTGGGAAGGAGTTGAAAAGTTGCAATGCTTAAGTGGAAATGCTTAATCAGCATTTCCACTTAATTATGCAAATTCTTCCAATTAAATATACTTTTGGTTAATAGACTATATAAGCAAATGCAATTGTTTGTTTTGAAAAGAAAAAAAAAATGACATCAGAGGTACCAGGTAGTGATGCTGTCATGGCAACATGACATCATCTCTCTAACCCATGGATGATTATGCATTTTTTTACAATTAAATATACTTTTGGTTAATAGACTATATATCTGAATGTAATTATTTGTTTTGTAAACTATTCTGGCAAAAGCATTGATTGTTCAGTGTTAATAAAGAATGTTTTTTTTTAATTTGTGGGTTTTTTTTTGTCATTGTTTTTTTTTAAATAAAGAGAAAAAATGACATCATAGGCACCGGGAAGTGATGATGTCACAACATTAAAGGCAATCATAACAACAGCTGAAGATTGCCTTTCATGTTGTGACATCAAAGGCAATCATGACATATTGTACATAACACAGATTCAACAACAGCTGAACATTGTTAAACATATCTGAATACCTGGGCCACTGATAAGAGAAGAGAGTGAGTTTTTCTTTTTTCAGCACACACAAAATACAACAGAGAAAAATGAGCCGTGGAATCATCAGGGAAGCCAAGAAGGACCCACAGTATGACAGGGTAATGGCATGGGTTGACTATAATCAAAAAACTCAGGAGAATCAAAAACTCAACACCCAGAGAGAGGAGCTGGAAAAGTTGCTTGAGAGTTTGAAGATGGGCGAGGCTGAGTTGCAGGAGGAATTCAATGCAATGGCGTGAATTCAGGCGCATGAAAAAGAATTCAAGCGCAAGAGAGACGCAGAAAATATCGTTGATAAAGTAGAAAGAGAGAGGCAAGAGAAGCTCCAGAAGGAGGAGGAGATCAAGAGGCTGCAGGAAGAGTACGCCAAACTGTTAAATAAGAGACAGGAGCAGAAGAAGCTAGTGCAGGAATATGCCGTGTATAATGACTACATGGAGAAAGTGCTGAAATTAACACAGTTTAAGGATGTTGAACAGCTCTACAATAACTCTGACAAGCTCCAAAACATGAAAGAGGAGAACCTCCAAACTCTAACTGAGTATAGTTGCAAAATCATAGAGAAGAGAGAAGCCTTTCAAGCTCTGAAGAGCCAGTTTGAAATTGAGGAGTCCAAAAGGAGTCGGGAGAAAGTCCAGCAGAAATCCAAGCTGGAAAAGGCACACGCTGAATACTGGGAATGGAAAGGGAGGTACTCTGAAATTATGCAAACTGCTACAGAAGAGACAATTGAGCTGGGATCTATCATGTTCAGTGCCTTAACACACTATAAGTTGACAGACGAGTACAGGGGAAACATGTGCGATAAAAATGTGGGCTTCACTGACGCAGAAAAAATGTTCGACATAGTCAAATATTTCTATCTTGATTATGAAGAAATATTGCGTCATTATGATAGACAAAAGATCAGCCATGGAGGAGAGACAGCCAAAACCAAGGCTTAAGGTTACTTTGAAATTAAAGTACCACGAAATTGTCCAGTTTTTCACAGCTTTAAGGGTTTACTCCAGGCACACCAGTTTGCCCACACGTGACACATGCATTCCCACCCACACACCCCACACATTGTATTTCTAACGCATTTAAATTACCACAGTGACATCCACCAAGTTACACCTCTTAGTTCTGATACTCATGACTCACTCTTCACCCTTGCCCCCTCCCAAAAAAAAAAACCTCACTCCAAGCTTCATTCAAAACTTGAGAGCCCTGTACATACACACATATACACATACATACATACATGCATACATACATACATATACACATACATACAAATGTATTTACATACATATATGTACGCAATATGAAAGACTGAATATAAAAATATTCTTGAAAAACTCAAATAAATATCTCGACAATTACATTTCCATTTACTGTGTGGTTTTCTTATTGCAATGTAAATTTTATTTGAAAATCTTTTAAGAATCTCATCAAAGTGTACACACCCTGGCAGTAGTCCCTGTGCTACTGTTAGGCATGTGAATTGCATCAAACAAAATACATACATGCATACAAATCAAAAATTAAGGATCATGATGTAGAATAATCCATAATATGAAAGACTGATTATAAAAATATTCTTGAAAAACTCAAATAAATATCTTGACAATTACATTTCCATTTACTGTGTGGTTTTCTTATTGCAATGTAAATTTTATTTGAAAATCTTTTAAGAATCTCATCAAAGTGTACACACCCTGGCAGTAGTCCCTGTGCTACTGTTAGGCATGTGAATTGCATCAAACAAAATACATACATGCATACAAGTCAAAAATTAAGGATCATGATGTAGAATAATCCATAATATGAAAGACTGATTATAAAAATATTCTTGAAAAACTCAAATAAATATCTCAACAATTATATTTCCATTTATTGTGTGGTTTTCTTATTGCAACATACATTTTGAAGGGAAAATTGTGCAAAAAAAAACCTTAGTCAAGTTATATATTTTTTAGGGATGATGCCAAAAACTGCATTTTATTTCTCTTTAATCCTCTGAAAATGTGTAGTGAAAGCTCAAGTTGAAGATAACTCTCTACTCACCATTTTGTGTAAATTTCCAGCAAAGTCCTGCTGTGTGGAGACAGTGTTAATGAGGAAAACAGGAGAAAATAATTTTAGTTTCGTTTTTGTGTGATATGACCTCACTAAATTGTAGTTTAATTGAGGCCCCTAAACAATAGACATTATATAACCTTTACAGCACCCCCCTATACACAAAAAAGGAGCAGAAGCGGTAGACATTCAAAAGAAAACTCCAATAATTGGCTTGTCCCATTGACTTTAATGCCAAGTCAATGGGACAGTATAACAATAATCAACAGTACAACAATAATGCCTCCTATACTATGATGTTTTTATTATACTATACTATATTTTTATCAAACTATACTATCATATTTTTTTCATACTCTACTATCATGTTATTAATCATACAATACAGACATTTTTATCAAACTATTCTATATTTTTTTCATACTATACAATGATGTTTTTATCAGACAATAATGTGACATTTTTATCAATCAATACTGTGATATTTTTATCATACTATGCTATGATTTTTTTCACACTATACTTTGACATTTTAATTGTACTACAATGAATATTAAAACTATTTAAACAGGGAAAATTTAAAATAATTAAAAAACCTCAAGTATTAGAAAGTTTTGAAGTATCAGAAAGGTTTGAATCAGTTTGAATGAGTTTTGATTTGTTTGAAGAATTGAACAATGCATTATCAATGAGTGATTTTAAAATGGGGAAAATTTAATAGAAGAAAAATCCTGATTAGAATCCATTATGTCCTCAATGAGCTGAATTTTTGAAGCCCTGAATGGTTTCTGTAGGTCAAAGTTTGTGGGAGGAGATAGGGGCCGAAATTTGTCAAGTGCTTTAGTGAAGGGTTTTAAATGTAACCCCCAGTGCTCTGTGTACTGAGCCTGGATTCATGTGTCTCATATGACCATTATAAGCAGCTTTTCAGTCAGCTGTGTGTCTCCAGGTGCTCTGACTGGTTGCCATGGGGAAGGTAGAAGCATCACTACAGCAGGATAAAGGAGGCTTGAAGCTGAGGAAACAGCTCTCCAACTAGGCCCTAGTATCTTTAATAAGCTGAATTTCTGGAGCCCAGAATGGTTTCTGTAGCTCAAAGTTTGTAGGTGGAGATAGGTGGTAAAGCAGACACATGGTCAAAATGTGTGCATGCAGGTCTCATAGACAGAGAGAGACTATTTCACACATATATACTCTGTGTGTACATGCAGGTGTCATAGAGAGAGACTAACGCACACACATTGTCAGTGTGTGTGTGTGTGTGTGTGTGTGTGTGTGTGTTCATTTATCAAGGCATTCTAAACAGATCAAAGGGCCAACTGACCAACGTTTTGAATGAGAAGCCGCCTAACTGCAGTGAATTGAGGGCCTCTGAACTTCTTCACATAGCACGATTTCCTTAAATCCCAGAATGGAAATAAGAACATTGTAGGAATCCTGAAATCTTAAAGAATACAATGATGTGTTTTTCATGTCTGTACTCTGAAAAATGTGGCCACAACAGCGAGTTAAACAGGTCTGACCCTGAGTGATGATCAGGATTTTCTGGGAGAAAGATTACATTGCGGTCAATGGGAGGAATCTCTGCCATTTTTGGACAGTTGGTCACCTGCTGGCCAAGGGGTATGATTTAATGATTTGAAACCTCCTTTGTGAGAAGCAGGACTTATTTTCCTCCATTCTTATGTATTTTTTATGGCTGTGGAGTGAAATTTGTGGGCGTGGGAGCGATATATTCAAGCTAGGTTTTGTCGAACGAAAAAGTCCTCTCCACTCTAGCGATGACATCATCCCACTCTAGCTCTCCCAATACACACCCATTATAAAGCCTGAAAATTTGCTGAAAACCATGAGTTGCTTAAAGCTAAATTGTGGAAAAACTGTAGGAGATAGCACAAAAAAGTTACTACACCATATTTAGAGGAGAAGATTGTGAACATTTCAAAGCAAAAATGAGGTCTGTAGGTGAAAGTATGCTGAGGTTGTAAGGCTGAGAAGGTGGAAGTGTAAAAGGTAGAATTTGAAGATTTCCCCATTCATTTCAATAGGAAAAAGAATTCCACAAAAAGTAAAAAATATCAAAAAGTATAAAGGGTAGAAAAGGGAAAAATACATCTGCGCTTGTCCTGAAGGAGCGAAATAATTTAAAAGTTGAATGGTTGAAATAGCACAAAGTGGGAAGGAGTTGAAAAGTTGCAATGCTTAAGTGGAAATGCTGATTAAGCATTTCCACTTAATTATGCAAATTCTTCCAATTAAATATACTTTTGGTTAATAGACTATATAAGCAAATGCAATTGTTTGTTTTGAAAAGAAAAAAAAAATGACATCAGAGGTACCAGGTAGTGATGCTGTCATGGCAACATGACATCATCTCTCTAACCCATGGATGATTATGCATTTTTTTACAATTAAATATACTTTTGGTTAATAGACTATATATCTGAATGTAATTATTGAGTGGGATTGCGAAGCATTCCCACTATATGTTATTCATATCTTTATTATTATTATTATTATTATATCAACTTCCACCGTTTTTTGGACCTCAACTACTTCCACATACTTCAACGTATTCAAACCATTCAAACTTCAAAAGATTCATCTCATTGAGGAGATTCCGGGTTGTATTCAAAATTTTCCTAACATTCATACTTTCCGAGATATTCCAGGTTTTCCGACCGATTTCTCCCATTAAGAATGCATTACGGAATGTTCAAATTGGCTTCAAAGTTCAAAAGCCTTCAACTCCTCTATACTTCCACGTAGAAACTTCATTCAAAAACCAAAATATTCACAAATTCGTCAGCATTATTCCACATCTTCAACATTTTTAATCCCATTTGTACTTTTCAAAATATTAAGATTTGTTTAAAACTTCGTTATAATGGGATTCAATGGGAAAAGGGCTTCAGACGTACTCAACTTCAACCTCTTCTCATTCATTCATACTTTCACCTAGAAACTTCATTCAAACTTTAAAATATTCACACATCTTCAGACATTCACTCATTCATTCACCATCTTCATGGCATTCATACTTTTCTCACAGTGACAGTTTAAAAAGTCCAAAGATTTTCAGACCGGTTCAGGTTTTAACATTAGTGTGTATTGCACGGAATGTTGGCCGCTAGAGTGGGTGACATCAGAGCTAGAGTGAGACAGGCAGAAAATTGATCCTCAAAACTTTGTCTTTACAAAAGGATTGTGGCAACTCACTTCGCTCTACACAGATAAAAATTGGTACAGTGATGGCAAAACTCGCTGTCACTCCTCATCTCAAAAATCAAAGCCATAGGACACACACAGTGGCCTGGGCAGACACCAACTGCCGCAGACATCCCCCAGATTTCTCCAGCTTTCTCCATTGACTCCAATGTAAACCTGAGAGGAGGATTTTCAGAGGAAACACAAACTGGACACGTTTTTAACTTGTCGTAGCGAAGGCATTTTTGGCTCCACAAACACCGAAGTTGTATCAACGTGTTCAGCCGGGCCTTGTGGTTGTCACAAGCTCCTGATCATGAAGATAGCAGTTACAGAGGATGAGAAATATGACGTTGTTTGGGCATTACATTCTCAGCCTCAAGCCTCCTTTCTCCTGCTGTTGTTAAGCATCTATCGTCACCATGGCAACCAATAAGAGCACCTGGAGACACACAGCTGGCTGGAAAGCTGCTTCTAACAGCCATATGAGACACATGAAGCCAGGCTCAGTACACAGAGTACTGGGGGTGACATTTAAAACCCTTCAATAGAGTTATTTGACGAAATTTGTCATCTATCTCTTGGCACAAACCTTGAGCTACAGAGACCAACCAGGGCTTAATAAATTCAGCTCATTGAGGACATTATGGGGTCTAATAAGGATTTTTATTCATTT